TCGCTTAATCAAACGATTGGATTTCCCAACTCACTTGCGGATTTCCAACGAAAACACACGCTTCGAGAGAGTTCGCAGGTTCGAACAACGAGGAATAATTTTTTTTTCTGGTAGGTGTCAATAGTGGCAACTCAAATTTTCTAAATTGAAAAGCGGCAATACAAAATACTAAAAATAAAACGGATTACAACATAAGTTTTGTTTTATGATTGTCCGCGACCGATTAAAAACGCTTTTTTAGACATTACAAATTGCAAAATTTCGGATGCTACCGTAGTGTACGTACCATGGCATCTTTTCTTAGGATTCTTTTCCTTACTGTCTCCACATTGGAACGTACAGTAATGGATCGCCGTAGGTGTTGTACAAACAGCTCAGATTTAACGAATTCACGAAAACACAAATCAAAACAAAATATAATCGGGCACTTGACCACTTTGATATTTTCTGAGTAGTATTATTTCGTCAGCACAATTGCAGATTAAAATCATCACAATTACTTAATAGCAAAGCATGACGATGAATATGTATTTTTGAATTTACTCATAAACTTTAAATATATTTTTAATAAGTGCTAAATCAAGTTGTACTTTCTGGAACTTTATAGCAGAAAGTAGGATTTTCTTAACGGCGATAACAAATTCGCAAGATCGCAAAAAATATGTATCAAAACTAAATATAATCGGGCAATATATTCTCACATTATCATGTTCGCAGATTGCCGTGGCATTTTAAAGAAGTAATGCTTTCATCTTGTTGTAAGTCGACGCAACAGCGAGTTACCATGAACACAATTTAATTAAAATAGAAAGACATTTAATTTCTTGTCGTTGTCATGAACTGAATATTGTGCGACAGAAACGGCCATTATACACTATACACTAAAAAATAGGCGGGAAAGATAAAGTCCAACAAATATTTCTATTCCTAATTACCTCTACGCCACTTGAAAAATTGTCCACGCCCTTCTAAAGATACAAAGACGACAACTTGTAGCCTATTGATATCCATTTACATCCATTCTTAAATTATTTGCAGATTTTCAATATTATAAATATTACTTATTTGGAATCATCTGCCAGTGTGCTATATTTATATCTCATTATCTAAATCGTAACTAGTTAATTACCTATCGATCTTAAGATCGGTAAGTATGTTGATAGGTATTTGTTTGTTTGTTTGTCTGTTAGATGCACGCGATATCTCACGAAAGAGAGATTCAATCTGCTCTAAATTTTGCATGTGCTTTCATCATAGCTCGGATCAGAAGCCTATTTTGAATGGATTATGTCGTATAATTAGCGAGGTATTAATTAATTAGTGATGGGACACACGGTGTCACTATGGAGTAAGACCACTGTTTTGGGGGATCCCCTAACCTTCGATCGATAAGTCTTCGGTTTCGAACCGAATTCTAGTTATTTATTAGTGTTTTATATTTTACCTTCAAGTTCTCTATAGTCTTTCCTTCCCAGCGACTTCCTGAAAATATACGTATATAAAAAACTTCAGCTACAGACATTGTAGACATTATATACATATATATATAAATAAGATCATGACAGATCATTACTACGAAATAAACGATAGGGAAATATGGAATATATTTCCAGATTCAAACGTTTATGAACATGGGACGGTATGATTACTGAGGCTACTAGCATATAGGCTGACTATAGTAGATTTACAATTTGGTGGGATCTCATGTATATAGTAACCTTCAAACTGGTTATCGAGCAGCGACGCCCAAGTTTCTAATGTCTAATTAAAAAGCAAGAATTCTGAGTTTTGAAAATACTATATCTTATATTGACGGTGAGTGCCGTCAGTGACACAAGTTCTTCAAGATGTAAGATTAACGGATTTCATACACTTAGTATGACTCACTCTTATAATATCATCACTGGAAATTTGGAGCGTTACCAGTTTGAACTAGTTGGTAACATAAAAGGCATGATTATCAACTGTTCATTACCAGAGCGAGCAGGTCACACGATGAGCTACAGTTACACTTGAGGAATCAGCCTGATTAAATTATAATATATAGTATGGTAGTTAGTGTGAACTACGATTTGTGGTAAAAACGCTTATCAGATTAATAAAAAAGGCCAGGACAACGATTTCAACAAATTAGGCATATTAGTGTATATATAGGCACTCTATAATAACCAAAAGTTAAACAATAAGTTTTAATATTCGCATGGTTATTAAGTTGGGGTTGTGTTTTAAATGAATTGCACTTAACGAGGCATAGTTCAAATCCTTTCAGTATATCTGCAGATATACACTGCTGGATTAACTTAAGTATCACTATGAAAAAAATTCACTGTTTGTCGTAATCACAACCTGACGCCCTATTGCGATGAAACGCCTTTTATTTATGCTGGCCTAATGACCTTCAAATAAACTGACATTACAAGATAGTAGATAATAAACGAAGCACAACTGGTGTTAGCAAAACGCAAATTACATCGTTTTGTTAACACCGGTTGTTGGCTTCATTTATTATCAACATGAGTTTACCTGGTGGCAATCATGCATTACAAGATAGTAATTGGCCTTTCGGTTTGGACGATTGAACGAAACAACAGCAGATGAGCAGTTAGCCCATGAAGGTGCAGCGCTGTACTGACTACGCCATTATTCACCGGATATTGCTACAGTTAATTTGTAGTACAGAATAGTTAATTCCGCGATTCTACGAAATGAACATGGTATGGTTTTAACAGATTTTGCCATACACAATTATGAGCGCGCATCGGTGCCCAAACTGACAAAATGAAGATCAATGTAATGCATTCTTGTGTCTCGAATATTGGGCGGGAACGAAAAAAGTCTAATTATTTTTTCTAAAAAATGACCCCCGCCTTTTATCACTGGGCTGACTCAATAGCCAGAATAAAACGGTAGTTGTGCGAATCATAATATTATGAAATTTTGAGGTTGTAATTTATAGAAAATTTCATTTGACAGACGAAACAAAACTAAGCTTATACTCAATATATATATATTGAAAGTAATAATTTGTCTGTAGATTTCCCGAAAATAATACAATATATCATTTATCTATAGACATGTAAATTGAAAGATTTCAAATGATTTGGTTACGTACTTGCTCTTCAAACTTGATAGGCCTCCATCTCACTCTCAGTGATGAAAACCTAGCACTTGACGAATTTCTTTTAGTCCAACGATAAATTGTCCCGCCGACTTTCGAGCAGGGCTTTAAAAAGCTGAAAATCAATATATATGTCAGGATTTTGTGTAAGCCAATTCTAAATTTGAATTAAACTAAATTTTGTTGAGCCAACTATGCAATTATTCATCATTTTCAACTATGTCGCTGATTTTCCAAAATTACATCCTTTAGTTAAAATGATATGATAGTGCATTATATTGTACCTCATTTTGTATTCTTAATTAAAGTAAGACTCTTTTCTGAATATTTTCTTCTAAAAATATACGTAAGTTTCAATAAAATACGTAAATACGTAAAAATGATTCAGCTATTGCCATTAAATTTCAAATATATACTTTATAACATATCAGATGTAGTTTTCAAACTGCACAAATTGCAAATATTACAATAACAATAAAATACCCAATGACGTTTTATACTTGTTTCATGGAGTATATGACTAATTACTTCTGATCAGTAACTTGTAGCATTATCACATTGTTCACGATTGGGATCGCAAATTGGGGATCGATATCCAGCAGAGGAGCGTGCAACGAATTTTAGGGGTCGCAAAGAGTACACCAATTTGATACAAGGTACTATATTTATAGTACTTTTTTGGACTCTGCTTCGAAACACAATTATTAAAACTTGTGCAAAATCTAAATCTTACAATTTCGATAGAATGCACAGGATCAAATAAGCGTAATAACAATGTTGGCTTGCATCGAACTATTTAGCATTCTAAACGTTAACGCTGGTCTTATATTTTTGAACTTTTGAATCGAAAGACAATTATTGAAACTTATTATTGAAAATATAAGTCTTACAATTTCGAGAGAAAGCACACAATCAAATAAATAAGTGGCATAACAATGCTGACTCTGATCGCAAGACCCGAGACGCGGTGCGCTCGCATCGATTTGTTTAGCATTTTAAACAAAAACAGTGGTATACAGGAATCAATAGGCGTCGAAAGTCAAATAAAATGTTCAAATAATATTGACTTGCAATATTCTCCGTTCGTTACTTTGTTGTGTCTTTGAATCTTTAACCTTTAATATTTCTGCACCTGAAAAAAAGTTAAGATATTGATAAATAAACTATCGCAGAACTGTAGCTAGCATATTCAATGGACAGTGGGACTGAATCTATCGGATCTTTTGCACAAAGATCCCGCCACGTTTTAAAATGACATACCGTTAGTAATTATCCATTTGGGGTTAGGAATGATTTAAAAATTTGAATTTCCAGCGCAATCTGCATTCCTAACTTACTAATTCTCCTATTTTGAACGTTGGTAGGGTCTTTGTACAAAGATCCAATCTATACACAATAATATATCAAGGTAAAAAGGCTACGGCGAATCTCTATTAAACCATGGATTTTGCGCTACATTTGCGAAAGTTTTGAAAGTTATGCATTACATTCATGTAAAGCGTACCATGTTGAATGCAGCTTACGTAGTTACGTAAATCAGTGTATTACGTTTAAGTTTCTTATTATGATAAGTTTATGTATTGCCATATAGCATTTAAGTTTGGCCTATTTGTGAGGAAACGATGAAACCCGCTGTTAGTGAGTTCGATACAAGAGAGAATCATCCATCAATCTAGACTTCTGTATTTGGATAATAATTCCAATTCGTAAAGACCCGAAAATCTCTAATTTACCACTTATACAATAGTAAAATGAAATCAATATAATAGCAATGAAAACAATAGGTATAAAGAACATTTAGCTCACCTGAATATTAGTTCGAACTCACTGTCATAATCCACAGTCAGCCTATCCATACATCCTACACAAAATCATCTTAACACGAACATTTGTGACTGACTAAAAGCGATGTCGCTTGTGGCTTCCCGCGCAAAAATATTTGACGAAAAAAGCTAACTAATTGTTTGATTACATTAATTACTCCAGGTTGTTGTTACGAGGCGATCACGCTTCTGAAGCGTGATCTCAAAGATACAAAATGCAAATGACGGTTGGGATTTGCTTCATACATCGTATAATACCTAGTTCACAGTAATATTCTCAGGATCTTTTGTACCAAGCCCCACCCCAAAACAACACCCCGCCAACGCTCGAATTAAATAGAAATAGTAATTATTCAGTTAAGGTGAGGGATGCAGATTCAGCCGGAAATTCAAATTTTCAAATCGTTCCTAACCCAAAACCCTAACTGCATATTTACTTATTTTTTATTTTAAAACGTGACAGGGGTGTTTATCTCAGATCACACATTTTTGCATCAGTGACGGGAGCTTAGTACAAAGAATCCAGCAATTCCATTATATTTGTCTGTTTATATTTGTAGAGTAAACGCGCACGTGAATGCCATCAAAAATGCAACCCTCCCACAACTCAATAAAAGAATAACGGCGTATACAAGTTTAGCGTTATATCAATGCATTCTCTGCATTGGCGTACAAATCTTAGCTCATAAGGTCTAGCGCTTAGGTCATAATGTGACGTTGTTCCGATGCCTACTGTATAGTAACAGCATTAATCACGGTTCTATGTGAAGTAATTAATTGACTGCTTAATACAAGAGCATACCGACGACAACAACTGATAACATATAGATCATCTATTCGAGACCATTCAAATATTTGGTGTTATGGAGCTCGTGACGAGGTAGACGTAACCCCATAATAAGGACGTAACAAAAAAAATTGTTACTTACCGATCATTATTAATGAGTGAATTGGAATTACTATATTCTATAACTCGAATGTATTTGCTTCTTCTTAAATGTTAATAATGCCATTTTGAGTAAACGAATAGATCGCGGAGACCCTATGTCCGTATGAAACACTTTATTAATCATGGAATATCCCAAGAAACGTAAAGTTGACAGAGGGTGTCGAGCATTTGACAAAGATTGGATACCGAAGTATTTTTTGTAATAATCAGTCCCACCGAGGACTTCATTTTCTCACATCTGGCCCGTCGACTAGATAAGTTGTCCACCTCTGATCCAGGCTAAGGATATACACGTATTTTAATGTATTCAGTATCTGTGACAGTCAGTGCACTGCAGCTGACTACGTTCGCGTTGAGTGGCGCATCGTGCTAAGCCTTAGGAATACGCTCGATTTCTTACTCCGCTTGGATTCGCAGGTTCAAATATCGTAGGGGACAATTTAGTACCAGAGGATTGTTGGCGGCTTCCTCCCGCCACCCCTACCCTAAGCCAGCGTTTCCCAAACTTTTTTCGCCACAGAACAGTTGCACTTTTTATGTCGCCTCGCGGAACACCAAAAATGAAATTGATAAAAAAAAATGATGTAAGACAGCGAGTTGCCAAATGCGCCGTGAAAACTAACAGAATTGTGTTAAACATACCTAAAATATGATTGGATAATATTATTATTATTTTTTAATTCAAATGCTGGGTATATGAATCAATAAATTCATTTTACCTCTCTATGTCGATTACTTTTCATTGCGTAGTGTTTGCCTTTAATGTTACGTAACAATGAAGTACTTTATTTTTATTTATCTGCACTATCTATTATTATTTATCTGCTGAATCGAGTTTAGCGAACAGGAGTAATTTTTTTCCCATTTTAAAGTAATACCAGGCAGAGGTGGAGGAAGAAAAGTTGACCTTTTGCCATTATCTCTCAGGCCTGTTTGACATGGCGACCAAATTGGCCCTAAGCGAACGCCATATGAAAGAGATGTCTTTCTTGTAGGCTTTCCCACTACCGCCGGAAAAAATCTCGTGGTATATCATTTTTGCAGCCATAGATTAAACATTTACATAAGCTTCATCAGCTTCACAAAACTAGTAAGGAAGTTAGAGTTCAAGCAGTGTGGTGGACAAGAGACAGGGTCAGTGGCAGAACGCAGACATAGTGGTCGAAACACACGAAGGAGGTTGTAAACCATGTAGAGCAGACCAGGGTCGGACATAGTGGCTAAAACACAGGAAGGTAGTCAGGAACAAGGTACAGTGGGTGCAGGGGCGGAATATGCCCCTTTGGTGCCCTAAGCACTGAAGACTTTGGTGCCCCCTTATGTGTAATTTAATTATAAAAAACAATAAACCAAATAAGTTATTATCCATTGAAAATAATCACAAACAACAGTAAATAAAACGACTTTTACGAACATTTTTAGGTTTTTTAACTGTTATATATAGCCGATATAAATATCGATATATCGGTTGAGCTCTAATCCTGATGGAGTGTGACAATAAAAATTCCTGCCTCCAATCTCAACGTGAATCGGAATACCAAATGATCACAACTGTAGTTTAAAATTTTACCGGTACCATGTAATCTACCTCAGTGTGGTTCAAGGTTGCTAGGTTGAAGGGCCGCAACAACTTTTGAGAAGGTCTCGCGGGCGCAAGTCGGAGAAAACCCAAAAGTGATCGAAAGATCGCGAGTTTACTTACTTTAAATTTAATTTAACTTTAAATTTAACGAGAGTTTACCGTTCTAATCATACTAATATTATGTTGCATTGGTGGCGTTCTTTTAAAAAAGATATATAAAGCCTTCAGGTATTTCAAAATTAATTCCCGGGAATTACCGTTGTATTTTCCGCATCTCGCGTTTAATGTCGCTTCAAATTATATTTTTTTGTGACAGATATTACCTGAAATCAAACCAGACACTGTGTGAGGGGCAAGGACATAGTTTCCGCCGTGTTTTCCTTGTGTCACTCATTTTATTACGAATTGTTATATTTGAGTAATTTAAAAACTTGCAGCGTGAGCAAGCTTAGTGCCATCGTCAAATAACAACCAAGTCCGTCTAAGTTGGTATTTCGGGACCTAGCTAAAAAAAAACTGGATTGCGCGGCGTTAAGTCGGCTCTGCGTTTCGTCACTACTGGCACATGGCCCACGCTTGAAAACAGAGGAGTATTTTTACTAAAATAAAGGCACAAAGCGTTAGAAAAAAGGGTTTGAATCTCGGAATCTCAACCCCAGTTGCAATAGCTAAAAAAACTCAAAAGCGTTCTGCTATTAGATACAAATATACGCTAAAATTGTTCTGTGGGCAGCACAAAATGTGTCAGCATGACATGGTTTGGACCACCCTGGTCTACCTAAACAAAAAAGTCCCGACTTCGTTGACCAAAATGTGAGATTTGATAGAAACAATCCTGCCATGTTTTAAATAAAAAATTAACAATTATCCAGTTGGTTCGGAAATGAATAAAAATTGTCGTGTTCGGCGCAATATGCATTCTTAACTGGATAATTACTAATTTTCTCATTTAAAGCGTTGGTGGAAACTTTGTACAAAACATCCCTTTTATAGCCTATCTGTTGTTTATGCCTAGTTTCTACAATAAATAAATGTGTGAACTTTTTCTATTTTTTATCCCCAAATTTGAAATCCCAATCTTATACTTCCAAGTATCGATAAGAATTGATGTTTCCGTAATAATCGACTTCTTTATTTACATCGGTAAAGGCGTAGCCAGCCCAAAATTTGGCAATCCAATTTTTTTTTTTTTGATATGACGTATTACGGATTCTTATTCGCCCGATTTTGCTACGAACAAGGCAGGATTTAAGCAGCCACTGATATCTAATGTTACGTTAAAATCCCCTTTATAGACTTACTTCACGCCGAGTTCTCCAGGCTATACAATCGCGCATTTTTGCCAAATCGGATTAATAATTTGGAGTATGAATTGATAGTAAGCCCCAAAACGGCCAATTATCAGTGAATAGCTCTTGAATAGAGCAAAATAGTGTTGAAAACGACGCCCTTACAACTTTGTGTCTTACTTTAAATGCCATGAAATCGTTCGTTTCAAAATTTCGGATTTTTCCTGAGGCAATGGCAAAAAATAAACACCCTCTCTACCGCTCAAAATAAAAAAGGAGATTGAAAAGAAAGAAGAAATTTCAATTTTCAAATCATTCCTAACATTAACTATAGATAAATACTAATTTCAAAACGATGCGAACCGTTTGCGTATAATGCGAACGTGATGACCACTACACTGCAGAAACGTATACGCCGGTGGGTCATATTATAATGAACAATACTGTTGGGAGACTTAACAATAATCTTTCGCGTGTTAGGCGAACGTGATGACTTCTACATATGTGAAACGCATACATCCGTGGTTGGTCGAATCGGCTTGAAACCGACCCTGATGTCATTTCGTAGTGTAGTGGTCATCGCGTTTGCAAACGGTCCCCATAAAGTGGTTCGGGCCCAGGCAGAAACTGGGTTTCCTGTTAACATTTCGCTCTAGCCTAAAATCTTTGAAGGATCTCGTTCATCGCCGTGAAAAATAGTGCATATTATGGACTGAGGTATATTTTCTGACGTATGAATTAACCCTTCGTGGTTGATTTTTACTTTCTCCTAATATCTTAGAATACTTTTGAAATGAAATGAATTTTTGCTCAAACAATCGATAATAACCTAATGCGTTTCTATCATAATTATCAGACATTTAAGAAAAATGGGTTAAAATGCTGAAATGAATTAGTTGTTAACACATCTACAAATACAATGAGTAATTAAAGTGTAACTTTAGTAGAAAGTATTGTCTGCGGTAAACTTAAAAATCAAAATTTGTGCTTAAAACTTAACGTTTATTGAAGTTTTAAATCAACATTGTTATTTGAAAGTTCTTGCAAATTTGTAAAACGGTAAAAAAGGTTGAAGAACACTGATCTAGAGCTAGACCGTTAGGGCTTGATATCAAACTTTTGGGTGTTTACTTTTTCTTGTCATTTATTTTGCCGTCGTATCCATTGTGCATGGCTGCATTCTGTATTATTGAACACGTTAGTGGGCATAACGATCATTTTGTTATTATGTTGTTGCTCGTTTATTGTAACAGAAAAAATCGCCTTTCTCTCTGATTACTGGACCAATCGCTTTGAAATTGTCAGTGCTCAAAGACTAAATTTTTCGCTAAAAAGCTATTACTTTTATTTATTTCAAATATTCCAGTGAGCTGTATGGGAATCGTTTCTTTGTGTGATATGACGTCATCATAATTTTGCGCTACGTGCTCATATATTTGAACATGGATCTCTTGTTTATCTCCATTTGATTGTTCACAGCGTACTCGATTAGTAATTTTTACCCACTGTCTAATGAACACAATTGCTACGACAACGTCACTCCCACCACTTCAAAGCCAGCCATATGCTTATTCTGTCTCATATTCTTTTGAACGATGTATAGGACTGAAACTAGTGCAGAAACGAAACATTTCGAAAATTTGCAAATAGCTGTGAAGATTATATCTCATATTCAGTAAACAATGTTTTAGAATTCGAAGTTTTGTAAATATTTTTTCATATTCAGCAAACGAATAATTCGAATTTTACATTCGTGCAGATAAATTTTGTATTCAACAAACAAACATTTCAAAATCTAAGTTTTGTGATGAAGTTTTTATTTGCTTATACAAACACGCACTCTTTGCTCTGATTGCATAAAGAAGGAATGCACAAACTTCATGTGCGGCGAGCACCCTAATAATTTTATGAGCTTTCACGATTAACAGACATAACATAAACTCTTCGCTATATTTATCTTGGAAACTGAATGCCAAGCCCTGTATTATCCCCAAGATTACCAACTGAATAAAAAAATATGTCTATGTGCTGGTTTATATTCCTCGAGTAAAGTTGTAAATTGATGGTGTTTTAGCCTTTCTTGATATAATTCGTACACTTTACCACAATTTTCTCATTCATGAATTTTAAATACAATATATTGGAATGGTCATGATCACAAATGTACTGATTGACTTGACATGGTTTGCAATACGTTAATCATTGTTATTAGATTTCCTTATTCCAGAGGTGAATAGTATCTTATGCTACTAATATTGCGATCCTGAAAGAATCCAGCAATTAATATTTCAGCCTTCTCTTCTTATGAAATTAGTTTGAAACGAGCACGCCAAAACCGACTGGCAAAAATAGTACGTAGTGGCTCGGTATTCTAAATTATCAAAATTATGTTAAAGCCAATGCACCCATTGAATATATTTATAACGTTCGGTTGTAAAATGGCAAATATGCAATTTATATATATTATATTTTGTAAAAGGTATTTAAAACTATTGGCTAATTTCTTCGTTAGGATTTTGTAATCAGTATTTATTAACGATATCGGCCCACAATTTTTCATTTTATCCAGTTCACCTTTTTATGTATCAAAGAGAGATTCCGTAACAACAGAGCAAGGCTCAAATAAATTGTATAAAAATATGTCTCAATTAAAATACACTACATTGTTGACTAACATGACAAAGAACATTGTAAGTTCCTACATACCGTGCCCAGCAGCAAGCCGTTGACTACAAAACTATTGTTTTATAGGAATATACCCAACAAGTCGTTCACGCAGTTTGTGATGTTTGCACCAGTCAGCTAACAACACGGCACAATTGTCTTAATATGACACGACTACTCGGCTATGAAAAAGATTTTCATGTGACTAGAGCAGCGGTTTCCAAACTATGGGTCGCGACCCACTGGTGGGTCGCAAAAGGAATCTTAGTGGGTCGTGAAAAGATGTAGAAAGCTTTGGATAATTATACTGGTTATTAGGATCGGTAGCGACTGGAATACGTAAATCTTCAAAATAACAAAAGAAATTAAATTTAATTTAAATTCTAATCTGTGAAAGTTTGCTTTTTACGATCTTTTCAAAGGAAGGAAAGTTTGCTACACAAAAAGTGACCATGTGGCTTTTTTACGCATAGCAGTTCCGTACACTGTACAGCACTTCTTACCGTGTTTTCCCGAAATTTAGACAGGATTTAAATTTTCTTTTGAATAATATCACTATGGTTGTTTTTGGAAGAGGTCTTTTGTGTTCATTTATCAAAAATAAAATCACATTGTAGAAAAATCACAAGATTTTTTACTAAACATTATATAAAAACCGACAGCCATTGTTTCTATTTGTATTTCTAATACAAAAATCAAGAAACAAATATCATAATTGTGATATCACACGATCTTGAATAGTGGTGTGATCTTCACCTTACCTCAGGCCAATGAACCTTTCCTCTCCCACACATTTTAAATTTATTTTAAGGGTATAGGGTTTAATTAAAATCATTTTGAAAATTCAAATTATTATCTTTTTTTCAGGCCAGGTGCTATTTTCGAGGAAACACGGTGGTTTTGCAATGATTAGCCATTGCTGTGTTCTGTGTTATGTCATAAAAAAAACAAAAAAAAATAAATTAAAGTTAAGTGGGTCGCCATAAGCTGTGGTAATAAATAGTGGGTCCCAACTCTGAAAAGTTTGGGAACCACTGCACTAGAGGGTTAGGTTAAAAAGATTAATATTTTCATTTATCCGAAGAATTAAATAAATTTATACCGATTCGTTGATTAGTACTAGGGATTTGTTCAAAGAGAATTGTTTTAAAGATCTCGTTTGTATCTTTCCAGCAAAACACTTGAATCAGTGATAAGAGGATGTTTACATAATTTAAAACACACTGAATTTTAACAAAATAAAAAAAATTCACAATGACTCAACCGTGTGATTATATGAGTAGTTTTAATTGCAAAAAAATTCACACTTTTTATATATTACACCACGTATTTTAATTAATCAACATTTACAAGACTAGTATTCAAAACTGGTTCAAAAAACCATATATAGACCTTCTTTTGTATTACTAATGAGAAATTACAAACCGAAAAAAAGCAATGCAATTCAGGCATTTACACAAAATAAATCATAATCTTAATTACAGCTTGTACACTTCATAATTCAACCAATCACAATTAGTCTTTTTTTCAAATATTCGTTTCCTTTTACGTTGCGGATTTCCTGGCCCTGGAGACTGCCCCTGATATGTTGTATGAAGATTGTAGTTTCTTGTTTCTACCCCCGACTGGGGCAAGTTTCTCTTTAGAGAAGAGCTGTTTTGTGGCCTTCATCAATGTACTAATAAATCAAGAATGAACTAGTTTCAATGGTGATAAGAATATATAACCATCTCATTTCGTTATACCTAACTCATTTTTTGTACATTGATTTACCTTTCATTATTACCAAATGTAGGACTCTTTATTTTGTGTGATTGAAACGGTCAATTATCTAATCGCTTAAAAACAATCTTTGCTCAACAGTTAACAGTCAGTTTATTTCGCACTTCAAGTCCGTAAAAATTTACTTACTCAGAACCAAGGCTGTAGAAAACCGGATTCAGACATTCACTCAATCTCAGTAGCAGGTAACAAGTAAATGTAAACCAACTCCTTGAGACCAGAGGAATCGTGTAATATATGGGCAACGATACAAGTACTCTGTTCACTAAAAATTAAATGCGATAGTCAAATTAGCTATCTGCTCGTAACTCGAATGAGATATTGAATCAAGCCTTAATGTAAGCAGATTATGCTCAACAATCACATACACTTGAAACATGATATATATATATATATTTAGTGAATTTTCGAACATTCAATAAAATTATTCCAAAGAATTCATCTATATAATAAATGTACATAAACATCGACGCGTGAGATAAGTAAACAGTAAACAAAATTGCAATGCGGCTCTAAATCTATGTTAATGAAACCTGTGTGTCTGTATTACTTTTTACTCAATGTTTATGGGTTGTAGTAAGCGAATGAAGAAACTGAATTAACTTTCTACATTTCATAATTCCTCCCAATCAATCACTCTTAACACATTCGTGTTGAAGCGGAAGGTTAATACCAACCAGCGTTTCCTAGGTATCCCAGTATAAATGAGAGAACAATGAGCGACACCTGAAGGATAGCTTTGTTTTCATTCCGTATTCTGTCGGGACTTGGTGTTCTTGGAACTGAAATTAGTTGTAGTGTATTAAATCGAGAAAGACCATTTTATATTTAGAAAATGCCATGTTCTATATACATAGAAGACTATTTGGATCAACGTTTTACATGAATAGACTCACTATCACAATGGCGCATTCGGTAAATTGTTACAGCAAGATACACTGCACAACCTATTATTCCGGACATCGGTAGGAAAAACATGAACGGTACCGTAAATTTGTGCAGTTTCAAAGCTTCTTTCCTGTGAATAGATATTAGAGGATTACAGACAAGTGGATAACCATGTTTCCAAAACGTATTTCTCAATTAAAGACAGGGGGAAATTGAGATATCGAGGAAAGTATGCTGTGTTTTGTAAACAATACTGAAGTGTTTACAAACTGAAATTGTATCCAGCCTCGACTCATTATTGATATTTATTCCACATTTATCAATTTTACCCTGTAAAACTAACATACACAGTTTTGCGTCTGATTTTCAAACTGGAAAGATCAGACATGGTATTACGTTGCATTTTTTCGAAAATTGCAAACGTATTTCATTAATACAAAAGCGGAGTTATAAGACAGCACCTATCAGTACTCTATTGAAACAAAATGAATTGATGATTCATTTAATTTTAAATTGGAAATAATTTTGTGCTTTCAGAAAACCAATATTTTGACTGGAAAATCAGATTATCGAGCATAATTGGAAATTAAAATATATAAATACATATCCAAAATTCTTGGAATTAAACTGGTGCGGCAATAATATTAAACGATATATATAAATTGATTTTACGAAATCAGATTTATAAAATAGTTTCTTGCCACAAGGAATCTCATCAAAATTTAGGTATTTGTGAAATTGTTTAAATCCCCAAACCCAAAATAATATGTAGAAAATATAATTGTACAGAAAATTACATTGCATTATTACCATTCCGGTGGCACTGCAATGCAGCCCGAGTATTCTGCATCTGGTTGTACTGGATGAACAGTCGGGAATATATAGCGAAATATTGCTGCTGTTAAGAACACTTCTAACCAAATAACAGCAGCCGTAATCTGAAAATATAAAGATAGTAATATTCCTATGAAAATAGGTTTACGACTTAAACAAATTGACTAATTTATCTGTCTCAAATTGTGATAAAATCAAATCCATATAAAATAAATAGATATACCGTTGCCATGCTTGGTGTAAACACACGTTTGACACGCATTGGACACTTCATCGCATACAGACGAACAATGCTGAATATTAGAATATGTTGTACTGTAACGTATTCTGTCCAAACACGAACACTATGAGACAACTGAAACAAATATAAAACAAATATAAAAATCGTTAGGCTGATGCAGATGTGCCTACAGGCTCGGTACTGTTCCCGTAGTAGCTGATGATACAGCAGTACCGCTTGTATCTACCCTGTCAAACTCCAATCATTGGAATAAAAGATATGTAGTTCTCCGTGTGACATGGGATATTCTGCCAGAATACATGCTTGCGTTGAGATATCAAGGTGTAAAGAATTCCACGATTCACAAACCAAATTTTGACCAGCGTCTATTGCACTTACAGTTGTTTCACCAGTGTGCCTGATTTAGGAAAGAAATTTATCTCCACCAAAATCTAATAAAATAACATTCTGAAATTCTATCATTGGAAGAAATTAGTCAAAACCTCACGCCCATCCTACACAGTCCGACGACATCGTGTTACGGCTCATGTGGTTCGTCCTTAACGCGGGAGTTTCCATTACAGTAATTTTCGCACAGTTACCATAATATAGATGTTCCGAGTTTCCGACGCGACTTCACGAGAACTCGCTCAGAAACTAAAGAGAATGATCCATAAGCAATGCTACGAGCGACCCCTAAAATGCCAGGAGGTACTAACACTTTAAAGAATTATAGTGTGAGGTTGCGCATTAGTGTATACCAATTTGTCGCGAGACTTGAAGCAGTTCGCGTCAATACGATCAGGAAAACATCTATAGTGTACTAAATTTATCTGATAGGTACACTGATCGTAAACGAACGTCAGTTCACATACAACCGAGTTTGGCGGCTGAAATCATTTTTCGGAAGAACAAGTTCCGGAAGTTCAGACGAACACAATTGATGTGTTCCAACCAGACGGAATTTGAGTGATTCTGGTAGACTTTTCTTCAATATTTCGAAATCAAATCGGTTTAAAATTTAAAAAAAAGTGATAATTTTTTATTCAGATTAAGACCTTTACTAATCATTGGGACATACCTACCCCCACTCGAAAGTAAAAAAGGTTTTCATTACATCGGGATTTTCTGGTGCCATGAAGTTTAATTTCAGCTCCGGGTTTTTTGAAGTGTTGTCAAATTCAACTTAATATCCAGACAGAAGTTTGAGAAACGATGATATCATATGACCAGATTTCGCATTGATCAAGACCCTGATAACCTAATATATTCTCAAAAAATGACCTACTATAGTTAAAACAGTATAACATTATTTATAAGCAGGAGCGCAGCCAGGATTCTTTGGAGGGAGGGGGTTCAAAATTGGAATAGGAAATTTCCGCGCAACATTATTCGCGATTAAAAAGGATAACGAGATTTCTGTTGGGTAAAATATTCAATCCATGACCGATGCGAGCATTTAAAGTGTATTGTCGTTATAATTTATTTGTGCTCATCGTTACTCACGTTTGATTCGAGATTACTATTAGGATTACTAAAATGAAAGAATACTGTTCTAAAATAACATAAAATACGTGATAAACTGCCAGCTATAAACAAAACTGGAGTCTTATTTTTGCGATCTTGGGATTTGTCAAACTTGATTTGTTCTTTCGCACTCGAGATTATTTTTAAGCAAGATATCGCCTTAAAAAATCACAAGGTCTGGGCAAAATACGAACGATTGAAATTTATTTCATCGCATGCGGCTCCGTCGGTAGTTTCAGAATGAAAAAAAGGTAGCCTACATCGCGCGCACAATTGACTGTGTTTCGATTTCGCAGTTACTACGATGAATAACCAAAGAAAACCTAACATAACACCAAATTTTGTGATTAACAATGTTTATGAAAGCGTTTTAAGGTCTGCTGAAACCAAACTTATAGTGTGATTTTTCATTTTAGGTTTTAGTTTTAATATTTTAGAATGCCGCTTTTCAATCAAAAAATTTGAGTTGCGGATTTACCTCTTTATTAATTATTATTTTTAGCATTTCGTCGCCGATGACCATAATATGTTTTTCACATTGAACACATAATTTCCCACGAGAACAAATAAGCAATTATTGTCGTCATTGTGGAACAATACATGTATATGCCAAAGGAAATTTTCGATTTAGGGAGAATAAACACCGGCGTAAAGATGTTTAAGGTTTAAAAACACGCCATGCTGACGAAAACAATCGGCAACTATAACAAAATGCAATCGCGCACGTTATTAGCGGCTCTTTAAGTCTTCCAAAAATGTCAAAAGGGAAAAGATTCGACCCCTAATTATTAATATGTTTGCCAGGTGTCAAATTTACAGTTTAAATTAAGTAAAGTACTTTCAACTTACTCAGGAATATTAATCGGAAAGTAACAATTTTAACATTTATTTTGGGGCTTCGTGAATAATAGTCAACCTTTTCAAGAGCTCCGCAACACAAAAAGTTTGAGAACCCCTGACCTAAACAACCGAAAATGATATGTGCCCCGGATTGTCTTTATACAGTGATTCAAAATTAACTTTCCCAAAAACATCTTTAAAACGTATGGCGTATTTCATTTGCCTGGACGATAACCAATAAAGTCACAGCTATAACCAATACGACCTGGTCTTATCTAAGTGATCGGGATATCGATGCTTAACAATACATATATTTTGTATGATGATAATTATATACCATTAACATTACCATTATTTGGACGAGTTAATGCTGACCAGATCGAACACAAAATTTTAGAATCGTCAGTGACCTAATTAATATTGTTCCATCACAATAGAGCTAAATGTTAAATGAAGAAATCAAAAGATGCATCTACGAATTTTCTTACCTTGCAAAAGAATTCTGGTCCAGTGTATGCCCTCAAAGACCATAACAAACTATAGGACTGAATAGAACTATTAGAAGCAGAAAGGAAATCTGAGATGCAAAGACTCACAAGAAGAATGTTGAACGGAGATCTGATAAACATTGAAAAAATCGAAAATCAGCTTTTTTTTATTATAAATACAATAGAAAATAAACATAAAGCATTTAAGTAGGCTAATCTACTTTTGCCACATAAAAAACAACTTTGAATAAAGTTTGTGTTATCTTACTTGGACAAGAGATAACATTTCGTTGAAAATGGAAATTATCTTTTTCGGAAGTAACTGAAAGGGCATGTACATGCCCCGAAATGAATCGTTGCTATGTATTAAAAACCGTAATGTTTTCTGTAATCTTCTGTTCCTGCCGAGGTTATCTATTGCACTCATCCGTGACGGTATGAGCGACCCAAAATATCTCAATCTGAATCCATAAATTTTTAATTACTTCTTCGAAAATGAAGAAAAAAACACTTGAACTTCTGTTTGCTCATGATTGCGCCAAAAAGTTTCTGTCATCTATGACGCCTAGCACAAAAGTTATGTATGTTCTCTCTAGAATATGTATGTCCCATTTGACCTGAGTTCTGTTTATTTCTGTTGGGGGGAGGGGGAGAGGCTGTATTATCGTCGATTGTATTGTACCATACTCGAGAAAGCGGGAAATCATTGTCGCGAAGTAAGCCAGTAGAAAACTTATGGCATTTTCGTATACTATTGATGGAAAAAAACTTAAATTCTCGCCATAACTTACTTTTTAAGCTCTTTATTCTTCATGATCACAAAAATTGTCAACCCGTTTGCAAATACTCCGAACAGCCCCAAAATGAGAAATACAGAAAAGAATATAATACGTTGTGTGGGAGTAAATATCTGCGTTGAATACCTGAAAATTTCAACTTTATAAAAGTGGAGTTTATTATACCTTAGTCAACAGATATAAAATTCGACTTGTTCTAAGAAGTTGCTTGTCTAGAAAAACTAGAGGTTGGATGTTAAAATGTATCCAACCCCACATTCACAAGAGAAATGGATCTCTAAAAAATTCTATTCATGGAAAATAGATACCTAATAAAATTAAACCTATATACAATTTCGTTCCATGGAATAATATATTTCATTTCTCAATCAAAAAGAATTGTGATACATACCAAATGAACGTATCTGAATCTTTTGTATTGGATTCTAGACTGCTTTCGAAAGTGTTCACACTTTCGTATGTACCGGTGGTATTCATGTTTCGGATGTTTTCTTCAATCTTTGTTCACCAACAGCTTATTTTATTTTTATTATATCGTCGTGGGTTACGCTATATATATCACTTATTCAAAACAAAATATATATCAAACATTTCAATTCCAACTGTTTCATAATAAAAATCTGTATTGAAATATTATAGAATGTGCGTTTGGAATTAGTAGCACTTTTGTAAAGTACAAGTCAAACATTTTCATTTCATTTATCTTTTTGATTTTAAGCCAAATATGGAGAAACATTAACGTATTTGAATGGTGTTTAAGCGTTCGATTCATATATTTTCAGTCATGATGATTTGTCAGAACCGCAATATATTACAAACAAATTTAAATGCACACTCAAAGAGAACTTTCTATATTTTTATTGGGATTTTCAACTTACCTTCACCTTAGTTTCAGGCGATTCAATAAGTATCACCCACTCTCCACATAGCCACGTTGCTCAAAAGCTACCTACCATGCTACTAATACAACATTATATCGCGAATTCCGACGCCAGAAATATATATGCCAATTTTAGTAGAACCTGTAAAAATTTCCTCCTATCTTAATATTACGTAGCGAGAACAGCACCTCGACCTCTAATCGTGGATACCAATATTTAATAATGCCTCAAAGATTCTTCTTGTAAGAAATTTTGGAGTTGAGCGGTGTAGAAACATGCGAAAAATCTTGACACAGTGAGTGACGCAGATTTCTTCACAAAGCTATATTTGGAAACACCAGTTTCGGATCTATCTAAAAAAGATTACCAAGGGTAATTTTCGGATAAAGATTGTCATTTTTCCTATTTTGTTGAAAGGCGGCGTTGTTATGTTAATAAAAATTTATCAATTAATCTAAATTATCACTAAGGGTCCAGCCTACATTGCCTAATGGCAAATCCAGCACTAGTCTAGCCATTGCGACAAACTAAATTTTATTGTGATCCGGATAATCCAACCCTAGTTGTTGCTACGCTCGCTAACGAGATTGGATATTGTTCTTTCGCTTACAGTACGTTTTTCCAAACGACAGTGAATTATAATATGACAAGTTACTTATCACAACTGCAAAATAAGTGTAAAAAAATGATATGAACCTAGCATCTAATTGATATGTTAAGGTAAACGATACATACAGAATAATGCGTTCTAACATGGATTGTTCCAATATCGTTTATGTCTTGGCCATTGATATATATCTTATGAATTCAGCGATCAGCTATTGTTGGGTATATGACATATCAATCACTAACGACTGAATCTGTATGCATCATTGAGATTTAAGTGATTGATTCCACACGTTAAGTTTGGGTAATAATACATACAAATTTAGCAGTTCGCAGCGCTTAGGAATGTATGTACAGTTCAATACAAAGTTAGTTTATTCAAGAAAGAGTTCCAATATCCTTTTCGTTACTAACACCCTACTAGCGGAATTTGTTGTGGGGAATTATGGAATAAGTTAATTATTGCGGCTGTATGAATTAACTTATCAATTTCGACTAACCTGGTGCTCAGCTACGGCTTTACCGGTACTAACGTGAATGAATGTTTCCCCGAGCATCGACTTCCTTGGTTATATTCGTAACAATTGCCGCATCGAACCTACGAAATATCGTAAGTGTAATATATTATTATTCGTATCGATACTTTAATACAAACACATTAATTTCAATGTTATTGTTTACGGTGTAACCAGAAAAAATCGATGAGACGACTGAAATTGATATTAAGAAATTTTCTGAAATCTGAATCACCAATGATTGGTGTCAAGGTGCAATTTATTTTGTGTATTTTTTATTTTTTTGAAACAAAGTGTACATATGGATCGTTTTGTTGTTGTTCTTGTTGTTGGTATTTTCCTTCTTATTGTTATGAAAAAAAAAAATCGAATTTCTCCTCAACTACTGGACCTATTTATTTGAAATGTTTAGTGGTTGAAGATTTTCTTTTGTGCTTTTTAAGGTATTACTTTAATTGCTATCAAAAATTTCTGTGGTTTTTATAGATTTCGTTTTTTCTATGCGAGACGTCATCAAAATTGCGCACTTTGCCGTGGTTCCGTGATCACACCTCAGGGATCCTGTGACATGATGCCGGTACTGTGAATCAGCGGTTCCGAAACTTTTTTCTGCTAACCCAATTTTCATGAAATCGAAGGCTACAGATACTCGCGACCCCACAATAGGAATAATACACCAATTTCAAAAATCAGTATTTTCTATTTAATTATTTTAATGAAAACAATGCGTCTGTATATCACTTGTAGGTTAGAGCAGGGCTCCGCAACTACTTTGACCCCCCCGAAATTCTCTAATTTCTCGCGACCCAAGCATCTGGTAAGCAAGTAATAGTGATCGATTTCAAGACTATTATTGACACTATAGCAATTTTCTTGCACAAAATTATATCAAACATGGCACATAAAATCTCGGTATCTATCTTATCATCAATTCTTTACTGAAATTAAAATGAAACACCTACGAGGACAAAATGAACATTTAGTTGTTCGATTTAGACTTATATTTACCAAAACACAACTCAAAACTAACAAAAAGCACGCAAAAACGAGGTAATATTCGCAACCCTGTATTTGCGAAACCCTGGGTTAGGGGAACGTTGATGAGACGTTGCTGTACGTAACCTCTCAGCACAGTCTCAAACAAAATATAAAAAAACACCAAAATCCGTTCAAAAAACAAATGGTCGATTGGACTCAAATGTTAACCTTTATATTCACGTGAACGGTGAACATTTTCCCAATATTTAAAAATATTTGAACACGTCCGGCGATACGCCAGAAACATGGAGAAACACTCAGAAGATTTGTTGACACAACGCATTCTATGAAAAACACGATGTAAAAATCTCTGAGATTTGAAACAGTAAAGAACGCCGAGTTCTTTGGCAAAACGTAGACCTTGACTATTTTAGTCCAGCGTCAAAAAATTACAGATTTCTCCATCACTTGAAGGTTAAACAGAGTATGAAAGTAAAGTGAGAAAAAAGAGTAGCCTGCAGGGTCTCATCTTTTTCAGATGCCTTTTTATTTACTTGAATTTGATGTCGTTTTATTTTTGGATCTGCTATGATATCATGTGTAACGTAGCAGGGTTTTAAGGCGATGGCGTTCGACTGTAATATACTGTGTAGAAAAGACCGTATTCTTCCTCGCTAAATGACAATTTAATTGACTTTTGAAAACTGGCCAATACTCAGCTTATAGGTATTCTGTTGCTCCAGTACAGAGGTTCACAAGATAAGCAGTCAAGAAATATTAACACCCCTCCAACGGTGCACTTGCAACGAACACGGACGTAAAAAGGAACAAGCTATTGATAACACGAACCACACGGTGGAATGAACCTAAGATATACGTATATCACGTTACACACGTATAAAATATAACATGCTTCTTTTTTTGTTTTGAAATATTGCAATACGAAAATGCAACATTGTTCACTTTTATTCGAAGGTGATGTGAACAAAAACACGTAGGCCTGTGTGTTCAGTATAGATTTTAGACACGCGCGAGAAAAACCAAAGCGCTTTCGCAACGGATAGAAACCTGTAAAATATGTTTACTCGGCAAAGACACTACCAGCAATCAATAAAATACATCGAATTTTGGACCAATCGCTTAATAAAGCAACGTTACTTTGTATATTCGGTTATCAAGCGGTTACACTGGTATCAAAACAACATAATTTCTGCACAGACCGGTAAAAACAGGTTCGCGGACCAGTGGCCACTGGTTTAGCCTGCAGGTACTCATGAGGATTATTACTATAAGGTCAACTGCTTATTCGAATGTAACATTATCAAAACAGGTATAAACGGGGACTATTATTGACGCTCACTCAGGTTATCACTCAGTCGCATTTACTATTACCCGTGACCAGCACAAATTTCACTATTCAACTTTTAACTTCTTGTGACTTGTGTGCATTTTCAACAGAAGTCGGGCGACGCGGGTCGCGACCCACAGTTTAAGAACCACTGCTGTAAATGATTTGATACTACTTAGTTTTGGTCTTCGTGTCCCTATATTTGTGCAATGCTCTCTTGATCTTGTTGGACACGAAGTGAACCTATAGATTGTTTCAATATTATCATGTTGTTAGAATTCTTTGTCACGTTCTTGTTCTCATTGTTATAACGCATTTCTCTTTAAATCTGATTTGAAATAATTGTGTAATGATTTTTATGGCCGAACAAACTTAAAAAGCCAATATAATGTAAGTTAAAATGAATTAAAATTAAAACACATCTTTTATCGAATAATTTTCAACAAAATCAAAAAAAATCGCTTTTCTTCTTATCTACTGGACTAATCCCTTTGTAATCGCAAGTGATTAAAGATTGGTGTATTTTGCCAAAAGACTATTACTTTTATTTATTTCAAAACTGTCTGTGGGCTCTACGGGATTCGTTTTTTGTGTGCAATGACGTCATCAAATTTAATAAATTGCGCACCAAACGGCGGTTCCGGCATCGAGTTGGTTGCTTGCCGGTGATCAGTCGAAGTCATATGACCTGCGGCACCGGTAGTCTACCGTGGAAGATTGCATACTCATAATACTTCGTTTTGGCCACCGTATTCGTATATTTGAGCATTGCTTCTTTTCAAATTTATAATCAAAACACAGAAGAAGGAACTCATTTATGTATCATGGTCATCTTCGATCAAAAACTAGTAAAGCTAACTGGTACAAAAACGTAATTTCCAAATTATGATTATTAATCCACGATTCAACCTGGTCACAGAGTGACATGCCACGGGGCGAGAGCAAGCTTAATAAAGTCCAAATTTAAAGTTTATGGCTCGTACCACGGGGCTGTGGAGTGCCATTCCATTGAGCTGAACAACTACAAGTGATGTGATGAAGATTCTTTTGGTGAATTCATCGGCGGAATATTGTAAAAATATTTTCTCTGCCTGTTGGGTCCAGCTTCTCGGAGACCAATGGTTTTGAATTGGTATTGGTTGTTAATTCTTCCTTACCAGCGCCAGTTAAATCCATACTTTTGGAAATGTTTTCTCAAATTGTTTTCTTCAATAACTTCAATGTTATTTTGAATATTGATAAATTTCTTGATTCTCTCAACATTATTCCAAAGTGACGATTTAATAACACATCGCTTTCGATTTCTGTAAAATTTGAAGTTCACGCGCAAACAAAACTAAATAATTTTCGTTTTTTATTTCGCTTTTTCTTGGGAGGGGGGGGGGGGGGGTTCACCCTGTATAGGCATACAAATTAACAGCATAAAATATTGATTATGAAGGGCAATGAAAATATAAATACAACCGTCGGCATAAATTTGAGATTATTGAAATAACGTATTTACAAAGCATAATAAATATTTGATACGGTTAAATGTTTATTTTTTTCGTCGATTTTAATTTCAATTTCTGCCAAATGTGACCGATCGCGCATACTTCTTTAGTTAAATACACACTACTACATTAATTAATCTATTGATACATTCAACAAAATATGTATTTGGTATGTTATTAACAAAATTATGCACGTATCGATTCTAAATACATATTTAATGAGTATGCAAAATCGACTCAATTCACCTGTTGAAGGGAATAAACATGACCTACGTCAATGCACCTGATAGCTTCCGTAATTTATAACCTAATCATAACAGGATTATTGATAGTTTAATTGAAACCCCACATAGTATTTTTATATCGATACCATGTAGTCGAATTACACGGTTGAGCTGACATCACCCATATTTAATAGCACGACATGAGAACAACTGATTAGTCAAACAAGCCACTCGTGAAGTATTCGTGGTAGGTTTTTAATTAATCGAACTAGTCAACAAACAGATATGAATTCGAGCTCATATTTTGGTAATTTTGGTAACAATGTTACCCAAATTGGAACGATGAATAATACCCGCCCACAGCACGGAATGTAAGTATTTTTGTACCAGTATTATGAGTACTGCATGTATATAATATATATATTTTTTTTTTCAGTCAATTTGTGGAAAAGAAAACCCAAGCCATGACTAGAAATTAAAAACTAAAAATAAAAAAGAGGGAAATAATATCAGTTTCAATTTATCCAATATATCAAATCAGAAACATTTTATGGAAAGTCTTCTGCGTTATATATTTGTGAATCGATTGAAAATTTTTTTGATAAATCATTGTAAAAATGTTAATGAAAAAATGAAAATTACCTGAACTAAACCTTAACATTAAAACCCGATTTACGAACGGATTCACTAAGACAGCGGTCTCTAAACATTTTTGTGCGCACAGCGCCAAATTACCCGGGAGAAAACTCACCGCGTTTTTACTCGAAGAAACATTGCTGCTTGTAAAACAAAACTCAATTTTGCGATCGTTAATGTGTTCTCTTTCAAAATTTGTGAACATGTTTATATGCCTAATGAATGAAACAAAAGGTCAATGTTCTTCCTCATCCCTGCCTGATGTTCCTTTAGAATGCTAAATGAATCACCCACGTTCGCTAAACTCGGTTCAGAAGAGAAATAAACTGCAGGTAGCGTAATTGCAGCATGTAGTGTCTACCATATTGTTACCTATCAATAGAGGCAGACATTACGTAACAGTTAATTTAATTTCTGTTAATTTCTGCCGCGCACCTTTTGAGAACCGCAAAATCCCTCATCCTCGCTAACTTGAATATATAACACATTCAACATAGCCATCTTGGATTTAAAATAGTTCATGTAAATTCTTATTTTTAGATTTGATCCAAGTATATTCAGTAATGTGGAAAGAGGTATATTCTCTGCGATAATAGTCATCCTAGGAATTTTTGGAGTAGTTGCGAATGTGGTTACATTTATTGTGATTTTCACATCTCCTAAACTAAGCAAGTATGTACAACTTTATAACATCAATGCACAACAATGCTATTTTTATGAGCATTTATGTTCTTCACTGTTCATTGATTTCATTCATGTCTTTCATTTGTTTTATCTTTCTTTTTGCTTCTTTTTCACTTAGTATTTTCAAAGAGTGGTATTGTAGAATGAGCCAATGTAACGTGTAAAACAAGATCTAAGATAACAAAAAGTATCGAAGGTAGCGTGAATACAAAAGCTAAACTGACCCCCAAAATAACATACACATCATATATCATATTCGACTTGATATTGTTATTGAAAGAGTATACCGGTTTTGTAACCACGGCTGTGGTGGTTATCTTTAGTGTAATGACCTAAAATTGAAAAGCGAGTTTTTTAAACTCAAGACGGTATGGAACGGTATTGGTGATAGCTAACCTCTAGCCATCTTCATTTACTGTCAAGTCCAACCAGAACAGTAAACATATTCAAAAAATACAATTTTAGGTCCCCGTTCAATGTTCTCCTCATGAGTTTATGCGTCTCTGATTTTCTGTCCGCTTGTAATAGTGGAATGCAACTATATCATTACATGTGGGGATTGCAAGAATTCACAAATGAGTTTTTATGCAAGGTAAGTATTTTCAGTGGTATTCTAATCAGTGTACCATTCTGCAATCTTCTTTCTTCTCCTAGAAATGTCTAAAACTCCACCCTGGTTTACTGTTAAAAATTTGTAATTCAATTCAATGTCTTATTCAATGTATTGCACACTGGTTTTAGAATATTATTAGTATACCAGCTAGCTATATCGTAGTGTGATCGTTAGGCAATTAGGATGTCCAGCGCCAATTACCATGTATAGAACATTTTGTTACTTCGATTATTTCCAATTTCAACCATATCTGGAGATATTTGTCAACCAAAAGATGTTACACGCTCTGTTCTTGTATTGCGATATTTAACATAAAACTGTTGTGCATACATAGTGATTCTTTCTCATTATAAACAATTTTTAGTCACAAATGTAACAAAAATTATATATTTTTACCTAGGCAACTTCCGGTATCCGCGTTTTGACAGAGTATGTGACAATACAGCATATTCTCGTATTTAGCATCGTTCGACTGTTTGTCATCCAGTTCCCGTTGAAAGCCAGCTCTTTCAAAAAGAACCATGCAAGGGTATTAAGATTATCTCTTTACTTTCAATATATAAAGTATGGATAATATTTTAGGTGGTAGAATGACAAAATTGAATAAAAATGCATCCAGTACCTAATCGAATATTTGAACATTGTTTTTTTTACCTATATATATATCTAATGTAAACTAGTCAATCTTTTAAAGCCAACTGTTGCTAAAAAATATAAATTGACTAAAATAAATTTATCTGATGAAGATAAAAGTAGGAAGCATTTTATTTTGATAGTAAATTTTGCTTTTCTCGTTTAATATTTGTAACAAACACAAAATCTTATATCTGGTACGTTTTATAAATTTCGTCAATTTTTTTTATTTACAGATTATTGCTGTAATTATTTGGATCGAAGTCTTCTTTGCCGCTGCAATATTTCGCATCATATTTCCAACAGTTTATCCCGTCAGACCTGGTGAAAAATATTCAGGATGTACATCTGTTGGAGAACATTGGTAATGGCAAATAAGTACTGTGAATAAATTGTGATAGTATTTGAAAATTAATAGGATAGGAGCAGATGCTAATATGACTACAGCTTGTATCGGTGTAGACTCTGTCAAAAATACTGTTGGGTTTTAAATTATAGAAATCCTGTAAAATATATGTTTTGCAAGAATGACTGGTTATGGTATGAAATTGCATGATTAAGTTTGTTCATTCTTTGGTGATTCCGCAAAAACATTATATCTTCCTTTCTTTAATTACCAAATTAATGTTTTCATGATCTTCCAAATTAAGTATCAAAACTTGCGGATGAGAAAATTGGGGAAAACTGTTTTGTGAAATATTACTCGATCTGAGTGATTTAGTCACATGTTTACAAATAAGTGGTATGTTAATACACAATTAATTTTTAAATTATTCTGGATTTTGATGGCATATTACAGGTTAAATTATACGACATGAGTTTTGCTTTCTGGTATATTCCTTTATCGCTAGATAAAAAAAAACTAGGTAAAGTCTGAAAATCAAACCACATCCGGATTTTTATCAGAATTTTTCGTTTGAAAAAATATTCTACCAGGGGAATAGTAATACTATATGCGTTATACAAGTTATGCTCGAGAATCTTCCAAAAAAATAATACATTTTTAGGCGCGGCACAGCAATACTGTTCCAGAGCTTTGCTGTACCAATTATGCTCTTTCTTCCGATGGGCGGCATTGTCATTTGTACAATTTGTATAATCACGAAACTCATATCAGTACAAAAGCAACGAGGTAAGTACTAGTTTTATAATTCAGCTAAAACAGACGCGAGCATACAATACATACAACATGCGTATCATTTTTAGGCGGTCGCCACCTGCATGTATTTTGCTTGCGTCGAAATTTCAATTCTCGTCACAAAAAAAAAAAGTAGGATACTTTAATCGAAGAGAAGGATTGTAATATTTATCAGTATCATAACAGGTCACTATCGGGAGGGTAAAAAATGTGTGAAGTCATCCATGGCACACTTTATACAATGTATAATATATGCATATATAATATACTTTTGTAAATCCTATTTAAGATCAGAAAAAGTTGTCGATGAGATTCGAATTTGTGACTGATTTAGAAAATATATATCTTCAGTTTGGATTTCTTGTAGAGAGCCCCGCCACTAGTGTAAAATATGTGAGATTTGAGAAAACATTTTTAAGCGGTGGCAGAGTATTTTTTGTCGAGAGCTTTCAACAAAAAATTGCTCAGCTTTCATGCTAAATGTTATTAATAGATATTTTTATATTTTGTTGTATATTTCAGCCACACTCGGCCAAGCAATTTCACGTCAAGATAATAAACAAAGAGCTGCATTGATTCAAACCATTCTTATAGTATTCTCCTTTCTGATTGGATACTCTGGAGGTGCAGGTAAAGTGTCCTATCGATTTCTACCAGTCCTATCTAAAACACAGTAAATCGTAAATTATGGACACAAAGAACCGTATCGAACCGGTCCATCTTCAAGGCTCATGAACGGACACGGTTCGTTGAGCACGAGCCCGCCGAAAACGATCAAAAAAATCCATATTGTGGCGTGTTTTAAAATAGCATTGTTTGAGGTGAAACGGAACCCCGGTAGAAGTTTGCACGTAGGTCTACGTTTCTTTTTGATAGCTGATTCCATCTCACACTTTACCGTTTTTACCTTTGTACGGTGCTTTGATAGCTTGTATAATATTTGGACTCGAATACTAAATAAGAAATTTCTATCGAAAAATGAAATGAAACAAATTGAAAAGTTCAATATTAAGCTTTATTAACTGAGTAACTAATTCTCTATATTTTTTGCCTAAGACAACTTGAAGTGCTGATATATCGATCAAAAATGCTCTTCTTGAAATATTCATTAAACAATCTCCAATGCGATAATAAATCTCATGAAAAATGATCATACAATTATTTCCGATTCAATCGAATGACCTCAAATACTGTACAGTAATATTTTCTTGGATACCTTTTCTTTATTTCTCTCATATATTCACACTATCATGTCAATGAACCTCGACGTCGTTTCGACTTATTTTTCAATATTTATTGGGCAAATATGGTAATTTAATTATTTTTATAGCGTTCAGATTTACTATCACGACCAAAGCTTTATTCAAGTTTACAGCGAGAACTAAAAGGATGTTTGCTTTGACTGCATACACTGTGTTACGAACGAGTGAATGTCTCAACCCCGTTTTCTATAACCTTTCATCCAGGTATTTTTATCAAAGTTTTTCAATTCCACGTTAAAATAAATCACCTAAAAATTAACAGTTTGTTTTATAAAAATGTTTTTAGTCAACTTCGTGATGCTACAAAGGCACTTCTTGGAAAAAATTCCAGCAAGGCTTCTCTTCCGAACGCTAGACACAAAACAACAATAAGCTCAAAGATTCAACCTCCTACCTAAAACTTGAGACATCAATGCGTCGATTCAGTCTGAATATTCAAAATGAACATTATTTATTATGTATTATATAGGATTCTAGGAAAGTTTCATACATATGAAGTACTTTTAGATTGACTCTTGTTCTGTACATCTATTTATAAGTAATGTTAAAGGTAAGCTGTTTTTGAGTGTTTCCACAGGCGAAAAAATAGGCATATTGTGCACTGACCAACAGACGCTTTTTCACTATTCTATAACGCGTAAACTCACAAAATTGTAGATATGACAGTTTTACAGAAATGTGAATATATTCATGTATATATATATTTTCTGGTTTTCAAATACGCCTCAGACGTCGGTGTTCGTTTCTTTGACCATTATTCATTTTGTAAAGTTATATTGTTATCTTGCTGTTACTTAACATTTTTGAAATTTAGTTTTCCAATTTCTGTTGTCGTGATTAGTGTTTTGTTAGGAGATTGGAATGATGATTTGTTGGTATGTCGATAAATGAACAAAATAAAAGGATCAAAGCACAATGTCATTGCACGTTTTGCTATCAATACATCAACTGCTATGGCAAGAATGAGAAAAAGGTCATGAAAAGAACAGGCCAACCAATATCCCCGTTGTCGACGTTCACGTGGATTGTGTCTGGGAGAGTATATGTAAATAATCATTGTAGTGTAGCAAATGTGGATTGTAACTATGGATTATAATGTTATTTAACCCCTTCATATTAATAGTATCTTACATCTTCTGAAAATAGTCCACTTTGTGATTCGCGACAGCGATAAGCCTTCGTCTATATAGCCTTCTTTGTAAGCGACCAATTTGATGACGTATCGTTTCCGGCCACGCCGAGAGTACTGAAATATATTGTGCTTGTGATTTATTTTGTTTTTGACTTTGTTAAGATTTAAGTGTTTTCAATATATCTGTATTCGTATTGGATTGTGTAACTTTCAATATAACAATTGGCATGCAATACATTGTGTGCTTTATTGACCTCTGAAGGAGTACAGATTGTACTTGCACATTCGGAGTACAGGCCGAACAATTCCCTATAGTAGAGTTTATTTTAATTGCCCATTCGACTTCGTATACATTGACAGTTAGAAAATGTCTAAATTCAACCACCTACATATTTTGTTGCAAGCCACCAATGATTCCAAAACCGACATTTTCAAGCATGATAATTTATATAAGCTTTTCATTATTCACTGTTTAATTAATTATCGTTTGGTATCGTATGGTACGTTGGAGTTGAGAATAAAGACATTGTCTCGTGGAAGTGTCTGACAAAGACTTGGGGGATTGGTCAGTCGAGGCGCTACCGTTGCTATTCGTCGTCGTCTGACGACAGAGGAAGCGAAGCCTCTTTCTCAATATCTTTATTTAGGAAGTGGTGTATATTTTTCCATTAGCGATACAACTATTTCCAAATTATAGACATGGGTTTATAGGTATATAAATATATATATAGATATATACAGTAGTGTAGATAGACGCTCATTTTATATTCAATTCACGAAACAATATATTCAGAGAGTCACTGCACAAGTGGAACAAAAACAGTTTAATAGCCTTGACCTGAACAAGCACATGATAATTTTCAATCTAAATGTCCATCTCGAAATATAGCGCATTTTTGCTGACCAGTGACCGTCGTTTTTCACAGTAAACTAAAACTAGAATAACGATAGAATAGAACATATATGATCTGTAAACTTGTTGCCTAGGATGCTCACTATTTCCCAGCAGAAAGCACACTAGCTCACGCAACTTTGAACTATTTTTCATTAGAAACAACAAAATCAAGGTTTTGTCATATTGGTAATAATGAGAACAAAAATAATTACTTGAAATAAGCAATTTGAGTGGGTTAAAATCATGGCTATATTACACTCGCAGCCACGTCGAAGTAGTAAACAACATCAATCATGGATTGTATTCATAAAGACAATCATCAAGTCATTATAGGTAAAAGAAGCTCCAGATGTCGAAGACAGATTTCGAGTTTGATTCTTCATGATCTATCTGACCTGTCGCACCTGCATTTTTTTTTTTGATTCTTTCAAATTAACAAGAGATCAATGTTGAAATACAAGCGAGCTATGCTCAAATTTACACGTCACGCTGAAATTCACTGTGGTACGATACGGTAGCTTACCAGCAGGCTTGACCACGGAACCTGTTCGCTGATCACGTGATCAATATGTGTTTGCGGAATCGCCACGTGATGGAAATTCTGATGACGTCATAACTCAAAATAAAAACGAATCCCATAAAGCTCACAGGAATATTTGAAAATAATAAAAGTAATAGCCTTCTAGGAAAAAAATCAATTTTTAATTACTGAAAATGTCAAAGCAATTGGTCCTGTAATCAAAGGAAAAAACAACTTTTTAAAAACGTGTCAAAGAACAAGAACAACAATAATATAATATTGAAACGATCGTTATGTCCACAGACGTGTTCAAATAGATGAACAAGAAGATCGAAGGACAACGTCAAAGAGACAGATTTCACGAGGCTGATCTTCATGACATGCCGTATGCACATTTCACATCGGTTCATATATATTGGTTATGAAAAGCAATGAATTATAAATACATCCGTCGGTATAAATTGGATAATGTTGAAATGACGTATTTACAAAGCAGAACGCATATATATATGATACAGTTGAATATCTGAGATTTTTCTCGATTTTAATTCAAAATTGTGTCAAAATGTGTGTGACATAATGCCTAAATATGTGGTTGAGCAACCTAGTTAATTGATGAACTATTTCATGATCAATCAATAAAATCAATTTTGGTTTCATAATAACTGATAGAGGATTTCAGCATAGGAAAGCGTAAGTAGCAGATACATTGATGCTTTTAAAACCTAGAATTTAACACTATGTAACCGATCGCGCACAATAATTCAGTTATAAACACTATTATTACAAGAATCAATTAATGATAACATTTAACAAAATATGGATTTGGTATGTTATCAATGATTATGCCCTTATCGATTCTAAATACATATTTAATGAATATGCAAAATTCACTCAATTCACCTGTTAAATGGATTTGCCAGTCTTGCTTCTCTTTCACTCAGTATTTTCAAAGAGTGTCATTGCAGAATGAGGGTAACATGTATATATATATATATAAAAAGACGAGAACAATGTTACCCAAATTGAAAAGGTCAATAACGCCCGCCCACAGCACGGAAGGTATTTTTGTACCGGTATTATGGGTACTTCAAGTATTTATTGTATTATTATTTTTCAATCAATCTGTGAAAAAGAAAGTGACTAGAAGTTAAAAACTATAAACAGTAAGATGGAAATAATTTCAATTGACCCAATATTTATACCAAATTAGAGACATTTTATAAAAGGTCTACTGCGTTAGATATTTGTCAATCGGTTAAAATTGTGTTAACAGGAGCATGGAAATTAATTAATCTAAAAACCGATCCATGAGTTGATTCCCTAAGAAATACTTCCTTCTCGCCAACTTGAATATACACATTTATCATAGTCATTCTATATAGAAGATACCCCAAGTAAATTCTTATTTCAAGATTTGATCCAAGTATATTCAGTAATGTGTGAACAGAAATATTCTGTACAATAATTGTCATCCTAAGAATTATTGGAGTTGTTATGTGCTAACATTCATCGTGATTTTCTCATCTCCAAAACAGAGCAAGTATATACAACCTTGTAATATCAACGCCTAACGATGCTATTCTTATGCTCATTTTTATTTTTCACTGTTCATTCATGTCTTATATTTTTTTTATCTTTTTTTTGCCTCACTCTCAATTATTAATATTGGTAAAAAGTGGTATTGTAGAATGAGCCAATGTAACTTGTATATATATATCAAATAACAAGATCTAACAGAACCAAAAAGTATCGAACGTAGTGTACAAAAATCAAATTGACCCCTAAAATAACCTAAAAACCATATCGTATTCAACTAGATATTGTTATTAAAAGGATATTCCAGTTATGTAAGCGCGGCTGTGATGGTGGAACGGTATTGGTAATGGCCAACCTCTAGTCACCTCATTTACTGTACAAATTCAACGAGAACAGTAAAAATATCTAAAAAAAAAAATACAATTTCAGGTCCTCGTTAAATGTTCTCCTCGTGGTCATAAGTCTCTAATTTTCAGCCATCGTGATTTTTTTTCATTCTTATAGCGTTCATATTTCCCATTGAGACCATTGATCAAAGCTTTATTCGAGTTTACATCGAGAACCAAAAAAGATGTTTTCTCTGACTTCAGACACTGTGTTACAAAAAAATAAATGTCTTAACCCCGTTTTCTATAACCTTTCCTCCAGGTATTTTCATTTTTTTTTTGTCAAATTTTTTTTTTTTTTGTTCATGCGAAGAAAACTTTTTTCAATTCCACGTTGAAATCTCACTCAAAAACCAACAGTTAATTTTTAGTCACTTGCTACAAGGACACTTTTTGGGTGAAATTTCAGCAAGGCTTCTCCGCCAAACAACAGACACAAAGCAGCAATGAGCTCAAAAGTTCAACCTTCTACCTGAAACTTGCGACACCAATGCATTGATTCAACTTGAATAATCAATCTGAACATTATTTTTTATATATTATATATGATTCAAGGTAAGCTTCATACATATGAAGTATTTATAGATTTACTCTTGTTCTGCCCGTCTATTTTAAAAGTAATATTATAGTTAATTCGAGAAAAAAAGATATGACAAACCCCAATTTTATTTTCCCCATAAGCGGTTTTTTAGGGGTTTCCACAGGCGAAAAATAGACTTGATGTGCACCTACCAACTAACGCTTTTCACCCTTCGATAGTACACACATAAACTTACAATATTGTAGATATGACAGCTTTACATAAATATGAATATATTAATGTAGATATATATTTTCTGATTCCTAATTGCGCCTCAGACGTCGGTGTCCTTTTCTGCAAACGCTTTTCACTTTTTAGTAGAACGTCATGATGACTAATGAGACAATGTTACATATATTTAAAATAAACATATTACAGATATAGAATTATTGTCAATAAATGCACAAAATAAAAATAAAATCAACTTTAAGAAGTCTTGAGTTTTATTTTAAGTCAGATTATTCGATTCGGAACAATTGCTGTCAGGTCTCTGATTCATTTACATGAATTGTTTTAAACTATTATTAGTCGTTTGAGAAACTTCGATGTCGTGTGTGTGTTATGAGATAAACGTATTTCTCCGTAAATTTTACGCTGAAGGTTGACCTGCAGCTACGTCTTTAAATCTATCATAGTTTGAAGACCATGGTCCGTTCCGGGCAGGATCAAAGCACAATGTCATTGTGCGTTTTGCTACCAATACAGCAACTGCTATGGCAAGAATGAGAAAGAGGTCATGAAAAATCAGGCCAACCATTATTCCTCCAACACTCGTCCATAAATAGGATGAAGTGTCACTGTTGTCGACGTTCACGTGGATCGTGTCTGGAAGAGTGTTATCTGTAAAATAATCATTGTGCGATTCTTTGTAATACTATTTTTTTTTTTGTGAAATGCATTGGAATTTGCTAAACATTACTCATGGTAATGAATAGAGTCTTGCGAAAAGGGTAAATGTTCTTTCTGAATTCGATCCTATATGTCAAACATTATAGAATTTTCCTATTTTACTTCGTATGCATTGAAAGTTGAAAATGGAAAAGGTTATAACTTAACCACATACCTCCTCCATTTTGTTGCGAGCCACCGCCACCAATGATTCCAAAATCGTTGCATCCACCAGCGCAAGCACATGCTGATTTCAAAATAAATTCCTGCAGAAAACCCGAGTTTACAAATAAGAATAATAGAGTATTGACTAAATACACATCGTTGATGGCTAACTTCGTTAAAGGCTACGCCATATTTTAACGCCTAAACGTAGATCAACGACGATAAAAAATAGTTGAAACTGTTAAAAAATTTCCTCAGAAGAAATGGACTCATACATGCCTAATATATCACTTACATATTCCAATGTAACAAGCTCTCCCACGAAATCAAACACAGCTTCTGTAGTCGCAGGGTCGCAAATAAGTAGAACGCGCGATTCCCTAGAGATATTTAAGCATTACATTGGTAATAAATTAATAGATTAAATTCCCACTGCATTTAAAAGAGAATAAATGAAATCACTGAAATTTTGTCATCACGTTTATCACTTGACCAAGCAGCGCAAATGTTGATTTTAGAATATGCTTGTTGTGTATTAACGAAAACTTCAACTCAGTTTATAACTAACTTGGACGAAAATATGAAATTTTTACTCTAACATTTATTCGCATGGAATTGGCTCACATTGATATCGGTCACAAAAACTTGAAACTCAGTTTAGAACTAACTTGGATGAAATTATGAAAAAAAATTATTAGCATTAGTTCGCATGAAATTGGCTATAGTCACATTGATATCGGAGTCGAGCTTTTTTGGAATTGGTATTTTACTTAAATCATATCATTGAAAGTTATCGTCATAATAATAAAAGTCAGTATGCTACCCACTTTTTCATTTTGGAAGGGTATTTCTTAATTGACGGAGTGGTGTATATTTTTCTATTAGCGATACAACTATTTGTATGTTATAAGCATGCGTTATGTATTCCAGCGGCCATTTGTACTGAAATATGTTAACTTTCTGGATATTCAAATACAAATATATTGAAGATAGGCATTAAAATATGATATCAAACTTCAAAATTAGAGAGGGGGGGGGGGGGGGTTATTTAGGGAGTGTTATAGGGGGGAATCGCTGGTACAAATAGTCATGCGATGTGTGATTATCAGGCTTGTCCATGGGTCATATTTTTCTGTCCCATTCCCATTCCATCTCATAGCAATTATGCCTGTCCTATCCCATCCCATCCCATGGGATTCCGATTGGAATAAAATTCAATAAAAATTGTTAAATTTAGGTTTAGCATCTACTAAATAGGACTACATGTACGAATAGACATGTAAAACAGCAAAATTTACGGACTTTGGTAACTTTATATTCTATTACATGTATACCTATTATACATGTGTCCATCAGCCCCTTCACAATGTATATTGTTAATGCTGAATGTATATTTTGCTCTTTATAACCAACAAGAGAGCTATGTTTAAATATATGGACACGAAATCCATAACGAAATGTTTTACCATCATTTCCGCGAAAATCCTACGGTTTTATGTCCCACGTGTCCCATGGGAAATACAAATGTGTGCTGTCCCATCCCTTCCCGTAGGACGTTTCCCATGGGATTCTTATGGGAATCCCATTCCCGTGGACAAGCCTGGTTGGTATGTTTGTTGGGTTATTATAGTGTTCGATTTTGCTTCACAGAATATTAGAAGTTCTGCAATATTTTTGATACCTCATGCGATCATCTGATACATAATGAAGAGATAATCCAGCACTTTCACTGTATTGAAACTTTGCTGAATCTTGGGATCCAAGATCATGCCCCGAAGTTCCATGAATATTGACTTGTGCAACCTGAAACAGTAATATGGATAGACGCTAATTTTATTTTTTACTCACGGAACAATATATTTAGGGAGTTACTACACAAGGAAAAACGAAATCTGTTGAATAAACTCGACATAAACAGGCACATGATCATTTTCAATAAAAATGTCCACATGGAATCATGGCGCAAATAATTCTGACCGTCGTGTTTCACAGTAAAGTAAAACTAGGATAAAAATAGAATAAAATTTATATCTACAATAAAATACAAAATATATGATCTGTGAGTACCTGCTGCCTAGTTTGAGTACCAAACATGATGTGGAGTGAGTGCTAACGCCACTGTAATGATGCTCACTATTTTCCAGCCTAAAGGCACATTAGAGCACGCAAATTTGAACTATTATTCATTTAAAACAACAAAATCACGGCTTTTGTCAGATATTTTTCACATCTTGGCAATAATAGGAACACAAATAATGACTTGAAATAGGCAAAACGAAAAGCTGACAAATGTGGGTAAAAATCTCATACTCACTGCTACATCGTAGTAGTAAACAACATCGAAGCCGTTACATGGGTTGTATTTATAAAGCCAACCATCAAGTCCATCAGATGTAAAAGCAGCTCCAGATGTCAAAGCCAGACTTTTGAGATTGATTCTTCCTGATCCATCTGACATGTCGCACCTGAATGTTTTTTAAATTCGATCGAAATTAACAAGAGATCAATGTTATATGGACACGAAAATTTACTACGAATTACTGGTGACCGTACATTTGAACCCATGTACATTTGAACCCATGCGTATATCCACGGGTTCAATCTATATGCAGGTGCTAAAACCCATGGGTTAGGGTTAGTATGGGTTTAACTATCCGTGAAACAAAAATAATTCCATAGGTGCAATAGCATACAGGTGCAATTGTCATGGGTTCAAATGTACGTGGGTTCAAATGTAATGGAACCCGAATTACTACGTCTACTACAGATCAATTTCGTGAGGCTCACGGACGTTGCAACTTGAAGTAAATGGCTAGCAGACATACCGCATACACACCGGTGCCGGTAACTGGTAAGGTCGGAATATCGGATCTAATAAGGATAAGAGGAATTAGAAAAAATAAAAGTTACCGTAAATCTTTCTGCGACTACTTCCATTTTCAAGTACTGAACATTCATTCATCAAAAATGATGTTGCCCCACAAAAAGGTCGTCTTACAGCAACAACGATTCAATAAACGTTTCGTATACTATAAACACTTCATTACAATAATGTACTTCAAGGAGTATATACACAATCAAAAGAATTTAATTTTTGATACTCATAAATTTGCAAATTGCAAAAATATACTGACGTGCAGCTGTCTACGGCGTTGCAGTATGTCCCTTCAGGTGCTTGTACTAAGCCATAATCATCACATCCGCCAGGACAAGCACAAGGTGTTGTGAGAGTAAAGTCCTGTTAAAGTAAATTAGGCATCAAAACAAATTCAGGCTTCTGAATTAAAGTAATACCAAAAAAAGAAGATCTTTTTTTGAATTATTACGTCGTTATTGAACACGAAAAATATATAGTATAGAATATATAGAAATATATAAACTATATATCGTTTTGTTATTACACATTGTTGTTGTTCTTGTTATTGAACCATTTATTGGAACCGTTTATTGGAAAAAAAATTCTGGAAGCTTTATGGGATTCGTTTTTTGTGTGCCATAACGTCATCAAAAATTGAGCATCTTGTGGCGGTTCCGCCTTCGCGTTAGTCGTGACATTTGCGGTACTGGTGGTCTACTGTGACAGATTGCATTCACCCTACCAATTTGCCCATCGTTTCGATATTCTGAATTCGTGCTACGCGACTAGGTACGGTAAGTTATTGTGGAAGCTAAAGTACTCGAAGACGGGAGAAGCAGCAGGTAGGCTACCCGTAATTTAAAAGATTTGATTTGGTTTTCGTGTCCATATATTTAAGCACTGTTCTCTTGTTGAATCAAGTAGTACATTAGAACAGTAGATATAAATGTGAAAAATCATAGAACAAGAAGAATAAACGTGACTAAAACAACATTATTCACAAAAATAAAATATACAATAACTTACGTATTCATACCAAACCAACTCTCCGATAAATTGAAACTTATGTTGGTCTGTATTGGGTTCACAAATGAGTAGAACGCGAGAAGAACTGTTTGTGGAGATATAAAAAATTTGTTATTATATGTATATATATATATATAAAGTATATAAATAAATTCGAGAAAACTATGGTAAACTAAATATGAATCGCAAACGTTTCGATGACGAGTCTGTACAGTATTTTAATCTAGGAATCAATGCTCAGCTTACAAACACATTTATCGAGCTATATTTCCGGGCGATTATACATGTTATTCTCTCAGTAACTTAGTGTCTTTCTACAGCAAAAATCAGATTGGTTCCAACATTGGAGTTGACCTTTTGATGCAAATGCAAATGCGAAGATGAAAATTATCATCTCACCTAAACTGATCTGGTGATCTGTAGTTTATTGCAAGTCCACTCCCCTCTGTGTAATTGAAAAACGCCGAACTTTGTGTTCCTAGTTCCACTCCATACGACCCATAAAAATCATACGACTGTGCCAGCTGTACAAAATTTGCATCGGCAATAACTTTAAGTTCACGAAGACATATTTTAAACACTGCGCGTTGGCAGATTGAGAAGTGATATTTATCGATCATTTACCTAATTCCGCAAACTACTTTGGCATAGATCCATAGAAGTTAGTATTTTCAACCATTTTTAGCTTAACCTGTACCATATTGCCAAGTACTGTTCACATTTGTATGCCGGTACTGAATACCAACAATGTCACTTCTCAATCTGCCAACGCTAACTTTCAGATTGCCAATTAAACCAACATTCGAAGTTATGCATTATGGCTACAAACAAATATGAAACATGAAGTGGTTGCCCAAGAATATTATTCAACACTTACTGCAGTATCACCGTAATAATAATTGAAGTAGAATCCGTAACAAGGGTTATATTTGTAATAAAAACCATCTGATCCGTATTCTGTGAATGCTGAGTCGTACAAATAATCATCCTGGAGAGATAAAGACTTCAAATTTATCATTCCAGAACCGTCCGCCATATCGCACCTGGAATAAATATCTCAAGGTAAATTGGTTCAAATGCAAGATCAATTGCAAAGCATGTATTCAATTCTATTGTAAAAAAAAAGTCAGGTTTAATACTTCACATTTCTTAGGTACGGTAATGTTTACATATAAAGCGTCTAGCTAGCGGAATCGTTCCTTGTCTTTTATTTTGACGTAATAAGCATTATGCAAAACAGTGTAATCCCGTTTTAGCGATTAACTGGGGAAATTAAGAAACTGGAGTCGTGCTGTCTTTTTGCAGGTAACAGACAGTGATATTTGGCGGCTCGTTTTATTTTTACAATTTGCAAGCTTGCGGTTAAAGTTATTACAGCTATCATGATTTAGTTTTTAGGAATGCATTATAGTGAAGTTGTGGAAGTTACTTTTCGTAACTGCTTTTTTCTAGTTTTTTAAGTTCTTGCATATTGGACACTGATTCATTTGAAAGCTGTTTTTCCGAATACTGGTACTCTATGTGGATTTCATACCAGGATTGCTATATAAGCACTTTATATCTTGAATTAGTTTTAATATGTATTATTGGTAATGTTTGTAGATTTATCTGCTAATCATGAAGAAGTTTGGCTAATATGTTAATAATATTGATCTGGTGGCGGTTTTCTGCACTGCTATATATAAGTAATATTTAGTTTTATAGCTGATACCCGTTCCTGGTTGTTGGGTTTCTTGTTTCATTCCAAAATTGTCGTGTTGATTTCTATAACGGCTAATTGCACCAACTTCAAGTTGAATTTCATTGGGCAGCACTGGAGGGCGCAGAAAAAAACTTTACCCGCAGTTTACAATTTTGAATTACTTGGAAGCACGGCCAGGTTCTGGGAAGAATTCCATTTAAAGTTAGGACAAGGGCTTTGAACTTAACGCATTAAGGCTGAAAAAGCGTATGCATTTTTTCACGAGAGCTTAGCAATGTTATCCGACATATAAATTTTTCAAATATCTCAATCATCTAATAATATATAAAGTATCACTAACGTGCATGAATCGATATATGTACAAGTGCCATCGCCCTCGCCAGTGCCAGGAGGTGGAGTTGGCAAATCAATGGTTGGTCCATTATTGTCACACATACCAGGACATGCACAAGGTGTTGTAAGAATAAATTCCTAAAATAAAAAGATGTTAAAACTGCAATTGGCAAAATGAACCCAACTAACTAGAGTAAGTGTAGCATAGTTAGTTGTGCTGGGCATCTCGAATCGAATAGTATATTATTCGAATCGGTTCACAAGGAAATTTTGAATTGCCTCCATCTTGTTATTTGATTAGCCGCACAGAGATCAAGGTTAATTACTCAGTTTTTTATTGAAGCCATATTTCTACAGTGTAATTTTGACATATGACAATTTTCTTTATTGTGAGGTATTAATTAAGGAAACATGTTTCTTATTGTGTGTGAACGCTCAGCAAACTATCTGAGTGATGTTTTCAATAATTTATGTGCTTGGAGGACCCATCACAATGAAAAAGTCACATACATTTGAATATTTTCTAGATATTCAAGAAGTGATTCGAAAAAAAATCTCGATTCGATTCTGAAATCCTCATGTATTCGAAAAGTATCAGCCCTAATCATTAGTCTTTTGACATTTATGAAAACAAATCTAAACGGATTGTGATGGATTTTATAGATATAAAACACTGAATTTAAACTCACGTATTCCAAAATAATAAGTTCTCCCACGTATTCAAATTTATGTGCATTTATTCCAGGCTCGCATATGAGCAGTACTTTTGATGACCTGATATGAAAATTTATAAAATAATCATCTGGTCATAATAATAACGTGTGTGGGGGGTTGACAATATCTATTAAAAAACCTTACCTAACGTTTTCGCCCGATTTGTAGTGAATTGAGAGACCATCGGTATCTGAGTAAATGAATTTCGCGCTGCTTTGTACTCCAAGATCGTATCCATATGATTCGTATACATCGGTCTGGTATAGCTGTGATTAAAAAAAGAAACCAGGTGAAACATATGACATGGGTCTCACAAAGTCCATAGAATATTTGTAAACAAATAAAGCATTTCCTTCTATGAGACATTACCGTATTTCAATTGAACATTTGGAGGCAATGAGCCCAGTAGTTGGGAAAAACGCTTATTTTTACCCTAGCCTAGAGCACCAGCAATATACCAAAAATGATGCATAAGTGACTTTGTCTCCATTACAGTTGTAATGCAATCGATCCACCTATATTGCGACTGCAGTCAATGAATCCAACGATTCAGGACCAGTTTACTGCTTAGTCTGAGTCTAGTCCCTCAACCAATATGCGTTATCTAATTTAGATTGATTAGGCAGATCCCACTTTCTAACTGATTTTTGTACAAAGTTTTGAGACGATGTAATGTTATAGAATATATATAAAACGATAATTTTCTGAAAGTCAGCAAGCTAGCATTTGATCATACAATAATACTTTTCATTCATTATTACAAAAACTCATACCGCCAAATCCGTGTAGGAATGCATGGAAAATCCATTACACGGATTATATTTATAATACCATCCATCGTATGCGAGTAAGGTATATTGGGAATCGTAAAGTGCCGGTCCTGACAATGCCAAAGCGTGAAGATTGATTTGACCGCTTCCGTCGGACATATCACACCTATAATAATAAATAAGACATTGTTGTTATGGAAATCGTACATGTAGTGCTAGTGAAAGCAGTGTGTAAATGGAATTTCAAAACAAAGCTGATCAAGGTATTATTGTCATTCCGTCTTATAAACCTATTCTTCGTTCAATAGATAATTTATTGGTTTGTGAGAGATACACGGCATGAATTATGGTCCTTTCATATTATAGAAGCAGTATATATAAATTGCAAATATATATGATGTTTCTATATCAGAAAGCGTCGTGTGCACATCTTTTCACGCGTTCTCTCACAAATACACTTCCCTGCTTTGTCCTATAATACATAATTACTCACGTGCAAGAATCTACAAAGTTGCATGTTGTATCTGAAACACTAGGTGGTGGAGTAGTTTGTGTTGCAATAATACCATTGTTATTACATGCTCCCGGACAGGCGCACGGCGATGTCATTACAAAATCCTAAAACGCAAATACGTTTACAAGATGTTTCTCTGAATCGACGGTCAAAACTTGGTTCTTATAATTAGCAACGCAAATCGAAGAAAAGCACAAAGTTAGATACAATTTAAACATATGTATAAACTAATTTCAGCCTCGATATTTCCTCGATTGTGTAAACATAATACTTACATACTCCGTTATGACCAATTCGCCCAAAAATTCAACGGTATGGTCGGTTCCACCTGACTGACAAATCAACAATACACGGGAAGTTCTGAATAAAAATAAATAGGCTGCATTTTGTCTTTGTTTCTAATTACTTCAAAATGAAGAATAAAGCAAATGAATATTGGCGCAGAAGAGACTGATAATATGCAAAACGGAATATATTTCGTGAAAATGTTGTTCCGACTCCGACTGATTTAGTGTTTATACGGGTTAGCTGCTCTGAAGCACTGTGGTTAGATAAGATGTGGTCATTGTGAAATCATGGATGCTTCTCCGACTCCTGTTTGTTTCCTCACAATGGATATTCAGCTACGTAACAAACGAAGTAGCTATCACTTTTTCACTCTAACAGATTTTCGAGCATAGTTGTCGACATTTACGAATTTTAGGTGCTAATTCTCTGTTTTAGTGATGTGTTGAGTTATTTAGTTAAAAATAAATGAAATAACTCAGTGGTCATTTATTCTTTGGCATATTTTAACCTTGATCAAAAATGGCCGCGGAAAAAGCTGAGATAAATCAGATTAGAATTTTGCCGAATGAACCCATTGAACCCCTGTCAGTCGTGGTTATGAAATTGCAACACTAAGTAAGAAAAATGTGTTATATAAAAGTTTGATATTTCATCGATTGTATTGGTGTTAATAAGTTAGCTAATGATCAATATTTGAACGTCAGATTCAAAGTCTGATATGATGCTCCGCACTTGTTCGCTAATTCGCCGAATATGCGCATCACGCATCTGATAAGCTATCTATGGACATAGTAGAAATATACGCATCTGAACGGTCGGCCTGAATCTTAAAACACTCCACACCAAATCCATGCTGGTCCGCTTTCAAACGGTTTTCATGTCTATTTATTGGTTCTTCAAAACTATGAGTAACCTTATATTTACCTACGTATCAAAGATATGGTATTTTTCTACTTAAATCAAAGGCTGACTAAGGTATCAGCTGTACATTTGTTTGGTTGATAATAAAAAATAGCCAATGGTACATTACACATGTCATATACCTGGCACCATCGTACGCAGTGTAATGTATTGAAAGACCATTCCCTTCTGTATAGTTAAAATACGATCCAGTTTGAACTCCTAAATCATATCCCCAAGTAGGATATTGATCCGACGATTGAAATATCTAGAAAATAGAAGAAACAATGCTAACAATAAAAATTTTTAGAAGTAAATGCATAGCTAATTAAAACAAATAGTGCTCTGAGAGCAATACAGTTGGGCGATACATTGTAGATTAGCAAAATATACAAACTTCACAAAATGGCTAGAGACGTGTAATCAAGAGGGAATTTTAATTTTTTCATACCAGAAATATAAGAAAAACATACTTTCGAAATCATAATTGAAACAAAAATCTACAATACTATTTTGGTATTGAACCTACCGCAAGGTCCGAATAGCCACCAAGGCTGTACCCGTTACATGGGTTGTATTTGTAGTACCATCCACCCGAATACACCATGAAAGCTGCATCGTACAAGCTTGTTCCTTCTAGTGCTGGTCCATGTAAGTTTATTCTTCCTGATCCGTCAGACATCTCGCACCTTTAGAAATTCCAGATACAAACAAATCAATGGTGCTATCGCGATTTCAGTCAGGTTTTATAAATTAATTTGGGCGCTTCCGTAGTATTCGTACCAAGATGGCGCACAACCTGCTAACCCTAATCTGGTACACATACTATGTTCAGGTTGTGCACCATCTTGGTACGAATACTACGGGAGCACCTTATTTTGATGTCAGTATAATTCTATAAATGAATACAACTTTGTAAGATACTGTATTGTAAAATTTTAAAAATATATAAGAAAGAATTGTGTTTGTGGACAAATCATTAAAGTTTGAACTTGTATGAAAATATATATATAAGTCCTCTCACGTGCACGAATCAATTTTGTTGCAGGAGACACCGGGCACAACCGGAGCGAGTGTGGACAGATCAGGGATAACACCGTTTTCGTCACATAATCCCGGACAAGCACACGTTGAAGTTAAAATGAAATCCTGAATATTAAACAATATAATAAAATATATATAGACAATCAAATTGAAATGAAAATGACTTGTTGTCCATAGGTAAACATCGAACAACGCACTTATAAAGATGTGGAAATCGGGAACATTCAAGTCTTCGTCGATACATTGCATAATCAAGGGTGCAAGTTTGCCGTTATTCCGAATACCTTGGGAAACGTCATGAGTTAGTACCAACGATTCCACAGACGGTTTAGTTTTCCGATGCAGAATGATATTATATAATTGTAGTGGCACGTGAGATAACATGTTTTGTTTGATTAATCTCCATACAAATATATTTATTCCATAACACTGAAACGACTATCGGTTGTAGACGCAACCGTCTTTACTGAAATCCTACCAACTTTTGAGTTGTGCTGTCGATTAGAATATGAGGGGGATGCTAGGGAATTGCGTAAGAAACTTCAGGCCATTTGTCTATTTCGTATATGTGTCCGCTGATGCTTGCATGAGAAGGTTTACATTAAAAAGATAAATAAAAATAACATAATCTCTTTCCACGGAATAGCAAATATATAACATATTGAATAAAAATCAAATGCTAGCTACTATATCACTCACGTATTCTGTTATAATCAATTCTCCAACAACTTCAAACCTATGATATTCTACGTTAGGTTCGCATATAAGTTTCACTCTTGATTTTCTGAAACATTTATCAAATATGATCTCTTTATCATACCATTATAAATTGCTATATATGGTGATCAACTGCTAATTCAAACTGCTATTTATAGTGGCATTCTTGTCGCAAGTATAAATTCACACATGTACAGCTCTTAACGCGTCGTTGGTGCCCTCAAATCTTCCATTGGTATTATTTCCACTGTCTGTAATGAGCTCAGGACCTTGCAATGATCAATCTTGTAAATAAACAAATAATATAACAATTTCGAGTCGGATTGCGGACTGTCGTTTAGCTGTTCGTTACAGTCTCTAGGAGTAACATCTTCTGATTTATCAACAACAGTAGCTATAACTAATTTTTATTTCAATTATGAAATTATCTTGACGCGGGAGATATGTGTGCTTTACAGTCGAATTTGATTCTTCTGACACCACTATACTCAAAGTTGAAACGCTGAAATTTATCAAAAGTGTAGAGACCGTACGGGCAGTGATTTCCCTATATGTGGGTGTATGATCAGTCAAATACATGAAACGTTTTTATGAGCTACAAATAGTTACATACTGCATACGGGCTAGACGCTGGTTACTCTTTCCTAGCACAGGTACGTGACTCTCAGAATGTGGTTGGCTCACGAGTGACATTATACTACGAGTGGCCTAAATAAATCTACCGGCAAATTCACACATTTCGCACTTCTGAATATGATAACGAATATTTCTGTATATAATTACCTCGCTCCGTCACTAGCTGTGTAATGCAAAGTTAACCCAGAATCTTCTGTATAATTAAAACTTGAAGATGATTGAACTCCCAGATCGTAAACTGAAAATCCTGTTGCTATGTCGACTTGAGCAACCTAGGAATATAAAACAGAATGTCAGATAAATTCATATATTTTACATGTTAATTGAAACAGCTCTGGTATCATTAGAAACTCTGACATCCTGCTGACCTGTCCTTATACACTTCGATGACGTATGATGTTGCAATATTCACAATAAAATATTGATAGAGATCGCACAGATTTCTCTAACTGAATATTATATTATATGCTTCATAGTTTATAAGCGTTTAAAACTCGTAAAGTCTAACTAATTTATAAGTTTGAGTAAAGTATAATCGTAATCCTATACGCCCCATTTTAAGATGTGGTCATAGTCTATTTTATAAAAACGGAGAGTGGTGAAAAATAATGTAGTGAGAAGTATGCAAAAAAGAAGTGACGCGCAGTATATTCCATGACTTTTTATGCTTACCGCAAGATCAGTATAACCGCCTTGATTGAATCCGTTGCAAGGGTTGTACTTATAATACCACCCATCCCCTCCATTTGTAGTAAAAGCAGAATCGGTGAGAATAAACCCATCTAAAGCAAGGCTATGTAAGTTGATACGACCGCTGCTGTCATCCATATCACATCTAAATAATAAGAATATTCTACGTTATATTCAATCTTTATACAACTTGAGGACTTGAATACTTCAAGTGTGATATTTGACCACTATGTTTAAATTCTAGAAGACTATCCGTAGTCAAAGCCTGAACGCTAGCATTTCAGGGCCAAAGTTCTTTCAATGGTGTTTAGGGTATTTGAAGCTATTGCAACAAATAATACATCACAACTAGGTGTCGATCAAAGACGAACTAATATAAACTGAGACGAACAATTTGGATTGCCAGTAGGGACATTCGTCATCATAAAGCCGTTTTAACTCTGAATTTATTTGGTAAGCGTACAATATTTTGATAAACCACCAGTCAGCCATACTCTTCAATATTAGAAAATGTTTGATGTTTCAGAGCACGCTGCGAACAAGGCTTTGTACGATTAAATCGCTTAAACGTGTGGAACTATCCCGCATTTTTTACTTTAATGTTACTATGTTCTGATTAAGTATATCTATATGGAGGTTTGGATACCCTCGACTGTGGGTAATGTATTTTTGAGAGATCACAAGCTAAACTTGAAATAACCGGAATATCATCTCACAATAGCGTGCTGAAATTATTAAATCTTAATTTTTAGTTGATGGATGACAAAATTGATATGTAAACTTATGTTTTAGAATCTAAACCATACCATGCCACAGCCCATTTGCACAATAATTTCTAATAATGATCTATTATTGATCAGGCAAGAAGTAAAAAGATAAAATTAAAATGTTGATATTTTGGCTAACTTACGTGCAAGAATCCACAGCCGTACATGATTGTGAAGCAACAATTCCCCATAAAAAACAACTAAGCAAAAATACCTTCAACAAAATCAAAGAATCCATTCGTATAAGTTACATTAGACTAACTGTTGACAAGTATATTGAATAAAAAATAAAAATACAATTCTATTATTTCTTAGAATTTAACAGTTTTATAAATGCGCTCTTACTTGCCAAAAAGCTATGTAATCAAGCCGGAGATAAACCGATCTCAAGACTTTGATATATTTAAATAAGCCTCACTCATCCATTTTTTTGTATGTTCGATCCTGATTCGATTCTGTTTTAGGAAAAAACTAAATTTGGTTTTAATCTGGTATTTCGTCCAGAAATACCAATATTTTTGTCAAGTTCGTTTTGCCTTTAACTAGCGGATGATACACCCCGCGAGTATTTAAAATTACCATAAAAAGCAAAATAGTAGCCTGTATATCATGCGTATATAAAGCAGTAAAAGCAGTCGCTATTTTGAGCTGACAGCTAAAGGAGGAAAACTAGTTCCACCAAAAATAGATAATATCGCAAATATTAAACAACGGTCACGTCAAATAGGATATTTGCAAGGACACATATTACATTTTCAATACAGATTGTGTGCACCACACAAAATCTAGCATTCCTGTCATTACTGCAAAAATATGTCGATTCTAATTTATGATGCTAATCTATTGTTATTCTGTTAATTCTTAAAGCTTGTTCCAACATGCATATCCTCGCACCACCATCCAATCCGTGCTGTTAATTAATAACGTAAAAATAAACATATGCAGCCTAATGCGTTTTGAACGATAAACGGAGGCTAGGATATTCTATTTATTGTATAGTGTTTTACGTATTTATAGTTTACTCATGTGATGTTTTACTTGAACATACAAAGCGATGGCAAGAACATGATTGATGTTGTTGGAAAACCAGAATATTGAAAACTAAAACAAAGCAGGCATTATGAAATATATATGCCTTTTTGCCTACTTATCTCTGTTCTGATGAAGGTCAACCGCTGATTACAGCTGACAATTAGTACTACGCCTATACATATGCATGTAAATACTGAAAATGTGAACATGGCATCGATGTGATAGATCGTTATCAAATCACGTTGGAAGGTGTTGAATTATGATCGGGGCCACTGGCGTACCAGGTATATAGGAAGGGGCCATTTGGCAATGTACCCCCTACACGGCGTTTTATCACAGCATCAAGCTTTTTGATTTGTTTTCAAGTTCAATTTACTATCAAATATACTTGAATGAAACTGCAATTTGTTAGTTTACGCAGAATTTCTGAAGTCTATTTATGACGTCACAATACATTGATGGAGGTGCTGGCAATCTAATAATCAAATAATGTATTCTCCCGACTTCCAATACACTATATTATCTCGCATTATGACGGCACAAATTTTTAAATTTCCAAATACCGCCTCAACGAAATTCTACGCACGTCGAGCCATGTAGACCAATAAATTGGTCCTGGAAATCACAAGCTAATACGGTTTGATTTGTATACGCCCCTTTAAGGTTTTTATTGATTTTATCTTATATAAAAAGGAACTCAGGTGACCAAATTTAACCATAATCGGCAACGAAATTTTTCGGGCATGATGTACATGTTGCAGGCTACACTAAATAAATTTACTTTTTGAAGTTAAGTAACTAAAATCCGCTTAGATCTGCTGATATCCGCAATCAGACTATTTTGTAACTCATTAATATTTAATCAACAGGCCGTTAATCATATTTTCTTTTCATCCGTTTTTGAATAAATAGTGAGACAATGCCTATAAAATCGTAATTTTATATCTACTCCAAAACGGTCGATGAGCCTTGTGGACTTGGCTCTTGTGGCTGGCATTAAATAAAATAGTAAATAAATCCATATTTCACAGAAATGCTATGAAATTTATTGTATAGAACTGTAAAAACAATTAATGTACTGCAGTTTGAGATTGTTCTAAAGCAAGCAATTATATAGGCAATCTTGTCCGGTCTTTTGATTTTACTTATCTGTTTTGTGAGTGTACCTCAAACTCTTCCCGAATAACGAAGTGATTTGTGTGTCGGGTCCGAGTTCCCAAGCGCCCGAGTCGGAATCGATCAAAATTTGAGCCTGAAAATTCTGTCATTTTTTATGCGCATATATATAATATAACCGGCATATTTACTATAATTTACATTGCTGTGCAAAACTTGTACTTGATACTAACTAACGTTCAATCGTCTTCCTATAATGTCAGACAGAAAACAGACAGAATTTAAAGATGGATTTGATGAATAGTATGTAAGTTGATAGTACCAGTTTGTACATTCGTGATACTTGCCCGCTTAGCCAGGTCGCAGAAGTAGCTCTGTTCTGTCGATTTCTTTTGTGCGTTTTCAGGTTATCAACATATTTAATATTGATATTCAAGCTAGAATTTTCGGATTTCATCTCACAATGTAAATTGACATTTCACATTTTGATTTCAACAAATGGCTGGATATTTTACTGAATTATTATATCTATTTGCATATTGAAATAGAGTCGCACTTTCTTTTAAACTATAATGATTTTATTTCGGTTTCTACAAAATTTGAGTAATTTATTCAATAAAATCAAAGTCTTGTATAATTCAATACAATGATATCAATAATCATGTAATCTAATTCAACTTTTAAAATACGGCAAGGCAGAATTGATGATTGATCATAAGGGGTAATCATAGCTTTTTATCACAAAATTTCATTGATTCAAAATAAAGTTTGTATAAATGAAAAGATTATTTACAAAGTAATATTTAGAACACTTTAGATAAAATCATACTATTTACACTGAAATGAAAGAAAATATATACTTGCATAATTTTATTCAGCTATTTTGTATTGCACTTTTATGTAAAAACAACCAACAGAATAAATCGATTAACTTTTGCATAGTATTGAAGGCTAAATTCTCATAATTTCAAAGAGTTGCAAAGGGAAAGATAAAGAAGTTTCGTTTTTTCGAACATCAATTAAATATTTCAGATAAGTCTCCATATTCTGTTATTCATTGTCTGTCAGGAATGAATAACATTTTACTGTACATTCTGAATGGAAATACACGAGTACTTTACACCACAAAAAAAAAGTTTGGTTTATATTCATGAAATACAATTTGTTTTGAATTGTATCTAAAAGTTTTCAGTTCAAAGAGTTCAGTTCAAAATATGATCAAGCACTTGAAATATCGGAGAAATTGACGTTTCCATTATTTGTTTTTCCCTGAACTTGGTTGATGACGTCACTGGGTCCAAATCCGGGAACATTTTTCTGTGGTTCCGTGCAACAACCCGTAGCTCTTATAACAAAAACAACGCACACTATGACCATAACTAATAAAATATCGTGAAATAGTAAAGCCACCATAGCCCCACCTACATCGATCCACATGTACGACCCATAAGATGAATCGTGCATTATGACGTCAACGCCTGGAAAAAAGTTGTGAACAATCAGAAAATAGAACGCAGTGACTATTAAGCAAAATCAAATAACTAACATCCACAACAATGTTTAAAATTAAACGCTTTGGGTACGGACTATAGTTTGAAAGCAATAATGGTGAAAATATATGCAATAGCGTATAGAGCCCATATTATCAATTCAGAGTATAACTTAGTACTCAGTGATGTTATTCAAAATTATGGAAACAGGTTCTTTTTTCAACCAATAAATCAGTCATTGACAACTTACCCCTCAACCATGTCGAGCCTAATTGTTGGTACATATAGCTTTGTCGAACACCCTAAATTCCATCACTGCCTCACTCATTTTCAATTATTATAGCATTCTCAGGCGAAATAACTTTATTTTAAAACTATACGGTAAACTTAAAGCATATATAACTTACTATCTTGGTTGACGGTATTGTTATTAACTGGATTTATGATTCCGTCATCGTTACACAGGCCCGGGCATGCGCAAGGAGATGATAATATGAAATCCTAAAACGTAGAAATTATATATATATATGTATGTTATTCTTTTTTAATTTTAAGAATACAAATTTTTATACTGAACTACCATTGCATTTACATATAAGCACCACCTAACTCAAACAATCCGTGAACAAAAAATCAAAAGTTTATCAGGAAATATTTCAAATTGCATAATGCGTAATGTTTCATCATTAACAACAATTCAAAAAAGTTACATTCTTAATGCAAATCATACAAGGTCAATGAAATGAATTAGCTAACTTTTATATCCATGTTCATGTGACATTTTTCCATGACATTTTTCACATTGATTCTGTTTTGAATTTCAGGGATTCCAAAGTGTTAGAAAAAGTAAAAACTATAATGCTCACATATTCGGTTATGACCAATTCTCCTAGAAACCTCAAGTCGTGTGTATTAACGCCAGCATCGCAGATTAACTGAATTCGGGACATTCTGAAAAGCACAAATAAAATCAGAATGAAGGAATATTGAATAAAAAAGCAAGCACGCACAAGATCATAACATTTATTAACATAGTCCAGCATATATCTATACACAACTTTTTCTATTAACGCGTCTTCAAATGTTTAAAGAGGTGTATACAACTTTATACTTTGAGTGTACGTACATTATCACATACAGGGGGGCATTATGTAACGGTGAGTTTCTGCTTATGGTAAATATGGTTTGTTCTTCCTTGTAGGAGATTTTCACATTTCATTACCAGACATAAAAAGGGTAGAAATAAAATCCATTGTACCTCCGAGCATCTAAAGCGGTGTAATGGATTGAGACCTTTCCGGTGTCTGTGGTGTTGAAATATGCTGAATTTTGTGTTCCAAGGTCGTAAACATGACTTAGCGTTTTTGTCGACTGAACCACCTAAATTCGATTGCAGGTATAAACAAATTCCAAACAAACAAAGGTATATTCAAATTCCATTCATACAGCGATCAAAATATATTGATGCTTGTTTTATTAATCAAAATAAAAACGGCAAAAATAGAATATATTACAAGGTTTACGTAATTTCCTTTAGAATCAGTTAAAGTTGATTACCGCTAATCCGGTCATGCCTCCCCATGAGAATGGATAACATGGATTATATTTGTAAAGCCACCCATCGCCCCCAGGTAAGCTGTATGCCGAATCCGTTCCACTTTGCGTTCCCAGTGCTTTTAGATTTATCTGTCCTGTACCGTCTGACATTTCGCACCTAAAGTATCAACAAAATGGTTTTTAATAGAGGATTATGAAAAAGACATGTTGCGAAAAAGTAAGTGTAAAAACAAATTGAAAATATGTTTTTCTGAAAACTACAATGACTGGCGGCCTTAGCGTCAACGGGAATAATGTTCAACTAAAATTAAACGAAATGCATGGCAGCCGAAATCACCAACCCAGACAAGTGACCGCATTATCTATATAATTTGTGATGAAACAATGTGCTCACGTCGGTTCTTTGCGTAAATGACCTTTTATATTTGATGTGCGTCGCGTTTGCATTGTCTCCGCTTGAATATTTCATAATTTATTATATTAGAGTTTGGAATCCCTGATTTAGGCTGTACACCCTCCGTATACCCTTTATCAGTTGTATACCCAACTTATGGTCCGAAATACACTTGGGTATACCGTATACCCGGTTGAAGAGCACTGATGTAGAGTATATCTGCACTATATATTTGCCAATCAGTGCCATACAGCACGTCATATTTTTGATCATAGACACACGCATAAAATATGACGTCTCAAAGGGGGTCCATTCCTCCAAATTTGAGTTTTTAAGGGTAAATTTTCCCCCGAGTCTCCCATCTGTATGTAACTTGTGTATAGCATTATGAAATTAAAACTAATAATAACATATATATATACGAACTTACTTGCAAGAGTCAATTTTGTTACACGACAACGCCATCACAGTGCTTCGTGACATCATAAAGAAAGCGCAAATGACAAACCAAAGTGTAGTTTGCGCCATATTGTAACTAACTCTCTAATGACGAACTTGATATTACTATTCAAGTCGACTATTTAAATTTAAAAAAAATATGATTTTAACACATTTTGCTAACAATCCCCATCACCTTATGTCAGTTGCATATCAATATGTCTATTTTTAATGCTATAGGCTCACTGCTATCAAGTATTTTGTCTTTCTTTTAGGGCCCCGGACCTCATTTACTTTAGCTAAAATTTTTGAATAAAGCTGATCGGTAAACTAAACATGACTTTCAGTTGCAATAGATTCAAAAAATAAAAGGGGCTCATCAGAAGCAAAACTTTAAAAATTAAAAAAATGCAATTATGTAACTGCGTTTATTGCTTTCTCTATACAAATATAATCAAACTGCTCGGCACTACATGTATGCGTTCTGACATGCCACCACTGCTCATGTTTATTCACTCGTTGGTATAATGTATCGTTTTATTTACTGTGTTAATTATTGAACATTTATCTCTTTGCATCTTCGTGTCATGGGACCAATATGCACAAGGTAATAATAATATATTTTACGATGCATACTTTACAATAGAATATTTGATAGAATTATCAGCCACCAAAATGATTTATCATATTAACTATCATTAATAACTTGTCTAAAATATTTCTACGTCAGATTTTTTTCCAAGGAGGTTGGATATTTGGAAATCACCGCCTTGTAACTATTTCTTGATCGCCTATACTTGTGGTTATTCATGTATTGCGTCAATTGGGATATTATGGTGCGTGATGCGTCGCCATGAGTCTGTGTTAAGTGGCGGATTTACCATTAGGCAAGGTGGACTGAAGCCTGGGGATCATTTTAAATTGTAAAGACTTGTTCCAGAATGAAACCTAATTAAATTTCATGAAACTGAAATTTGCTTAATTTTTTTTTAATCGGGTCAATAATTCTTGCCACAAAGATTATTCGTTCAAACGGGTAGAGACCAAATACGTTTGACTAAATGAATTCGTTTAAACTTGAAAAACTCTACCTTAAATTTAAAAGTGAAACAGTTTAAGTTTAACAGTTTTACCATAATGCCTTCATATTTTGAAAAAAAAATTATGAAATATCAATATCTAGCTATATATATATATACTAATTTATCTAAGCAACAATTAACCTAAAAAATTAGGATATATTTGACTATTTCTGGTCTTTTTTTTTTATCGCAGAACCGTTCGAAAAAATATAAAGCTATATTTAATTATTAGTATGTTTTATTTATCGGCAAGGGGACCATGCCTTCCCACCTCTCGAGACAATAAACGGATGTTAACATTTATTTATACGTCCGATTTCTGCCGCCATGACGTTTTATTACTGTATGAGTTTGACAGAGTGTTTTTAAATTCATTTTACTATCCAATCTACTTAGGTGATTATCGTACGTAACTTACCCGTAGTTGAAATTTTGTATTTCACGCAATTTTATTCATGACGCCCTTTATCACATTCATCAAATTTATAACTAACACGAAAACGTCTACTACCATGTCATAATGGATTAGTTGTTAACTAACCATCTTATATTATGTGTGTATATTGCAGGTACCATCATCCTTTATAATAAATACCGTATTCTAGGAAAGTGAATTATCATTTATGATGGAACCTTTTGTGGATTAAATATTTCATCATCTTACAACATTTTATTTATTGAAAATCAACGATGCCGAGAGTAGAGTGCCCAGTTGATGGGTGTGAATGGATGTCACAGGACTTGGATGCAGCTTTAGCGGATGCCCTAACCGCCGCTCTCCAACTACATGGCAGGACAGCCCACAGCCCACCAATGGCAGCAACACCTACTCCGAAGCTCAAGTTGGATCCACCCATACTATCTACAGGGTGTGACCCAGAACAGTGGTCTGCATTCAAAAGACAATGGGATATGTACAAGATTGGGATGTGTATCACAGATAACATGATCCCTACAGCGTTGTTTCATTGCTGCGACCAGGAACTGAGGTCGGACATCATGAGAGACATACAAGAGAATGTGGCTCGAATGACGGAAGACAATCTGCTATCTGCAATTAAGCGCCTCGCTGTGAAAGACGAAAGCACACTTGTTCACAGGATAAAATTGAGCAAGATGATTCAATCACCTGGAACTAGCATTCGCATCTTTCTGGCCAATCTTCGAGGGCAAGCTGCTTTATGCAATTATATAGCAAAATGCAGACAACCTGGTTGTGATCATACTTTCGACTATAGCAATGAGATTATCAAGGACAACTTGGTGAGAGGAATCGCCGACCATGAGATCTTAGCAGACTTGTTGGGAGACTCCAAGACTGACAGGACTCTTGATGAAACTGTCTCGTTCATAGCTCAAAAAGAACAGGGGAAAATTACCAAGTTCGCTGTTGGTGAATCAGCTGGTAACATGTCTAGCGGTGCCAACCCGTCACCGACAAGCAAAAGAAAGTGGTCAAAATGTTGGGCATGTGGGAATGCAGCTCATGGACCACGTAATGACATAAGTACCAGATCCAAGAAATGCCAGGCTTGGTCATCAGTATGTGCTAAATGTGGCAATAAGGGTCATTATACAGCAATGTGCAGCAAATGCATCCATTGTGATTCTTGGGGTCACAGAAACCGCTCGTCAAGAAATTGCTCACTCGGCAAAAGACACAAGCAGTTCAAAAATGACAGTTCGTCTGATGGAAAGCGCTCTCCATCCCCATATCACAATGAGACATCCGGAACTTTTGACACACTGTGTACTGCATTAGGCCAGTCAAAAACTGGGCACACAGCAAAAAGATGTCTTGACCACCATGTTTTCCAGGGTTCTTGGATTCCTCGTCCATCGAAACCACACCCCATGATTCAGGCAAAACTAACACCACTACCTTCTGAACATGCTAAATTTGGGCATGAAATTAAGTGCACCAAAAATTTAAAAGCAACAATGATGCCTATGGTAGCAGACACCGGATGCCAGAGCACGATCATTCCGTCAGCCTCAGCATTCGCTATGGGATTCAGCCGCAGTGATTTGTTGCCTGTGAAACTGGTAATGCATGGAGCTATCAAAGAGAACCTTGGTGTTATCGGGGCGATCATCGTGGGAGTTTCAATTAAGGACGACATTGGACAAACCCGAACAGCGAAGATTTTTTGCTACGTGTCTGATATTATGCAAAAAGCATTCCTTTGTAGGGAGGCATTGGTAGATATAGGTGCAATCCCATGTGATTTCCCATCAGTACCTGCTGCAGACCATATAATGAATATTAATACAGCCACAGGACACGAAGATGTGAGCGAACATGTTGATGGAGTTGCGTGTTCTTGCCCAAAGAGAACCAGCAAACCGCCACCTATACCGAAGAATTTACCAGAAGGCCTCTCAGCCACAAGGGAGGACGTCGACGCCCTGAAGGAATGGCTAATCAATTACTACGGTTCTACCACTTTTAACGTATGTGAACATCAGCCCCTGCCATTGATGAATTGTGAGCCATTACACTTACATGTAGATCCGAGTGCAAAACCAGTGGCAGTCCACAAGCCTGCCTTGGTACCTGTTCATTGGCAAGAAAAAGTCAAGTCAGATCTGGAGAGAGATGTGCGCATTGGTGTACTGGAACGAGTCAGCACAAACACACCTACGACATGGTGCTCACGCATGGTAGTGACTGGTAAAGCCGACGGATCCCCGCGACGTACAGTTGACCTCCAACCACAAAATCGAGCCTCTGTTCGACAAACTCATCATGTTCCCACACCCTTCCATCTAGCAGACCGTGTGCCTCAAGGAACCATTAAAACGGTCACAGATGCATGGAACGGTTACCACTCTGTGCCAATCCGTGAAGAAGATCGTCATATTACTACGTTCATAACGCCATGGGGTCGGTTCCGGTATAAAGTTGCACCACAGGGTTTCCTGGCTAGTGGTGACGCATACAATCAGCGGTACGACGCAATCATATCAGACTTCCCGAACAAAGTCAAATGCGTTGATGATACATGTATGTGGGCGTACTCGATAGAGGATTCATTTTTCCAGACATGTCAGTGGCTCGACCTGTGTGCTCGCAATGGCATTACCCTTAACCCTAAAAAATTTCAATTTGCACAAGAGACTGTTGATTTCGCTGGACTAGCAATTACCCCAACAAATATTCGTCCTAGTGTGAAATTCTTGGATGCCATTAGGAACTTCCCAACTCCTAAGGATATCACTGGGGCTCGAGCGTGGTTTGGATTGGTAAATCAAGGAGCTTATGCATTTGCAATGGCCAGACAGATGAAACCATTCAGGAACTTACTGAAACCCTCAGTAAAGTTCACATGGACTGACGAACTTGACAACCTTTTCCATCAGTCAAAGGATATCATCATCAAGGGGATGATGGACGGAGTTAGACTGTTCGATCCTGGTAGGCCAACATGTCTGGCTACAGATTGGTCAATTGATGGCATTGGGTTCTTCATGATGCAGAAGTATTGCTATTGCAAAGCTCGCACACCCACATGTTGTCCTGATGGCTGTAAATTATGTTTAGTGGGGAGCCGGTTCACACATCCAGCTGAGAGCAGGTACGCTCCTATTGAAGGGGAGGCCTTAGCTGTGGCATATGCACTTCATCAGACACGTTATTACATTTTGGGGTGCGAAGATCTGATAGTTGCCACCGACCATAAACCGTTGATCCAGGTTCTCAACGATCGGTCCCTAGCCGATATAGCAATAGAAGACTACTGAACTTAAAAGAGAAGATGTTGCCATTTAAATTCACCATTGTACATGTAGCCGGCAAGAAGAATTTGGGACCTGATGCTGCCTCCAGACACCCCGTTGGAAAAGGTGACCTGATGCCACTGCCAGGTGAACCAGAGGAACTCAAAGATTTCTACAGCCGAAGCGAGCTCCGTCGCACAACCCTGTTAAGTCTCAGTCAACACACAGTTGATGACGACATGGCCAACGATACATCTCTCAGTTCTGCTGCAGCCGCAACCATCAACTCAGTGTCGCCAGTTATCACATGGGACATGGTACGAGAAGAGACTGCCTCTGATAGAGTATCCAGAATGCTTATTGAGCATATACAAGACGGATTCCCAGAGGACTGTAGAAGCGTGCCAGCAGAGGTCCGCCCATTCCAGAAATTTGCCAATAGCTTAAGCATAGTTGATGGTGTTATACTGATGGGACACAGAATCGTCATTCCTGCAGCACTGCGTGAGCCAATATTGGAAGCCCTCCACTCCGCTCACCAAGGAGTCAGCGCTATGCGTGCCAGAGCTGTTGATTCTGTCTATTGGCCTAATATATCAATTGACATATCGCGAATCCGAGACAGTTGTGGGCATTGTCATCGAATGGCAAAGTCCAACGCTATGCAACCCCCTGCAGACATAACTCCACCTGATTACCCATTCCAAAAGATTTGCAGTGACTATTTCACATATCGTGGTAAAGATTATGTGGTCATTGTCGACAGGTACTCTAACTGGCCGATGGTATTCCGATCCGAGTCCGGCGCCCATGGCTTAGTCAAGCGACTAAGGGAGTCATTTGTAACATTTGGCATACCAGAGGAAATGACGTCTGATGGAGGTCCTCAGTTCACTTCCGGGATAACACAAGAGTTTCTCAAGTCATGGGGAGTACGACATAGGATCACGTCAGTCGCAAACCCCCATGCAAATTGCAGGGCAGAGTTGGGAGTCAAAACAGTCAAGCGAATGTTGGCAGACAATGTTGGCCCATCGGGCTCTTTGGACGTTGACAAGTTTTCAGCGCGCCATGCTGTTATATAGAAACTCCATTGACCCAGAGACCAGAGTATCCCCTGCCATAATCATATTTGGCCGACCTATACGTGACTTAATCCCAATTCCCCTCGGCAGATATTCACCCCATGAGACTTGGAGGGAGCTAATGGGTCATCGTGAAAAGGCCCTTGCCCGAAGGCATTGCAGGGAACATGAAAGATGGAAAGCTCACACGCGACTGTTGCCACCTCTTCAAGTTGGGGATCATGTCTACCTCCAGAACTTATTGGGTAACCACCCAAAGAAATGGGAACGAACCGGGACAATAGTTGAAGTGCGCCAATATCACCAGTATGTCGTCAAAATCGATGGGTCTGGGAGAGTAACAATCCGTAATCGACAGCATTTACGGAAATTCATCCCATTCAGGAAGTCACCCACAGGAGGAGTGGCAGTTGACCCAGCTTTGGTAGCCATGAGGCCTGTTGAATTTCATACGAGGCCGGATATTGGGACACCTAGGCTTGTCAATAGGCCTCCTACACAGAATTCAAAACCTATGGATGAAGTACAGATACGACAACATGCCAGGACACCATTGGATAAGTCTGTTCCGGATGACCTTTCTGACACACCAAGGCGGATACCAAATCCCACAAGTTCAAGATCGTTGGATTTCACCTCTCAAGATTTTACAAACAAGGATAGATCAGAAGATAACTTACCAGGTCTTGGAAAGCCTAAGATTCCACGCGCCCTTGCAAGACTACAGCCCTATAATAAGCCTGGTCTTAAAGAGATGTAAATAAGTAGTGGCTATGTTCCATGATATGCTTTTTGAGTGACAGACGCCACTGGGCTTTTCTAACTAACCGGCTTAACTATGGTGCAATATATCACCCAACATTCAGTTTTATATATACCCAATAAAACTTGCCCCCGGGGGAGGGAGATAACTAACCATCTTATATTATGTGTGTATATTGCAGGTACCATCATCCTTTTCCAAACCCCTCACATTATGGACATTTCAACTGGGGGGAGAAGAGTGTAATACTCAATTTCATTTATTACAATTTCATTCATTGTGCACATTTTAATGTTTCTTTATTGCCACTGTACTATTGTGTATCATTGAAATGCCATAATCTTGTATTGATCGGCGTATTGGAAAACGATTTCATCCTTTATAATAAATACCGTATTCTAGGAAAGTGAATTATCATTTAGTTGTGACCAGTGTTCCCTCTAAGAAAATTTCACACTGCGCAAATATTGTTTTTACTGAACAAGACTATTTTAAGGCTGAGCAGAATCCTAAATTATTTGCAAATTTGTTAAATGTAGTAATAGTAGCTTATTATATATCATCGGAATGCGAACAAAGCACACGTTTAACTCAAATAGCTTTTTTTGTTTTCATGCCTTTACAAGGTTTATACATTTTGTCCGTGTTTGTTGTGTTCATTGCTGAATCAAGCGACAATCATCCAAAGAACAATACTTGATGTACGATCTCGACATTTTTGTTGTTGAAATATCATTGCTTTCATCAAAATCAGAAATGAAATTTTGCTTGTCTTATGCTCCGAATGATTTTTTTCCCTGGCGACAAAGTCTATGCTTATCAAAAATTCGAAGCCATAATTTTTGCTTCACCAGGAATGTGGCAATTTAGTGTATGTTGACATGCGACGATTTATTAATTTGCGGGACAATATTGATGAATTAAGCTTAAAACGTGGTGGAACACTATCTATGTGAGGCTTCATTTCACTTGATGGGGTTTTCAAAACTTCACTTTCTTCAGCGGTCGGTATTGCGGTGAAAAAGTTCGAACAACCTCCTCTTGCTTCCACGTTTCGCTTAATCGTTAAAGCATCTAGTGCGTCAATGTGCTTTTTTATTATTCAAATGGCGTTTTAAATAATCAACTTCTTATTCCCTCCCATGATTTTCTTTTTCCAAATTACTAACAGGTGCCACTTCCCGACAAACTTTGTGGATTATCACATTCCTTGACGTGGAATAGTAATAAATTTCGCAAAGTTCAGCAGTTGTTTTAGCTTATGCATACCGGTATCAAGATCGCAAATGAGTGTCGAACACTTCACTGTTGTATTTAGCCATTCCACTTTAAAATGAATTTTCTTATTTTTAGCTTTACTTCCCTGAATAGACATTTCACACACAAACGTCAGATAAAGAAAACTAGTATATTATTGGTTTTGGTTAATATGCTGAATATGAAAACGCTTAAAATTTTTTTTTAGTAATTTCTGGTGAAACATACTCACAACATCGCTATATAACATCGGTATCATTCAGTATAAGCTCATGGCCACGTGTGTACCAATCTAGAGATTTAGGAGGCAACAGTGCTAGCACTCGCTCAAACTCAGCCCTTCTTGAAATTCCAACTAGTTTAACCATATATTTACGGTTCATTAGCCTAACCATACGGCTACGAGCAACCAACAAATTTCCTGTAACAAACAATGGGCACCAGCTTTGCAACATTTGATACCTATTAAAATTCTAAATTTTCCCATATCTTCATCTGTTTGATTACACTACGAACAATAACAAGATTTAGCCGGGTCGACAACACGAAATCCAGAGCGCGCGATGAAAATTTTAAAAACTGACCCACGCTGGCATACAAAAATTAAGGTATTCGTAACAGACAGGTGTGTGACATCACAATGACTAGTGTTTACCAGAATACGCGTGAAACATAAAACGAGCATTCTAGTTGAGCGGTAATAAAAATGACATATGAAATATGAGCCACGATTTGAAAACGAAATGTTGCAACTGCGCGAGAATGAGATTTTACTGCGCAAATGTTCTAGTATACTGCGCAATTGCGCGGTTGGCAGCTTAGAGGGAACCTTGGTTGTGACGTTATTGTTAGAGGGTCCTGATAAATAGCATAATCTATAGTGCAAGGGTGGGCAACCTTTTTCAGTTTGCGTGCCAAAATAAGCATTATCGACAAAGAAAAACATACACTTTCACACAAGTATATATTGAGTTACTTTTTAATAAAATAACAATCTGACAAAATGATTTTATTACTTTTTTCATGCCACATCAGTGTGACATCTGCTGCTGCTTTACCACTGACTGAGATTTTACATCAGGTCTATATTTTGAAACTTTCCGAGAAGTACACCAACTACTAGTTTCATCAGTTTGGCTAATCCTATTACAAAACTTAAAATAAAGTTCATAACTGGGAACAGAGATACACAACCATATGCTGATGAAAACATAAAGAGTAATGCAGTTGCAAAATTTTTCAAGCACGGAAGATTTTCAAGAATGGTAATCCATATCTGCAATAGTTCTTTTTCTGCACTTCTCTCTTGTATTCCCTCCTTTTATCGCATTCTTCCATTATTTACCAACTCAACTCTAAGGTATAATCATTTTTCGCTTTCAATTTTTTTGCTGCCACGAAATTTATTATACACCAAGTTTCATCGGATAAATCAGGGGTTGTTGCCTACCTCTGGACTCTAGGGTTCTCATTGTCTAAATCCGGCTCTGCTCTTGGCAGTTCAGGGCTTACGCGTAATAATACTCAAAAGTAGTCTCCTTTACTTCTTAATGAGTGCGGGTGAACTGGTATTGAGCAAATTCTCTTAAAATATTTTCTCGCTATGTCCATTAAAAAGGCTACAACCCTTGTTCAATGTATTTTCTCGTTCCGAATAGACAATGTGTCTAAAACAGGGGTGGGCAAGGGGTTTGTACCAGGGGTCAAATATTTTGATCATCTAGACTGGCGGGCCATGAAAGTGTGAAGTCAAAAGTTACATTTTATGAACAATATTTACAGTGTTACAAAAGCAAAATTGGAAAATAATAAGCCTCGTGCTAAAACTAAGTTTAATTGCAATCTCAACAAATTCCCTGAGCTAATTTTTAGCTGAAACAAAATACCAAAAGAGAGCGAGCTACGCAAAACCAGCGGCACGTGATATGATTGTTTCCCAGAGCGTCGATTTCCTTGTATATTTCTGCAACAGTAACTAATCATCAATAAGTTAGCAATTAGTGCAGTAGCTCAGAAATTTTTTATATATACACGTCTATGGATGTAAACATTGCCATTTTTACGGGGTTTTGGGTGTTGTTTGTCAGTTTTTAGTTGTGTGTCCAAAGATTAGTTTTAAATCAAATTCATCTCTAGTAAATCAAGTAACTTGAATGTCATTTTGTTTTCAGATGAGTTTTTGTATATTTAGTAAATTTTCTAAAAAAAGGGCTGCAATGGGATATACATATTTATCCCGAGAATAAGAAAGCCGATAAGACGGCTTAATCATATGACGAACCACGGACACTCGTTCAGTTACCAGTAGCCTACATGTCGGAGTAGGGGATTAGTTAGTCAGTTATTTGTTTTTAGAGGCATGGACTTGATGGTAGAGAAAGCCTTAACCTACCAGAGATTACGTGTACTACTCTACGGCGGCGATGAGTCCACCAATCCTTTCGCACATAACTATCCCCGCATGGGATCGGATCTGCGAACCCACGCGGTGTAATCAGAGGTTCGCGGCGAGCATATTCCTAACGCTCAGCACGATGTACCACACCAGCGAGACTGGGCTAAAACTAGCTATCAATACCCGCAAGCGATATTTGGATAAATACATTTATGAAAAATGATGGTTTTGAAGCGCCAATTTTTCAAAATACTCTCAACATGAGCATCAGAAATGTGCATTGTATCTTGTATGTACTTTAGAAAAAAATTCTTGGGTCAAGGGTCGGGGAAACATCCATTTTGATGATTCTCTGCAATCCATTTGCACAAAATTACATAGGATTACGTTGTCTTATTGGTTTATATTCTTTTTAAAAAAAATATTGAAATAAAAAAATTATCTGATTGTTTTACCCTATTCATTTATTATATAAATGTATAAATATATAAATGAATATGTAACTGGGTTTACGTAAATAATAAATAATAAACGATTTTTCGGTCGAAATCTCCTCGTGGTCTCAGCGAGCAGACAGACGTATTTGTGGCTGCGAACGGCGACAACAAGTTCTTGCAAAATGGTAAGTACATTTAGTTTACCGAAATTGTAGTAATAGGATGTACTGACGTAGTATTATTTAATACAAATAAAATTATGTGAATATGTTTTTATATTTCAAAGTGTAGGCCTAGTGGTGAAATTTATATAGAATATTTTGTTGCCTGTCTCTTCGCCGCGGTAGGCCAACTTAAGAACTTACAAAACATGAACGAAACTAGTACCGTACCGGTACGGTAACACAGCAACATGTTTGCTTATATTGATTGTGTGGTTGTAGGCCTATAATAATTTTCTTATAGTCTGCCAAATATATACCGTAATCATTTATATACCTGCATCCTTCTGGACTGTCAGACTCTGATAACCGATAAGCAATAACTGGAATATATATGGGCGGTACATCACAGTGGTTCGATTTCAAAAATAACCCCTTTATTTGAAGACAATTAATTATAAATAAGTTTAAATAGATGTTAAAAAGTTGATAAACCAAGCAATTTTGACAACCCGAATCTTGAGGTTTCACAAACTGAGACAATTCCGGAATTCACAATCATTATTCGGACCTCCTGAAGTAGGGTGGCTTACCCACTTTGCGGCCATGACCTATCTGCGACCATCAACTTCATCGATTGAATTGATGTCGAAAAAATTAACGAACCGCGACGATATTTCTCACGCGTTATCGTCCACTTATCCCTCGTAGCTCGGCGAAATTACACTAAAATGCGGCCACAAATAAAAAAAGTTACGACCGAAAACCTGACCGAAGAAAAAAAACAGACCATTTTACCATGTCGCCAACTACCCATTGTTCCTTTAAAAAAGCTTGAAAATCCATACAAATATAAGAGATAAAGTGATGAAACTTGGCAGGTGGGTAGAGTTGTGTTTCTTTTAACCATCTTTAAAGTTTCGCGTTTCTACATTCAAAGTAGGGGGGTGCGCATTTCCAATACGTCAATAATATCTTTGTCAACTAATTTGCGACCACCGTGTTTTTGTCTGTTTGATTGCGGTGATGCGGTGCTTTGTTTATAATTTGAAGAATTTTGTTCGAAATAACCGTGTTCTCAAAATATATGACGGTCAGAAATGCAATTAGAAGCCCATTTTTTCACGCATGGCTGCGTATGCCCTAGTCTCGACGCAGCAGAAACGATGTTCAAGGCTTGTAATCCGTGATCGCACACTGGTCGTTCGGTCGCAAATACGTCTTCAGAGTCTCGTACTTTGGTGGTTTGTTTAGCTTTAACCCCTGGTCGTAGAAAGTTAATTCGAAGTTCAGCGTGTAGAATAAATGCCAATGCACCTACGGTGAAAAAATTAACGGGTTAGAAATATTGGTTTTTGTTTTATAGCGGTTTGAATGAAATCGTCCGCAGACTGGCTACACCACCCTATGCGCACCAAGATGGCGCACAACCTGAAGTCAAGTTGTGTTCCAGGTTAGGGTTCAGGTTGTGCGACAGCTTGGTGCGCATACTTCAGGAGTACCCATTATTCTCTAAACAATTTTGTTTGTTTCAGTTGTACATTCTGTACGAACACGCAACTGGATATTCGCTGTTTCATGTGCAAGAAGTAGAAGAAGTTGGAGCACTGTTGCCGACAGTCGAGAGAGCAATCACAGATGTCGCTCTATTCAAGACCATTGTTAAATTGATTGCATTTTCTCCATTTAAGTCGGGAACTAATGCACTGGACAATGCTAACGCTATTTCTGAAGGTTAGTATACACTCTTACCAGCTATTCCTATGCCAAACTAATGACCAATACCTAGAAGAACGATAGTTGTTTTATACAAACCATTGGCTGTTTATCCAGACCCTCTGATAGAATGCATGAAATGCTTCATTGTTCAGAAGACTTAACAGTTTTGAATCTGATTTTCTTAGTGTTGTTCTTTACTGTTTTCTTTGTGTCAAATGCATGTGATCTGATGAATCGTACCTCTTTCATTTGTTTATTCTCCTGGTTTTGCCCTTTTTGAAAATAAATGGTTAAGTATTATAGTAAGCTCAAATCATAACCATATTTTACTCATTTACACAATCACAATGGTAAAGCTGATAAGACTGCTTGAGCATATGGCATACCACGACCACTGACTGACTTGAGTGGTGAAATTACCCACTTTAATAGATTAATCTATTCTGCATCATTTCAAATAGAAATTGAACATCCCCAAGAAATTCTAAAAACCTGTCGCTTTTGCTTCCTAACAATAAAACATTTCTTTTATCAAATATACCCAAATTCGGCATGTTTACGCATATTTCTATTACGTATATTATGACTTCTTATTTCAAAATTCTATGACTTTGTTAACCTTCTTTTCATAATAATATCTTCTTCTAGGTATTGTTCATGATGACTTGAAATTGTTTCTGGAAACTAATGTTCCAACTGGTAAAAAAGCAAAGAAATCAGGGTTCGAACTTGGTGTGTCTGATACAAGAATAACGGCAACAATACAGGATGAACTTGGAATCAAATGTGCAGTTGGGGACGCTGTAACAGAAATATTCAGGGGTAAAGTATAAGGACAGAATTTAGGACCGAAACCCCTTTTTCGACTTTTTTCGTAAAATAGTTAGTTGTTTTGCCTCAAGTGTCATTAATTTTTTAACTTGATACTGTTATAATCGAGAAGTCACGTTTTTTGATTCTATTTATTAAGGATTTTTGGATGAGCAATATTCATCAGCCTCTTCTCTTAGTGTCCAATATTTTAGTATGAAATTCACCATATATCGAAGTAAATGACAAGCTTGGGGAAAAAATTGTATTCAAGAATGGAGACCCTTCTTGTCCTTAATTCAGTATAAACCCATGTTTGTAGATGTGGTTCATGTTGCGTTCTAGAGAAAATTAATCAAAATGGAGCATTTTATACTGTGCATTGAAATTCTTTTATCAGTTTCCTTATGTTTCTGAATTTTTAATAGGTGTATCAGCAGATGATAACAGAAAAGAATATTTTATAAATTGGGTCATATTTTTATTGCCACACTATTGTAAATTGCATCTAAGGTGACTTGTTATAACGGGCGAAGCAGTGATGACGTGACCCAATCATAAAACCAGATCTGGTCGGTTACCAGATTGGTTATACCATTCACCCATGATGTGGTGTGTGGTAAAATAGTTGTGCTACACGTGGCAAAACTATGTTGATGTAAAACATTGTGGTCTGTCTGAGCTTTTCCCAAAAAGAAGGGATATTTTTTTTTGGTAAGTCTTGAACTGAAGAACAATAATATTAATGGTAGTTAAGTCGGATTGTTTCGTGTTAGTAGCTTGTATTAAGCTTCGATGCTAATGCTGTATTTCAAGAATGGTTGGGTAATTGGCAAACTTTACAATAAAAATTTGTATTGATTTTGAATTACTATCATGCATAGATAGTTTTAGTAATAAAAGTAATCCAGTGGCAGTAATGTCTAAGAATTCCGGTTTATAAAGACTTTAATAAAATGAATTTTTCTGTTTTTGTCATGTTTTTCTATTCTAAAGGCTTGCGACTACATTTCGCAAATCTTGTGAAGGGTTTGACTCCACAAGGTGAGGCTAAAGCTCAATTGGGTTTGGCTCACAGTTATTCCCGAGCTAAAGTCAAATTCAATGTGAATCGTGCTGATAACATGATCATTCAAAGTATCGCATTACTGGATCAACTTGACAAAGACATCAACACTTTTTCAATGAGGGTCAGGTAATCTGTAATTTTTTATGAGACTATTTAATTTTAAATTTTGATCATTAGCAATTAATGTTAAGGAAATGTTAGGAAAATGTGTTGCCATTGCCGTTTGATAACCCTGCTTAGATTCGAATCTTGTAGTGGATAATTATGTGTAAGAAGATTACTGTACACCTTATCGCCGTAGGGTAGTTCACGTCTCCACCGGTCGGTTAAGGCGTGCTCCATTAAAATCATGCATCTGAAACAAATATCTGACTGACCAAATCCTATACAGGACATGGACAGCTTTCTGAACAAGAGGCTGTGGTACGTCATAAGATTATTCTGTCTTATCTATCTTCTTTCCTATCTCCCCACCAACTAAATATGAAAATCCTATCCCATAACAACCGTATGTATTTCAGCACTTCTGATTAAAAACGAAAGATTTTAAATTGAAAAAATTGGCCCATTCTAGCAAATTTTTTCAGCATTTTGCTTAAACTGCTGATGAGTCAAATTTTTTTTTATTTAAATTTATTAAAATGTTTTTTTTTTCAGAGAATGGTACTCCTACCATTTTCCAGAAATGGTAAAGGTTGTCAGTGAAAATTACCAATATTGTCGCATGGTAAAACTGGTTGGAAATCGCAAAATATTGTCAGGTGCTGATGAAACTTTCATTGAAAAAATGGATGAAATCACAATGGATTCTACCAAATCGAAGGCCATCATTGATGCTTCAAAAATGTCAATGGGTATGTTGTTTCTACTTGAAAACGAATATTTGTTGTTTTTTATTCAAAGTACGTGTTTCTTTGTGGGTGTAATAGCTTGATTGTTTAGGCAACGAACAGAATTCAATATTTTAATTCTAATCCCATGCCCATCACCTCATCTGTGATGTAGTAACTTGGAGACTTAATGCTGTCTTTCAGAAATAAGGTGGATTATTATATATCGATGCCTGCTTATTCGTAGCAAAAAAGGCTGTGTAAAAAAATCTTTTCTATTCGTTAGGTATGGATATTTCACCAATCGATTTGATCAATATTCAGTCGTTTTCTGCAAGAGTTATTTCTCTGGCTGAATATAGAAGATCTTTAGTACAATATTTACACAGCAGAATGGAATCTGTCGCACCAAATCTTGCATCGCTCATTGGAGACATGGTGGGTTTTTTATTTAAAAATTTGCATAACATGGCACTGGTTAAGCCGCCAAAAAAATCGAGTATTTCTGGTCTTAGCTAATATTACACTACTTGACATGCTACTTGTTTTTGAAAATGCGAATAACTTTCACTGTTAGAACACAAATTTTTGTTTCCTCATCATTGAAGTTGTCAAAATAAAATTTTATTTAAACTATTGTTATCTTTGGATGCTTTTTGATCCTATCAAAAATCTCATGATATTATGGTTTTCATGATTTTTTTTTTTTTAATAAAGTATAACGAATATGTATGATGGTGCCTCTGCCTCAGTATAATTACTAGTTTAGTATTGATAAATGCTTTGATGTGATGCTTTCCTATTTTTTTTCTAGGTTGGGGCTAGACTTATCTCTCATGCAGGCAGTTTAACAAACTTGGCTAAATATCCAGCCTCTACAGTACAAATTCTTGGGGCGGAAAAGGCTTTATTCAGGTTGGAGCTTTTTACATACACTATTTCCAATTTAGTAGCCCAACTGTACAATTATTTGGAGAATTTTGAAGAGATTAGATCTTAAATGTTGAATTTTTTTCATTTCGAGAGTTTGCTCAACTTTTTAGGGCTTTGAAGACGAAAGGTAACACTCCGAAATATGGTCTTATCTTTCATTCAACATTTATTGGACGAGCTGCTGCCAAAAACAAGGGAAGAATATCTCGATTTCTCGCAAATAAATGCTCAATGGCTTCAAGAATTGATTGCTTCTCAGGTAATTGACAACTACTCCTATAGTCTGTAATTTTTATTAAAATAGTTTTTTCTCGCATGTGCTGATAGGTTTGGGGTTTATGAATTTTTTTTCGATATAACATAATTTGCTGTCATGACTGACGGCCAATGTTATACGGGTCTGTCTGAGGCTTGAAAAAGAGTTACACTGTTACGAATCTGGTATCATTTTTGATTTAACTTTATTCAAATCAAAACTATTCAGCAAAATTAAATACTCAAAAGTGTCAATGCTTTCTTATCAGTAATTTGTAATTGAGGTTAAATAATCATAATCAGTGTGCAATCTAATTTTGATGACAACTTGCCGCCGGGCATATTTAAGCGAACTTTCAATGTCAAATCAGCATAATGCTGAAAATCTAGATTCCCGTTAAAAACAGCAGGCCACAATCAAACCCTTGTGCAAACCTGCCATTTTGTCTTGGATATTTTATCCATCTTTTCTTTTTCTTTCAGAGCAACCGAGCAATATTTTTGGGGAAAAATTAAAAGAACAAGTGGAGGAAAGACTGAAATTTTTCGAGACAGGCGATACACCAAGAAAGAATGTAGATGTTATGAAAGAAGCTATAGCAGAGGTAATAAATTTGTGATAGTCTATTCCCTTTTTATTTTTGATGTTTCTTAGTTTGTACTAGAGATGTACCGATGTATCGGTATCGGTATCGGCAATATCGGTCATTTTTCCTGTATCGGTTAAATTAAGGCCGATATTTCCGATATATTTATCTTTTTGATATGGTCCAGAATGTTTTAAAAGATAAGTTGGAATACTACTTTTTAATTTATTTTTTGTCTGGAGAGATCGTGAGCTATGAGCCATACATGTCCCCACCCCCGCGAGAGAATAGGATTCACATGTTTTTAGCTATTCATCAGCCAAACTAGCTCAACTAGTTTGGCTATTTTCGCTGTCAAATTTTAATATTGACATTTTTAATATTACATAGTAATTATGAAGAAATATATCAACACAGCACATAACAAAAAGCAACTAGGCGCCCAGTTTCAAATCATACAGTGGAATTGGGGTCCTTATTAACGGCAAATGGACATTTGTCACGGGTATAAATTCTGACTGTTTATCGTCAAGTACGAGTGTCATTTAGTCCGTCGACATCGATAAACTAAATTCCGAAATTCAAAATATATGATAGCAATTGTAAAATATTTTATATTATAAAATAATAAAGTAAAAAAACATCCTCGACGGTTATAGGTAGGCCTTCTTTTTGTCGGTGCTGATTGATATTCTTTCATTTTGGCTTTGACTTATTGCGTCGACGATTACGATTAGCCACGAAATAAAATATTTGTAAAATGCTTTTAATTTGAACGTAGGACGGCGGCGCTAGAATGTGTGGGTGATATTCGATATTCTTTTAAACACGAATAACGATATTCGAAGGTCGCGATATTCATATTGAGTTCAAATTGGACATCGGGCTTATGAGTTTTCTAATTGAACACCGAGATTACTAGCGTTACTGTACAATGTATCTTAATCAGTTGAAGCAAACACCAAACATTAATTTCATATTATGTGATATATCTTTTTTTTTCGATCCGAAATAATGTGTACTATGAACAACGCTCAAAGACCATTGTTTTAACCCGTCTGCCCTACACAGCACACCTAATTAAGTAATAATTACATAGTATCGGTATCGGTAATATCGGCCTTTTTGTAGTATCGGCATATCGGTATCGGCGTTTTTAGCTGATATCGGATCGGTATCGGCGACAAAAGTGGTATCGGTACATCTCTAGTTTGTACACCTATAGAGATTTAGGAAATTTTCTATCGATGTTCTTACAGGCTGCTGAGTTTATAAAAACAGAAAAAATCAATGGAGATGCTGCTGACGAATCGATGAAGAAAAAAAAGAAAAAGAAGAAAAGAAAATCAGAAGTGGAAGAAATGGAGATTTCTCAAATTGTTTCTGATGGAGAGGATAATGAGGCAGCCAGTCCTGCTAAGCGTCCTAAACTTGAGGTGATTTTTTGTTGTAATCATGCATGCTGTTATATTGGTATTACTCATTTACTGAACTCAAGACTTTATAGTATTTATTGAGTTATGTCTGGTTTCTGATTATTCAATAATCCCACTCCCAGAGCAGATTTGATAAGAAATTTTTATTGAGAAGTATGTACACTTGACCATAAAACCTTGACTATTGACAAATGTATTTCATTTCAATTAAGCCCTGAAATTTACCCCCAATTAAAGTTTTAAATTCTGACAACATGACACTTAAAGGGTAAATTGAAGCATCTGATAGAGTATAACACTGGCTTACTTTCAAAATTAGGAATTATCTTCGTGTTTATTGTATAGGGCAGAGTGTGTAAATGTGGGATTCGCCCATCATGCTATATTTACATTCAGAGCAGCAGTTCACAACTGGGGGCATGAGCTCACAATGGTCCACAGACTTTGGTGTTCCATGAGCTTTGTATGCATAAATGTAAATATCCTGAAAAAGCAAATTTAACTTGCTTGTCATCATTAACTGGCTTGCGATGATTGACAAATCGAGCATGAATTTTCAAAACTGACTTTTGCATATTGCTCAAGTTTCAACTACTTTTCATTATGTTAACAGAATGAAACATCAGCACTTGACACTTCTGAGAAGAAAAAAAAGAAGAAAAAGAAAAAGGTAGCGATGACTATTTTTTTTTTCCAACTATTTGAAATCTGTTTTGGCAATGTTATGTTGCTGTATGTACGCATTATTTATATCAGTTTGCGCCATTATTGGGTGAATTTGATGTTTTCAGAAAGACATCACTCGATTTGAAACATATAAATCTGCTCAACATTGTCTTAAAAATCAAGCAATTAAGCTGTAATATTGTTTCCCCTATTTTGTAAGTAACTTTATAAGTATTGTTTTATACGTTTTGCATTATAAATTTCAAATTCCTGTTAATTTAGAATTTTAGATTACAGCTAGAATAAAGATTTTGTTTGGTTCATGCAACTGTTCTATCCCCAAACTAAATATTTCTGGTTCAATTGTTAATGTTATTTTTAGCAAAGTTATGGTTTGTCTCCAAACATACTCCGGAGCGCGGGGAGTGTAGATATATTATTCTTCATATTTATGGAATTATGTGGAAGATCAAGTTTTAGTAAATCGAGTTGTGTTTCATATTTACATAGGAAGCTGCTGAAAGCGCGGAAGAAAGTATGGAAGTTTCGGCAATCAATGATTCTGTAGTGTCAGTAGAAGGTGGCGAAAATGACAAGAAATCAAAGAAAAAGAAGAAAAAAGCAAAAGCTGAACAATCGATGGCTGACACGACGGCAGATGAAACAATCGGTTCCGTAGGTGATCAGAGTATGGGAAAGAAGAAGAAAAAAAAGAAAAAAGTTAACGGGTCATCATTGGAGGAAGAAGTTTCAACAGCTGATGATACTAACGCTTCTATCGGAGATGCTGATTCATCAATGAAGAAGAAAAAAAAGAAAGCTGCTGCGGAAACCGGGAAAAAAATGAATGGTTCGTCACATAAAGAACTGGAAGAAATGGAGACTTCGGCAGTAAAAGAGAAAAAGAAGAAAAAAAAGGCGGCCGTTATTGTGTCAGAAGTTGCCCAGGATGCAGACAAATCTGCCAAAAAGAAAAAAAGGAAAAGCCTTGATGTTTCGAAAGCCGAAATATCTGCAATCGGTGATGATTCTGTCCTTGAATCTGGGGAAACTCCTAAGAAAGTGAAAAAGGCAAAGAAAAAGAAAAGTATTGCTGTTGATGAATAAAGATTTGAATAATCACTGCTATTCAACACTGCCAAAATGATGTAAAAATCGTGCAACTCTGTAATATACACTAATAGATGGTCGGTGGTAAGACTAACTTCCAAGTAAGCTTTAATGGATACTGTAGACTTCTCGTGTGATGATTCCAGTTCTTTCAGAAATATTGTGAAAACATTCCCACAAGCTCCGTTCTGAACTGAGAGGGACAAAATATTTCTCTCAAAAGAACAAAATATTTGTGCCAAATGATTTTGCATAAAATATTTCGAATTGCATTGCCTAAGGATATTTTGTAAATTCTACCTTTGTAAAAAATGCAACTGTTGGAATTGATTTGGATTTCGTTTGGTGGAATATTTTAGCTGGTAAAATTACATTTGAATTGTGAATTGGACCGTTTTTATATTATCGCATTCAGGTTTCTATTTCCTGCAGTCTGAGAAATTCTAGTATTAGTACCATTTTAGAATAGTGTACCTATGTACAGATTGTTTTGGAAAATCTCTCTCTATTTTCTCTGCAAACGATGGATGATTCCAATTTTCAGAGTTGTTGCTCTACATGTTCCGAATGTTGGTTATTATTTTATAAACTCCTTTATAAGCACCAGCACTTGCGACCACTTTGTTGCAATGGCTAAGTATGGGAACATTTGCTGGGGTCGAAGGCCTGGTTTCACCTAATTAAAAAATTTCTGTATATTTCTCGTGAGGTAGTTAGCCTTTGGACATCTTATAGTTAGTGAGATTTTCAGCCTGAGCAGAGATCTGATCATTTGTGTAAGCTGATAAGTGCTATTTATTCCAGAAAAAAAAAAAACGGCAACTGAACAGCTCACATCGTCTGCCATGTGTGAGTTTTGCATGCTTTTGTGGTTAACTTAACTCACCTATTTACAACAGCTTGTCCGGGCAGCCGCTTTGAACCAAAGTGTCAAGCGAGTTCTGAAACTTGGCGCGGCGGTGTGGCTTATCGTGATAAACGTTAGGAATACGCTGCCACCGTACCTCTGATTACTCTGCGTGGATTCGCAGGTTGGAACCCCATGCAGGGATGGTTATGTGCGAGAGGATCGCTGGACTTCTCGCCGCCGTTGGGTGGTTCACGTAACCGCTGGTCGGTTACGGCTTCCTCCACCATCAAGCCCATGCTTCCGAAAATGAATAACTAACAAATCCCATACCCGACTTGGAATGGTAACCGGACGAGAGGCCGTGGTTCGCCATATGGTTAAGCCGTCTTAATGTCTTTCCTCTCCCCCCGGGATAAATATGTAAATCCTATCCTAAACAAACCGTGCTGGGGAGACCAGGTATTTCAGAGAGAAGACTGGTACTCCCCTAGCCGCCAGAGATAATGAACTTCAGACTAAAACAAAATTTTGGACGATTCTTATATAGCGAAATACGAATTGCCACGCACATTAATGCTGAGTTGAGAAGAATCGAAATTTGATAGCCTTTTGCAGGATTATATCAAAATAGGTCGTATGATGATACAGACGTAAATGCTGTCAATATGTTATTAAATACTAGTTTGACTTTAATGATTCTGTTGGTTTGCCGTGAAAATTGATGGGGACTCGATGACCATTGACTCGCGAGTCTTGTACCCAAGTATATTTTCACCATACCGAAAATACCCACCGCGGGCACCACACATACTGTGCACAATGTAAAATGAAATCAAATATTCAAAACAGATGATTAATTGTACATCAGAGCGAGCTGAGCTTACCCGCCACAAAATTTTGGGGTTTTACGAGCGAACTTTTTAATTGTCCAAATGATACCGTTCGACAGAAAATACCCACCGCGGGCACCACACATACTGTGCACAATGTAAAATGAAATCAAATATTCAAAACAGATGATTAATTGTACATCAGAGCGAGCTGAGCTTACCCGCCACAAAATTTTGGGGTTTTACGAGCGAACTTTTTAATTGTCCAAATGATACCGTTCGACAGAAAGTTTGGGAAAACACGGTATTAATAACCTGTACTGCCCCGTTAGACGCAAGTGAAATAGATAATTCCTTTAATTAGAGTTTGTTCAGAGAATTAATGGAATGTATATATGGTGTCTTTTTTGTCATTTTAATGGCCTTTTCCATAGATCGCATGTTTGTTACACTCGTTCGGTTGCGATCAAATCCAAGTCGCGTGGTATAAACACAATCCCGTGTTCTCCATCGTCTAGTGATGGAATTCTTGTCTCGTCTTTTACTGAAAACTCGAAACGTTGAATCAATGTAGCCAGAATTATAAACAATTCCATTTGAGCCAATTGTTCGCCAAGACAGTTGCGTTTCCCAGTAGCGAATGGCATCCAGAATTTTGATTTTTGGAAAGTTCCGTCAACCTGGTTGATAAACCTCTCTGGTCGAAATTCGTTTGGATTTTCAAAATGTCTGGGATCGCTATGAACTGCCCACGTAACAGCAATCATCTGAATTTTAATTGAGGTTTTAGTTTGTATATAATTTCGACACTAATACTGTAGAACCATTTCACAATATTATTTGGTAATAATAACTAAAAAAAATTCAAAAATCAGCAAAGCCTTACGTCATTGAAAGTTGCCCTAGGACAGTGGTTCTTAAAGTATGAGTCGCGACCCAAACATGGGTCGCGGAAGGTTTAAAAATGGGTCGCGACAAGGTCGTCAATGCAAGGGCAATCTAAGAGGAGAAGGACGAATTTTCAGCTTTTCCAATGTTTCAATTTAGCTTCTAAACTCTGGTATTTAAAAATAATGAAATAAAAAATTTCATTCACGGAAAGAACTGTCTTGAGCTCATTGTTACATCACAATTCTGATATGCCAGTCACGTGTATTATTTTTATGGTATCGGTAACCATGCACGTCGCTTGTCGTTGTGTTGACCGCATGGAATGTCGTCTTAGTGGATTAAAATAACCAAAAATGGGTGTCTTTTTGGTAATGAAAATTGTAATAGACGACGCAATGAAAAAGCTCGCTTCTCGACATTAGATTATTCAATATCTAGTGAAAATGTGACTTCATCTCGAGGCACCATTTACCGCGAACGAAGCAGTGCGTGCACATGTGACGAGTAAAAAGTTGTATATTGCGAGAGATACCGAAGGCCAGCTAGGATGTCGTGTTTGCGACGGACAGCGGACGCCTTTTCTGCTACAATTCGCGACAAGACACTTGTGCGAGCGAGGATATTTGGCACTGACGGTTATCAAAACTAAGCTCGCGATCGCTTCGATACCCGTGACAACTTGCGTATTGCGTTAAGTAAAATAGAGCTGTGTATTGAAGATATAATGAAAAAGGAAATTTCAGTTTCATCAATCTCACTGAGTCAATGGACTGTTTCTAATAAATAGTTGTCTGTATTTGAGTCAAACTGTACTAACATTGAAAACACATTTTGCGTTTTTTAGGATTGGGTCGCGAGTATTCATAAAACTCAGATTTGGGTCGCGCTTGAAAAAGTTTAAGAACCACTGAGCTAGGGCCTAGGTCGCGAAAGGATGAGGCGTTACCCAGTTCTCCTATCGCCTGTATAACATAGTATTGTCATCTTTGGTGTTATTGTAGATAGAAGCAGATATGGAGAGTGTATAATGTCTATGAAGTGCCGATGTTCCGCAGTTTTCAAAGGAAACACGGAAAATATTTTTGACTCCCCGTTACCGAGTAGCATTATGTAATCTGCTGTAGTATGATTCTACAGACTTGTTTACGTTGTCTTCCATAAAATGATTGTGACGCAATTATTCAAGTAGGGGCCTGCATGTAGGTCTTGGAGTACGCCCGTCACAGGCTTCTTTGTTTGAGACTGCCGCCAGGTACCTTTTTACTTATCGATTTTAATCGGTAAGTATGTTGATAGGTATTTGTCTGTCTGTCTGTTAGATGCACTTTCGATCGATAAGTCTTCGGTCTCTGACCGATATTCTTGTTTTCACTTTGTGCTGAATCAATTCCCTACTCTACTGTATAGTTTCAATAAATACCATTTGTCTGGCTGATAAATATTTCGATCAGATTTATTGTGAGAACATGAGATCTGGTCCTATCTTATAACAATAAATTCCGACATAATCTAAGATTCTAAGAAGTTAGTATCGTTTATTTACCGGAGTATTCTTCGGCAATTTATAGCCTCGTACTTCAACTCCGTCCAGTACAGTCCTAGTAGCGCTCAGTCTTACCAGCGTACATCGTCTCATCAATTCATGGATGAATGCTTGCATATATGGCATATCCTTACGATTTTCCATGCTTACACTTTTTTCGTTTCCTAAACAGAGAATGCAACGTTAATTTGTGGCATGAGTATTCTCAATTCTTGACAGAAAAAAATGCCGTCACTTCTAAAACCTAACTTTTTACCTACTACTTTTTTGATTTCGTGCCTTAGTCTCTCCTGACATTCCGGATAACGGACAAGCGCAATCATACAACAAGCCAGCGTACAGGATGTTGTTTGCGAAGCTGCATCAAGCAAATCATGTAGTACCAACTTGAGCTGTCGTTTCTGGAAATGTCATTTAGTAAGAAAAGAATTGAGAATTTCTATTGTGCTATTCAAGTTCAGTTCAATTCCTCTATTTATAGACTTACGTTAAATGACGGATCATGGTTTTCCTTGCTCATTTCGTTCAAAAATATATCAATAAAATCTCTCATTTCATTTTCATCGTAACTATTTTTGTGCTCCTCAACCTTCTTCTCCGAAAACTCTAAAAAATAAAACGTAATCTTTTCGTTGAGGAATTCATTTATCTGTAGAAAAAAACTACCAATGTCTCAAAGCGCCATATAGTCAACAGCAGAGGTGTGCAACATTTTTGTCAGTGTGTAATATTTATATAACCAACATCAGCCATCTTGCTGGGCCACATAAAAACAATGGTTTTTTCATGTACAGAGCGAATTAAAAATTAGTGACAACCAGAACGCCGCGGGAAAGGGAAGCGAATGCGGCTGTCGCTTAGCCCTCCAGTAGTTAAAGGCACCGTGCAGAACGGTGAAGTATTTAACGTAGTGAAAAGAAATTATGTATTATTAATTATGTATTTTTCTGTGTGAGCGTCGGATTATGATTTCATGCCTGATGAGTATTGACAAGGGCCTCACTAAATGGCTTGGCGGGCCGGGCTGTGTTCCGCGGGACGCCTGTTGCACGCCACTGGTCTACAGTTTAAAAAAAACTGCCAAAAACAGGTTGTTCTGATCTAAACACTTTTATTGCATTGGAACGCCCGATGGCTGATAATTATTGTGCGTTTTTGTTGGTAAGACTGTCGATATCTACTTTGTTGAAAAGAAATACATAGTGACAATAATTCTTTGTTGTGCTTACCTCCTATAAAATTGAAATCATCAATAAATCGTTGCATTGCACCACTGAACGGAGGGAATGATGCCAGATATTCACAGTAACTTGCGAGTGCAATGTACAAACCATCCTCTCGCAACCTGTTCACAGATTTTAAAGGTTATTGGAAACATAGGAGTTTTTACAATTGAATTTCAAAATGAGCTTTCAGCGTTTTTTCATAAGCCAGTGTAAACGCTTTTGGGTGGATGCTTACTACCCTGTTCCAGGAAATAATTCTTTTTTTTGCAAATAAGTCAAGCTCATACTGTACACAGAAAGGCACAATAAAACATGCAAATATAGCAAATTTCTCACGATCTTACTAATCGCCATCCTATTTCTTTAATCATTTTATCATCGTAAGAATATCTCTCCCCGATCATGATAAGAGTAGATATATTGACAGCAGCGGAAAGAAAGAGGTTCTGAAACAAAATACAAGAAATTTGTTCACTTTCAGTATTTGATTTTTTCGTACGATACTGTAGATTATGAATAGCCTTATCGCCGAAAAAGTATTTGATGAATCAATAAATGCCTAACAATAGATTCATTTATTTACAAGTTCACATTGCAGGCTGGAGTATATAATTAAGATACTATTAATATCAAGAATCATGTAGGACAGGTGGAGGTATGCGAAGCATCAAGAACACGTTCGCGAAAATAAACAACCTTAGGATCAAACGGATTCCCAACTTTTTCCCGGAAAGCATCGACCAAACACGCAGCCTCTTCTTGAACCCTTGCTTCCAATGTTTTAGAACCCATACCCAATCTAAAAGTAAGTAATTTTATTTAATTTTGCTTTTGACTTTTTAAACATTTATAATTATATTATGATTAAATCATTGCTACGAGAACAGGAATAAGTAAATTCAAACGTTTTGCAGCTATGTGTCGTGTTTGCAAAATGTAAGGATTGTTTTTGGTTCCTTTTCCATCAATTGTGGACCAATCGATTTCAATTTCGCTGTAATCCAAGATGTTAGAAGTCGCCGGATGCCTGTTGCTCTTTTTTCTAGTTATACGATGCCCGGGATACGATTGTATCTTTTACCTTCTGAAAGCATGTAATGTAAAAGGCCTGTGCATTTCAGCCATTTTCGGAGTCGCAAATATCAAACCACCACCCTTGTTGCAAACATCAAATATATGCATTGGGTTCCTTCCTCCCATCTTAGCTGCTTGTTTGATATGTACCTGAAATTCATCATTGAGGTTTGAAAATTTCACAGCATTTTTTTTTTCATTTTGTTGCAATACTCACGTTATGGATATCTTCATAGTCCGTGAGAACTACTGTATCACGCTGCCCGAATCTTGCGGTGTAAACACTGCCGTATACCTTGGCCCAATCTGTAAGCTGTTTGGATGGATTAGTCCCCAACAGCGGAATGATTCCAAAAAATGGTAAGCCCCGAGGCCCCTGTGGTAAGCGTACGTCTCTTCTGTACCAATATATGAACGAGACTGCAACAACCAAAAGTGCAACTACGACACCAAACATTTTAATTGCTAAGTGTTGAATTAACGCTAAATTAACACGGGATTCAAAAGATGAATTCAAAGTTACTGATACAGTGACCATCGATTTTCGATGTGGCCTGAAACTGCTTGAAAGTTTTCAGCTAACTAACTTATAACAACTTCTATTTTAACCGACGTAATTTAACCTATTTTCTCTTGAAATTATTTTTTCTGCATGTTCACTGTTTTTGAGTCTCTGTTTTAGGTTTTACTCAAAATACTACAACGACGAAGCACGCTGGTCGCGGGCTTTACTTAGACAAGTTCTAAATATGTTATTTCAGCTTCAAATATTTGTTCTAGTTGCGCAAATATTCAACTAAGTAAAAACTTAATATACATATATATTATTATCATGGTAACAATACTAAAAAGTGTACCGCGCTAATATGTAATTTATCATTTTAGGATCTCTATCTTGGGACCCGGTGTTTATTATGTGTAGATTCTAATGTTAATATTTGCAGAGTTGTTTGCATTTTGCAAGAATTTCTGCTGAACATGCGATCCATTTACTTTCAGTAAAAGTATATCATATGTCGAGTATGGACAACGGATCGCCTTGTCGTTGGTCAAATATTGACTAAGCTGAAAAGGTAAGCCATATTCATTTATCAATATTTCATGAAATATATGGTATGTGGATAAGAGCAATGCATATATATATATATATATATATATATATGCAATTAAAATATTATGGATATTGTGTATCAAATATTATATAAATTACATATTTGGCATATGCTATATATATATACTATATTATGCTAAATTGAAAATACATTAGTGTTGAAATACGTCGAACTGGCCTTGGGCTACATAGCAAACAAAGGTTTTTCGACACGGAGTGTACATGCATGGATCGTTGTGTTAAATTCTTATTGTTGCTAAGCTTGTTGTTTTTTTGGTTTTTTTTGTTGTTGGGTGATTGCTGTTTCGGGAGAAATCGCGGATTTCAATAGCAGATTATGTAATACATTTAAATCCTCAATACAAGTATACAATATGTGATATTACTAATTTACGTCGATATCAAAAGCAGTAATAAAAATGCAAGCAACTCTTGAGCGCGAGCGGAAAAATACACCAGTTTCAGCAAAAAAGTTCGATGAAGTGATTTTTACGTCGTTTCATCTTGCCTCGAAAAAAAAAAGGATGGAACTTTAAGGAGTAAGGACTAATTGTCAATGCGACTTACATTATCCGTGTCACTGTTTTTATAGATAACACTACAGTTGTGACATCAAGAACCAAAACTTTAATATTCGCTGGGACTCGAACCTAAATCGAGTCTAGGATGACTTGTAATTTGGCTCGACTCGCAATAAAGGGACCTAGAAGCTTCATCAGGTCGAATACCTTGGCTTAGATGACAGTAGGCCAGTTCCTTCACACCCAACTCTCGGACGACGCTTGAGAACCCTCCAAGTTCCAGATTTATTCAACACTGAATTGCGTAGAATGCTAAATGCTAATCGACTCAATTTACAATTATATATGATGAATAAAATATTTCATAGTAGAATACAGTTCACAGCCACAGACATCGTCACAGCAAAATGAAATCTACACAAGTATATGCCATAAACAAGCACTGTAATGAATATGCTATCAAAATGTATAGCAGAAATGGTACATCTAAAAATAAAACTCATTTGAATGCATTTAAAGCAGGAAACATAAAAACGCCATAAACTCGAGGGAAAATAATATGGGTCGATATTTAGTGGTGAAATTTGTGTGGAATTGGCACGAACCTGTTCTTGGAATATGATAATTAGCGAACCCGTTCTTCTTCTTTTTTGTGTGTAAAGGGTGTCATGTTAATGTAGCTTGAGTAGCAACATACAAACATTATTAGTGAGTTCGATACAAAAGACAACCTGTTCCTAAAATATTGAATCCCACCACTTTTCACAGCCTTTAGAATAAATATATATATATTGCATCATGCATTTTAGAACCAATTATGCCAATGATGTTCTCATGACGATCGCTGATGAAATCTTTGTAGGCTTTTCCATCTCAAATCTAACACTATAGTTGCTATTATTATATTATATATACGGGGAAATATTTTTTTACATGTAATTGTCTTACAATTGTTTTGCTAGCCCTTCATATTATAACGTTGATAGGTAAAAGATTGCTTGAGATTTATAATTACCATCTGTATATATATATATTGTGCAGATAAAAATGAAATAAAAATGCTGTGTATGTAGGTAAAGTAATAAAAAGAATGAATTCAATCATGATCGGATTCCACGTCAAAACATTTTGTCACGTTTCGATTCGAGCTATACAGTGTAACTGCACGAGCTTCGATAGTGACATACAAGTATTTTTTTATCTTTCATTTTTTGTTGTAAATGAGGTTTCTTCTACATCTGACTCCTTCTCATTCGAATTTTCGTAAACTCTCTTTTCAACGTCAGATTTTCGGTTTTTAATTGCACTGGTCAATCGTTTTGCAGTTTGAGTATTTGCATCATGCGTGTCTCTAAGTTTCCTGGATTGCTTTGTTGTCGGTTTTGTATTTGAACGATCTGGCTCATTTTTGTGAAATAACGTACGTCGTACTAAAAGTGTTTGTTGTTTTTCTGTCAATTTATTATTGTTTCCCGAGTCGTTGAATGCATTTCCCCGGGGCTCTGGTCCATTTCCAGTACCCGCAACACCTTTAGCATTCAATTCATCTATTATTCGAGTTAATTCATTTGTAACATTTTCATACCCTTCACATTCACTCAGCAACATGCGCAATGTCTTTTCTATGTTTACTTTTCGACGGTCAAAATCATTTAAAACGCGAGTAAATCCTATCATTATCTTGTCGTATCTATAGCTGATGTCAAGTAGACTTGTAGCTTGTGCTTCATTCATAACTTTTTGTAACCTGACACGTTTTTTCAATTTCAATTTTTCAGAGAGATCCATCATTGTTTCCCATGCATCATTTTCTATTTTATAATTTTTAATGAGTGTTAATGTATCGTCTTCATCGTCTCTTGAGCAGCTGTCTGATAGTTGCAACAATGAACTTTTGATAACTGCTATGTCTGCAAGATCTTTTCTAGTTGCATCTTCCTCATTACTTAAACTCATTTGCATCCAGAGTAATAAAATTCGAGATCTTGCACCGGGTTCACCATTACATACATTGAGAAGTATTTTCCATTTCTCATTTTCCGAATCTTTTTCCTGGATGGAATCGAGACGATTGTATACGGCTTGGATGAATGCATCCTTTTTAAAGCAATATTTTGCAAATATATCCACTACTTTCATCACACTGGTATTATTGGTATTCATAATTTGTAGCTTTTCGCGCATCAGCCTTCTTATAGCTAATTGAGCAAGCAAAATATCAATTTCATTTTCACCCAGCTCCAAACTATTACCAACAAAATCTTTTGCGTTAATTTTTTTTGCCATCTTCATAAAACACTTTTTTTTTTCGACTGACAGGGTATTGCTCAGAATATATCGAGCTGCGGTAAATACGAACGTGGGCCGGTTTTCTGATTTCTTGAGCGCATGATATAATAAGGAGCCCAATGGTCCATTTTCGTCCGTTATATCTGAATATTCTTTCACAGATATACCATTTGTGTCATTAATTTGGCTACCTTTGTGATCTGTGGGTACATAACTGTTGAGCAATTCAACTAAAAGTATCCACTCCCCCTCATTGTAAAATAATTAGCCCATTTTTCTACATTTGCCCATTCAAAAATTCGAAGATGCGAAATTTTAGCTGCCAATTTTTTCAGGTAACTTCTGTATTCATGTAATTTCATGCCACCTTCTTTGAAATTCTTAGTTTTCTTCATATGATCCTCCAAACAACCCAGCCGTTCTTTGAATATGCATAATGGAATCAACGGTACATTGACACCAACGGTGTTATTCGAAATATAGTTTCTTTTTTCCTCTTGCTGTTTCGTCAATTTCCTAATCTCAAAGTAATCTTCTACAAGAGTAGATGAACTTCCATCGTGCACGTAATATCTCATGCAATTAGAATTGTTGAGTAATATCTTTAATGTTTGAAGTTTTATTTTTGGTACTAGGGCATAATACAAAATTGATCTATGAGTTTCGTAAGAATTTTCAATTTCGTTCAAACTGACACCTTTTTTTCCAAGACTCCTTGTCATCAATCACATTTAGCAATAACACTAAAAATTTCCACAATTTAATTTCAGCAACGTATTCCATCAAAGTTTTTACTTCTTCCCATTTAACACATTGAAGGCACAATAAAACGCGGTATATAGAAGTACTGATTTCAGGCGACAACGGAGTATTTTCCTTCTTTAAAATATTTTCCAGAATATGATAAATAACAATTGATTTGCCACATTCTTCCAGTAAGCCCACCCGATGTTTGTAATCTTCCACACTCTCGCTGCATATATTAAATACGATTTTTGGCGCTTCATCTCCGAACGAAGTTTCGATGAACTTTTTAAGGCCGTCAAATCCAATTTGGCGAGAGCCTTTCCAGAATTTGTATACGAACATAACTAACCGAGGTTCTAAATTTGTTCTACTTAGAATTTTAACTTTCTGGTTATCGTCTTTCTGAAACACGTTGCAAATACCAACAAACACGGTAACAAGTTGACCCAGTAGTGAAAGCGACAGCATGCACATATAAGGGAAAATACGCTCCGACGAATTGTGAAAACAGGAAAAATTACTATATTCAAAGTAATCATGGAACATCACTGGCCATATCACGCAAGAAAAGCTCCTCGGATCTGACCGAATGAAGCAACAACCTACAATTGACAAAGCCAACGCAGCTGAAAGAAGTAGTCCGTTTCTAATCCGGTATATTTTCATCACTCGGCAATACTGATCTGTGTTATATTTAAACATACCCCAAAGATTTATCAATTCAGGCAGTTGATTTTCACTTGATATTTTAAGAAATTCTTCAGCATTTCCTGTTTGAATATTCAATTTTTCAAATATATTCACGATCTTGTCAAACGTCCTGTACGAGTTCATCACAGCAGAATCGTAGAGCCAGAAACTAGAAGATATCAAAATAAGGACAGTGAATGCCGTGGCTATTAGTACAGAATAAGTTACATAAAATGGAAGATTGTACTGGCAATAGATATTAGCTGCTGCTAAAGCCTCCGACTGTCAAGTTAGCTTGGTTCGGAACACATTGAACTTCTGCTCCGGGTGAAATGATGTCAGTCATTAACACAGCAGAAGTGATACTCAGCAAAAAAAAATATCCACGAAGGCTTTCCCACCATGGCTTCATATTTAGTTCAGTCAATAAATCTCCAAACAAGTACGAAGAAATTTCTGACGCATACATTGGGTTTAGATCTAAAATATCCCTAAATAAAATAATTCGAACAAATTTTTCTGAACTGAGAATATAAATATATATATAATATAGTATTACTTAGTAGGCTATGTGATTTAATGATAAATAGAAATATAAATACCAAAAACACAGGATTCGTAAAGTAAACAGCTTACCCAAATATAGTTGCAAAAAAATATCGTATTCTTAGTTATTATGTAGCTTGACACAAGGCACCAATTGGAGAGCACAATGCAAATCTATAATTGGAAATTGGTTCAGCAATACCATTATTAAAATATTTATTTGTAAAGTTTTTACAAGTGATGTTTTTAGTGAAAGGGTTTTGACTTACTACTATATAAGTTAAACTCTACATCTTCAAAACTACAAAATATTTGTCTTTAAACTATTTACGGATATCGTAATGTGTTTCTGTCAAATCATCAAATGATACTAACTCTGCTTTTATATATAAATGTTATGTATATTTGGTTTTGGAGTTCCAAAAAATAAACATTGATCATGACCTTGCTCCTGAAACTTTGTTAAAGTATCTCCATTTAAATTATAACGGGCACAAAAGTAAATTTGGCGTTTTTTACTCTCCTCTATATAAAATATCCATATAAAAGCGTCTGCGTCCAAGGGTGTCTGACCAAATACCCTTGAAGCATGGAAACATATCTAACAAAAGTAAGTACATACAATATGCGCTTTAACTCAAAATATGATACATATTGATTGCTTAATCTCAATCGAAACGGTCTTGATTTGAATCAGGCAAATGATACATCGATGCAGAGGCTGAAGAGGCTTAAATGTGGAAATGGTCTGTGAATCAAATTTCCTATTCTCTCTCTCTCTTTGGTTCCGCACGATAGCATGACTCAATTTACTGTTTTTCATAGCCATTGTAGCTGCTGTATTCCTGCACTTCAAGTTGCGCAAGAATGAATGCATATGTGCATATAATCAGTGATATTTGATTTTACAATTTGACAAAAATCTGAAATTTTTTTGGCGTTTTATAAGCAGTATCTGTGTAAAGTTTCCAAGCTGCTTAAATGTAGTGTGTAATTGAACTGCTTCAACTATGTATGTTAAAATGCAATATACCTATCTCATTTATTCGGCAAAATCAGTCAAGCTAACTGGCAATGGTTTCACAGTTGATTCAAACGGAAACGAGGCGTTTCCAGCAATTATATCTTTCAACAGTAGAAGCGTTCGCGAGATGTTGTCAAAACATGGATGCGGCAATACCAAATAACGTATAGCTTGTAACAAAAATCAAACTGTCAGAGTTATCCTGCTAAGATTAATCACACTCAAAAGATATTCATTATGGAGAAGTTTGATATTTCGTAAATATCAATAGATGTATTTCGCGTATAAGATTGAATGATACGATTTAAATGCAGTGATCAATAATATACAACAATAATATATTTATGCTCTACAGTATAAAGACAAATATACAAGAAATATAGGTTTAAGTTGGAAGTTGATAAATAATGCCGAGCGGCAGTGCCATGATATTTGTTTAATTTACAACAGGTAGAGAATATGTGAAGTATTATAAAATAAAATGTCAAACAACAGTAGTCAAATATGAATATGTTCCTCATAGATACGTTTATATCAAGCACTTGAATTCGAGTTTCGTTATAGCCACTGTGACATCCCAAATCTTCTTTTGTATATATATGGTCTTTTTTCAAACGGCATACCGTACCAAACTGGGTTTCTGACTCCATACCAGCCATATTTAACAAGAATTAGCCTACTTATTACGTTTTAATTTACGCGTTCGGATATTAAATCACAGATACGTATCAACAAGTTCGAATTATATGATCAATTGTCAATTTATGTTATGCTTGGACTGCGACAAAGGTTCTCAATGCCAGTAACCCTGTACCATTTTTAGGAGAAAGTTCTATTGCTAGTTTCTACATTCGGAATTGCTTCATAAATCTTTATCCCGCCTTCTTGCACGTTCGCGTTCCGAAGGTTTATCAAACCAATCAGTTGTTTCTTTGCTCAAATGATACGCTGAAAATTAAAGAAATTATTATGATCAAACAAAAAACACTTTGCATTTATAAGAGTACAAGCAAATAAAAAACGATCTTGTGGCGTTATTCATCATAAAATGCGAATGAGGTAATAATTCTACCAGATTCAGAATGTTTTGTATTCCGGATTAATCGACTCCGATTTCCGAGCTAAATCTGGTATAATTGAATTTCGACAACTTGGGCGATGGCTTACACATCATTCTTTTTTATTTTAAAATATCGACTCCAATTTAATTATAGTCTGAAATTCGGATTATGATTGTTGTGAATATGACTTTAGACCCGAGGAAAAAGTACCGACTCCGGACTTTGCGCCATTCGAAAATACACTCCGGCGGCTTCGACTCCTGGTAGACAAATATTTCGACTCCGGTTACCGACCTCAGATTGAGGCAAATTTTGACTCAACTCCAGCTCTCAACTTAAAAATCAAAATTTGACCATAGGAACCTCGTCCTTTGCAAGACTACTCGTTAAATTGCCTGAGAATGCTTATTTAAAATGAGAAAAGTAGAAAATCCCGTATATGAAATTACTACCCAGCTTTCGTCACAGCCCGAGTGTGAAAATACAACAAACAGCGTTAACACAAGTAAAAATCACAACACTGCCAGCTTTATAACACCACCAAAAGAGACATAACATCAAATTAAAAAACACTGCTGGACGAACCTAAAAAAATTCAACATACGTATCATCCCCATTTTATTATTTGACACCCACCCTCGCTATCAGACACGACAGTTCGGAAATCCTCTCCTCGATCATCTCTTCGCTGCTCTTGAATTGACTCATCGACACCAACAGCATTTTGGTTATTCCCAGGTGCTGCTTCAGAAACTACATCATTTCTCCGGATCCAGATAGGATCCGATTCTGATTCTTTGTCCCTCTGACCAATTTCGATAAAGCTGCTAAGTAGCTTATCATCGTTGGTTTTAGTGACCAATTCAGCATACTCAGAACCTGGATTTTAGCCACAATTAATTTTGGCCTAACACGGTAGTGTATTAGTATTTGAGAAAGAACACCCACTTTGCTGTTGAGCATTAGTGGGGAGAACAGCAAGTCGAATCTCCGAGAAGATTCAGAAATTGTAACAAACAAATCAATTACGTATATTTATTATCTTTTGACGACTTAACTTCGCCCAGATCTTGGAACTAATATTAGCCTCCTATTTTTATTCAGCCTAGAGACACTTGAAACATTGTAAAAAAACAGAAGCCATGAATTTATCAATTATTTTTATGAAAACGATGAAAATTTATATTGGGCGTGCATAGAAAGTCTACTTGTCAAAATCGAACTCAAGCAAGGGAAAATGCTCACCATTTTCCGATTGATGATCTTCGCTGTTCAAGTAAAATTTTTCTTGTTTCCCTGTGAATCTTTGTTGAATCTCGTAGTTAACTTTATCAGTCATAGTTTTATAATTATTTTTTCCGTTCTTTTTATTGTTATTATATGGATTTACATTTTCCTTGTCACCGTGATAATTTATAATATCAAGAGGAGAATGTGAATCTGTGAAACGGCTGCTGGCTGGATGGGTATATTGCCCTTGTCGGGCATAAAAGGCGGGAAAATATTTTCCACTGAACGAAAAAGGCGGGATTTTGTCGTCTTCTGGAAGCGGGTCGGTGGTACTTGAGGCCTCACTTTCCCCACGACTGAGTCTGTGATTCGATAATCCTTCATTTCTCCCTTCATTGTGGTGTCTCTGCACATTACCGTTCGAAAATTGGGAAGCACTATTACCGCCGTTGTTACTTCTGTGTTGACGGTATCGTTCGCCATTTGCATTTGGAAGCTGCTGGTTCAAACTTTGTCGGGTTGTTTCATTACTATTTGTCCGTCTGTCGGACTTTCGACGATGGCTATTTTCAACGCCATCATCATCGTCCGAAGTTGTGTTAGTTAGAGGCTGAAATCCCCTAGCTTCGATTTGGGTGACGTCATCGATGATTTCATAGTTTCTTTTTGTTACATGTTGGATTTCTTTGAGAACGTCTTGATTGTTTTCATTTGAGGCCATAGGGTGGGATGTATTAGAAAAATGTTGTTTGTGTTGGGCACTTCTATTCATTAAACTTAAGTCATTGTCTGTTGCTGTATTTAATGGGGTTGCCGTGTTGCGGTAAAGAGAATATGAGGAGTCGCGGCCTGGAGATTCGTTTCTGCATATAAAAAACGTTGGAAATATTTTTATTTCCAAAAATTAATAAGCAATGATTTGGAGCCGTTAGAAATGCAAATTCGTGTTACAAAGTATTACAAAAGTGGATGTTATACAATGTACATGACCTATAGCGGGATGAAAAATTCCAAGGTATAACAGTGTCGACTTAATTTTAAGACTACCCACAATAGCGATTTTACATAAAAGTTTTTACAACACTAAGCTATCTGCATTGTAATGCATAACTGCATCTTCTGAAATCTTAACCAGTATTGAATTTAATGAAATCCTACATTCACGTGTCTCACGTGATTCCGCGTTTGTGATGGCACAAAATATCACGTGTCTCACGTGATCACTTTCAAGAATGATACACAATATCACGTGACTCACGTGATGGCAGGAATTTACACATAACAAAACATCATGTGAATATGACACAAATGATTTACACTTATTCCTGGAACCTTTGCCTGGAGTTATGACGAAATGATGATGAGGTCATAACGTGATCACGCATATTATCCATGCTTTGTCCTCCATTGTGACGCAAATCCTCGTGCAATGATAATGACGTCATCGACGGACGGCGACTACGTCCAATTTCTAAATACTGTAACAGATCAAATATTTGATAAATGAACAAGAATGAAAAATTTACAAAACACACAACAAAATTTACAGTTCATCGTCAACTCGCCAGTTTCGGATCATTTCCTCAATATAAACTGTAGATGTTTTTTGTATGTTATGATATATAGGCGCCATGTAACAATTTTTCCAATAGATAAACGAACGTTGGGAATTAATCAAAAGCAAGATAATTTATTCCTATTCAGGTCGGAGTTTGGTGTATAATTCGGGAAATGTATTTCAAATATAAAAATACAAAATTACTGACATATATTAGTGAATTCACCGTTGCCCAACTCTATTATTTAAATAAATAACTTAAACGCATTGCCATACCTTTAATCTAAGATCTAACTCTCTTTCTTCTTGATCCAAATCTTCCATTGTTTGTTGAAGTCTGCTTACTTCCATTTGTACGTGTTCATCTGCTCGTTCTTAAAATCAATTTCAATTTGAAAAAAAAAATTATAACAATGAAGAAAATTTAGTATGAAATTTAGCAATTTATTTGAAGAATTGAATTAAATATGAAACAAGAATCAGTTAAAAATTTGAATGTTAATGTTTTATGTTTGATTTGTATAAGTTATTATGTTATATTCAACTGCTCAGCAGATTTTTTTTCACTAGGCCGTGTTAATATCAAAATATCAAGGCACGATTAATGGCCTGTTATAAGGTAAGTGGAGTCAGAGTCTTGTATTTAATTGATTTTCAAACGTCCCAGTGTCGGGAATCGGAGTTGATATTCTGAATCTCGAAAGTCGGAGCAGATTCTCAGTGGTGGTAAAATTCTAAATTATGCAAAATCTTAGAAAGCATCATGTGTACTAAATGTTTTTAACGGACTGTTAAAGAAGGCTTACGTACGCCAAAATGTTTGTTTATCAAATTTATTTTGTCCGAGTTTGGAGACGGAGTTAATATTTTTCACGACCCGGAGTCGGGAGTTAGAATCAAAGTTTGTTTTATCCGGATTTGTGAAATTGGATCCAGAATATTTTCAATCCGGAGTCAGAGTAAATTGTAAAATTAATTTTTTGTGACTCCACAGTAAGTTATTTGTTGTAAAGTAATATGACCTTTCAGAAAATTCCTAAATATTGAGTAAATGAAAGTAAAAGTTAAAAATGCAATAAGAAATACTGACGTTGTCTGTTAGCCATAGTTCGTTCAGGATTAATTTTGCTCTGTCTTTTCACGCTTTCATATCTCCAACTATATTCATCATCTTCTGGCGGTTGCGGAAGACTTCTTCTTGACGATGAGTGAGACATTCCTCTTGAAAACTCTTGCGAACTTATAGAATATGATCTAGAAAAACCAGGACGTGATGACTTTGAACTATGACCCCCATAATGTCGACGAGAAAGTATATCTCTATCCGAATGCCTTGAATAAGAACGTGGAGCATGAGGTTTTCGTCTCGAGGAGTGGTGGTCAGAATAATGTGGAGGTTGGTGTCGATGAGATCGATTTGATTGCGCTTGCCTCATTTCATAATCAACCATAAATCTATCGCCGTAATGGTGACTTGATCTTCTACGTGGTGCTTGATAATGATCATCGTATGGGGAGTCTGGATAGGCAATATCCACGTCTTGTTTGCAGTATTCGTGATCGTCATCTTCATAATCAGACGGATAACTATTCTCACGACTATATTGATGGCGTCTTCTTCGTTCTCGTGAGCAATGTGGTTCTGCTATGTCTTCTGCGCCCGAGGCTTCAGTTTCGTAAAAATCTGAAGCTTCTTCTGCAATCTTTCGCGGTGCAGGACGACTTTTCCGTGATGGAGGAATGTCTTTTGACAAAATGGCAGAATCCTGCGTCGCACGGAAAACAGTAGGCACAGATGCGCATTTCCGTAATCCATTGATTCCTGAATGATCAGGTTTTATGGTTGATGATCCATCGTCAATTTCATCGTGAATATCATTAGATGGTGGAATTTCGCGAGCGGGAGATGGATCGCGTGATCGCATACTTCGATATGTTTTATTTGCTCTTGAACGATTTACCGTTTCACCAAGATCGCTAGTATGATCGTTGTCGCCGAGTGTGTCGTATTCTTCACGTTGTGTCCAACGGCCTTTTGGTTGTGTAGTGACTGGTTGTGGATATCGTTCCTCGGTATCGCCGTAGTATGATTCTCTGTCGAAATATCCACCAGCACGTAAATTTACATCTGAATATTGACTATGGATAGAGTGTGTTGACTGTCCTGGTTGGAAGAAATTTGATACTGGTTGTTGATATTGTGAGACAGAGTACGAACTGATATCTCTTTGTCTTGGTATGTTATATTCCGGCACTGTTGAATGATAAAAAGGCGGCTGTTGTTGCTGCATATGGGTGTACGATGCTTGGTCTGAATACATCCTTCTTTCCTGATAATCAGGTCTTTGTACTAGCCCGTAATTTCCTGGTACAAAATTACCTTGATGATATCCGGACAAGCTCTGGCTTGGGTATGGCTGACCAAAACCGCCACCTAATGGAGCATGTTGATATCCATGAGAAGCATAGGGTGATGCAACCCCGTGTGAAGAATACGCTCTTACGTCGTCTGAGAGAAGGCTAGGAGGCGCTCGATTTTCAATAAAATTCGGGTGTAATACGTTATATCCATTTGATTCTGTTTGACAAGCTGATGATTCGCGATTTATTTGGGAATCAGATTCAAAAAATCCTTGATTGGAAGTATACGTAGGCGTCGGTATGTTAGAATGCGATCTCCATAACCTGGGGTACATAATACGGTCGCTAGGATAAATTTGACTCTCTTGGCCTGAAGCCATAATGGAAGCGTCTTTGTAGATAGTAACGGGCCGGCGTGTCGGACTTTTTGTTATAACTTTTTCTTTAAGATGTGATAGTGGTTTTGTTATTTGTCTTGATATATGTAGATCATCTAAGTCGCTTTTATCATTCAAAGCTTCTATAAGAGATTTAATTTTTCGTAAATCTGCTAGTGATAATCCTTCTTGAGCAAATCGTTCGGAAGGAAACAATTCATCCGTGGGTGAAACTTGTGTCGATGAATCAACAGATCGAATGCGTTCGCGTGGAGTCATTTTTGTTGGAGACGAACCGCGGATTCCGGGCACAACATTAGTCTGTACGTTCATGGAAGTCGACTCTGATATTGCTTGAGTAGACAAGGTACCACAAGAAAAACATCTTGCAAATCCATCTGCAATCATGCCTACTCCCCCTAAAGACGAACATTGCGATCCTAGAGACATGGTACTAGATCGCTTTGTTTTATCAAAATCACCACTCAAGGAAGACACCATGGTCTTCTTTTGTATGTTATTTGCACCTCTATCATACGTATGACAACCGCCATGTATCGCAAATTCTGACTTTTCTTTTTCATTTGGAGATTCTAGACTGGGTCCTAATACTAATATAGACGGTCTCGAGTCAGAGCTACCCATTGACGCGGTTTTCGGTGGTAATCGTAAATCAGAAGGGTCGGAAAATGTCGTGCGTACTGTAGGAATGTCAGCAGGCGCAGGTAAAGAATGACGTCTGTCCCATGAATCGTCTCCGTGCTGTCGTATATGAAGTGTGTTCGGATTTTTACTTGGTGAAAACGATGATGATCTTTTAGGCGAAGATTCAGTATCTGATTCTTGAGTAAGATCGTACAAACCCGATGGTAAAGACGAATTTTTTGACGATCTCCTTCTATCATTAGCAGTAACCCGCGATTTATTGCCGCCCGATTTCCCAGGCAAAGAGCCACGATGGGTAGCTCGAGGCGCATTACCAGATTGTTTCAGAAGCTCTTCAAAACTATCAGTCGATGTAGTGCGTCTCATAAACATATTCGCTAATTTTTTAGGTTTTGGGCGCGAGGTTTCGCCTCCCATATAAGACGATATTTCGTCGTCATTATCCGTACCGTAATATGGATCAGAAAATCCTTTTGCCCCTAACATACCTTTTGGAAACGTGGGCATGGACATTGTAGCGGATCTTAGCATTTCTTCTTCATCGTCAGAATCAATTTTAGAAGACGGTGATGTGTTGCCAGACAGTAAGGTCATGTTGGCTACAGTTTCCTCAAAATGTTGCAAATTTGTATCTAGATCATCTAGTCTTGACTCATCAATTTTCCAGTCTCGAAGACTAGTCGTTGGTTGAGAAGAACTAATGCTACTAGATGTTCTCGTAAATGCTGAACTGCAGGTAGTAGAAGGTAAAGGCATACGTGGAAATTTGTTTCCCAAAGCGGATTTGCGAATTAGATTCTGGTTTGCGGCGTATATGTCCGCATCTTTGCTAGAATTTGCTCCATATGATGTATCATCATGCGCTTTACTGAGATTTTCTGGTCCATGAATCTTCTTTATGTCATCCTTGTGTATCGTCGATTCCGCGATGTTATCTTTCTGAGAAAGTGCTTTGTGCTTGTCCATAGGTCCACCATCGTTTCTCTGCGATCTTTGTGGTTTGTCCGCGTTCTTGGTGTTACTTCTAATTTTTGGTTTCACCGATATATTTTCATTTTTTGTGTCATAATTTTTCGTTTCCGTTTTCGGCAACTTTGAAGATTGATTATTTTGGTTGTTGACAACTTGCTGTTTGGTTTGATTCTTCATATCCGTATCCAAATTGCCAGGTTTATGTTTTCCTGAATATGATAGGCGTACGGTAATTCTTACAATTCATATTGACAAGGTTCTCGAATAGGACAGAAGTATCATTCGAGGAGTATCATTGTTAAATTATCAAAATATCTAAATGATGAAAGTAAATTTAACCAACCTATATTGTTTTCTTCCCTTTGTTCGTTTTCTTTCTTGATTTCATGTTTCTGTTCTTGCTTGATATTTTTACCACCTCGAATTTGTCCGTGTTGATGCGATGGTTTTGCCACGTCGGAATGAATTGCATCGTTTAAAATCGGATCTTCTTTTAAACCTGTAAAATCGGTAATTCTGAAAGGTTAAAAATCTACTTGGTGTGGTGAAAAAAATCAAACTATCTAAGCGTATCTACTTATCAATTTAGTTTCATCACTGTGCTGTTAATTCATATCACATATATATCTGTTAAGCCTAACGTGTCAGTGATCGTTTTTCATTCTTTCATTAGTACTCCTTCTCTAGTTGGAGTTTCGGGTTCTTGCCCTGGGGAAACTGGTATGCAACGGTATGCATTGGCATTTTTACGTGACTTCTCTATCGTTCTTGGAAATTCCCTAGTTTAATGCTCTTTATTGGACAATAGAAGACAACAAATTTAACAATTGAAAACCATTATTTATGTGCATGTTTTATCGCTTTTTTTATCAAAGCTGAAATAAGAAGTCAGTCCTAGACCAAACGAACATTTGCGTCAGTGCACAGACTCTTGAATCAAATAGAATAACCATCTTTATTCTTGTCGTTGCATTATACGCATTCGAATTTACTAGCGCAAAGGCAAGAAAACTATAGTAAGTCTCGCATAACCCCAACTGATAGCACAGTTTATGAACTGTATTTTCCGCTCAAGCAAATTATTCCTACAACTTTATTCCTAAATATAGATGAATGCTTACTTGGAATCAAAACAGCTCCGATGCAACAATTATGTACACTGCAGTACAATATCACCATCACATTTTATTATTATTATTAGATAAAGTATTATTAAAGTTTTCATTTATTATACCCATGCAAATTTTACACATACCTGTACCATTCCTATGATCGCTGATGCAATGTCTTGATAAAAGATGATCAAAATCGCCTTCAGTGTCATTTTCGTCCAATTCAAAACTACTATACCCAGAGTTGAAATCAAGGCGATGAAAAAGTGAATTATGCGGCGCATGAAGATCTGAAACAGTATCTAAACAAAATTGTAGAAATAAAACTATTTTTATTTGATAATAGATTGCTACGTTACTGTTTGCATTTCTAACTAACAAGCAATCGTTTGCCAATACAAAGAATATCGAAGAACAGTGTTCTTTTAAAGTGCTTATATATATATATACTACAGGATGGCGAAAAACAGAAATATTTGGGAGGGAACATAAATTTCGTTTAAAGCGTCCTAGTTTACTCAAACTTTTTGGTACAATTATACACAAACCGGAGTTCAAGTGTTCAGATTTTTGTATACAAAAACACCTATAGGAGTAATTGAGACATCTATTATCTATCTAATCTATTGTCCTTTATACTGTATGTCTTAGGTTAGGTTACACACGATAAATAGTGCACAAAAACATAAATTACCAAAAACAAAACTCGACTTTTTATTCGCCGAAAAGGTTCTATAGATATCCTATTTCACCAATGGCCCACCAAGCTATTATATATATATATTATATTAAAGTAGTTATTCAAAGACTATACCATGGCATAGAGGCCCAAAACCTACGTTATTACAAAATCAAATTACATCATCTCTCTCCCTTCGCATGTCGGAATTTTTAGACAAAAATTGGATACATTTATGGAACAAGATCGATCGCTCTGCTGCACTGACACTGATACAAAATTCATTAATATGACTCGGTTTATAATAACACTGAATTTTCTAAGCATTCCCAACACATCGTGGGTTATACAAAAACTACATCTGATCCATGGATATGTTGATATGTCAGTGTGGTTCAACTACAACGAAATTCATGAGTATTTTAGGGCTTTTTAATAGTATTTGAATAATTAATGACCAGACGTGGAAGAGTGACAGAATTTACTTCAGTTCAAGAATACTTAAATATTATTAGGGCGAGAAATTCGATTTGAAAATAGTTTGGTTTGGTAATCATAAACGAGATTTATATTATATAAGGTTATATACGATACAAATTACGTAATTCTATGAATTCTTCCTATTCTTTCTAATAAATAAAATTACATCCATGGACACCCCGTGGTTGTGGAGTAAGAGTCGGAAATTTAGCATGTTTTTATTAATATTTTCGAAATCCGGAAAGTCTTGCATACGCAGGGGTGAGTCTAGAAAAGGCCATAGGGGCAGCCGCCACAGACAGCAAATCCAAGCTGTAGGATAATTTAATTTATAATAAAAACATTTGACTCTTACTTGACTTTTAAATTCATTCATTATCATGTATAAATACATCTATTAATAATTGTTTATCTCTCGAATTATTTTTAAAGTTAGGTGCATATGCCACAGTTTTTGTTGTTAAACTTTGGTTTTCTTAGTTGCGTGTTGGAGTTGGAGTCAAAACATTTGTTAAACCGGACTCGGGAATATGAGTCGTTTTTTTGCTTTACTTACTTTGTATTAAAATATAATTCAAACATTACATTTTTTTTGTTTGCGTACAGGTAATTAAGAAATTTATGAATTCTGTTTTTTGGATGTTCACCCTGTATTACTTCACCTTACAACAATAATATTGCACGAAATAAACACCACAACAAAGTATACCAGATCATCCAATAGTAAAATATGTGTTATCTGTAAGACTAAGCATTTCAAATCGAATATTCGAATCGAATAGTAAATTATTCGAACCGGCTCAGACAAAAATTTCGAATCGTCGACATCTTGTTTCGAGTGAATCACGCAATTTTCACTGTGAGACTATATTTTTAAAAAGCAATTCTGACATATGATATGACTCTTTTATACCTGAATGAGTTATTAATGAAACATATTTCTTACTGTGAGTGACAACACACCATTATGTCGTTTATATATTGAATTTGAATATATTCGAGATATCAAATACCATCGAGTTAAATATCTTTGATGAGTATTCGAGATTCGATTGGAAAAAAATATTCAATTCGATTTTGAAATCATCAGGTATATTCGAAAATGCCCAGCGATAGTTATCTGCCTTGGACACAAATGTTGAGTTAGCTATACTTTGTTTGATTTTGAGTGAAAAAAGCGTTTTTGAGATTTTCGGACGGTAATCTGATGAAAGTTGAATCGCTAAAAAAAATGAATCATCTCTTCACTCTTGCTATCGATTCGTCTAATTCGCTTACAGATTCCCGCTTTTGAATTAAGGCGCGACTCGATTATCTTTCATTGATATGTATTGATCTACTGAAGTTCAATCATTTGAATCAGAAAACCCATATGGACATGCTGTCTTGTGAACGGCAATAAAATAATAAAACTAATAGAAAAATTTTCCTGCTGAGATTAAGATACAGTATATCGTTTCTGTTATAACAATTAGCCAAAGGGTAAAGAACTAAAATGGGTATGCGGTCCAAAATTTAAATTAAAATCGTATAACTTGAAGAAGCAAATTTTTCATGATTCATTTATGGAAAAACGAATTTCAACTTATATTATTACAATAAACCTGTTCGCTGGCAAAGAGACATATTCTCCAATGGTGTATAAATATATTGCGCCTTTCGCGTTTCCAATGCAAATTTAATTAAAACGAACTTTTTCTAAACTATGACCATATTCTCTATTGTGTATAACATTTCTTTCTCACAGTAATGAATAAAAGAGATATCTAAGTAGAGGATGGATCCAATTTAGCTAATCCCATTCTAACGGACTGATAGAGTACTGTCAGTCTAGCTGCACCGGTGGCTTTATCAAATATTCGGAAAATGGATACAAAGGGCGTTCATAAAATCTTGAAATTAAATTAGGTATAAAAACTTTAATGTGTTTCGTGCAACTAATAGTGGGCAACTAAATGTGCATTAAATGAACTCAAATAAACACAGATTATAATACAACAAACCTGATTATAATATATTAAGAACTGACTTCAGAACAAGATTTTGATTGTAACAAGACTTTATGAACAGCCTTGTGAATTAAAATTTAAAAATGTGAATTTGAATTGAAATCTGCTCTAAGCAAAACTCGACATCCTACCTCTTCAATATCTAATATCCAACTACTCTGACAAAAAAATTAAAAAAGCACATTTTTAATCAATTACCTGATGATCTAGGTACGTTGTTTACACCTTTCAGTCCAGAGTTACCAACAGCTAAAAAGAACGAATCCGAACCATCCAATTCTTCTTCTTTCAAAACTTTTGGTTCGTCGTCATCAAATATTTTCTTGTTTGTCGTTTTCTTAGACGTTAAATCGGACAAAGAACTTTGTCTCGGAGGAACTTGTGGTGGAGGTTTTGAACCTGTGAATAATAAGAGAACAATGCTCAAATATGTGGATGCCAATAACAATAGCAATTCCAGCCAAATCTTAAAATATTGATACTAAACGTCATATGTATGTATGCGCCAAATGTCATATAAAGAGCACCCGTGAATTTAAAAAAAAAACTTCAAAATTTGGGATGAAATATTGGGACCTGTAGGAATCAGAAAAAAAATGAAATAAAAAAGATTTCCTCTTCAACTACTGGAAATTTGGAATTGATTTGTACATAAGATGCGGAGGAAAGCAACAAACCCAACAAGAACAACAATTTAAGAAAACAGTCCACATGTTTACTTCTCTCATATTAATACGTGAACACAAGTTGATTTGCTTCATTAGTGAATGATCATCACCGGCCCTGTTTTAAGTTGAGGCTGATTTAGGTTGAGGCAGACATATATGTTTAAACACATATTCATTCATGAGCATTACGTACCGGAAATTTAATTAAAAAGTCAAAATTCAAGAAGTCAAAATTTATGCTATACGACACTTATTCCGCCTATTCAAATACGATTCTAATAGCATAAAATTACTAACACCAACAATGACATGTTTAATTTATAAAAAGCTCACTTTTTGCAATAGCTCCTGCAGTTGGTGTCGAAGTTGCCGAGGTGATCTTGTCCGTTTGAGGCTTCTTTTGTTCAACAGGCTACAGAAAAGGGAACATTTAATGTTATTATACACTAAAATCTATTTTAAACTGCGGTGCCCTCGTAGTTGAGTTTTCGGTATGTTCTAGCTAGACAGGGTTTTTGGACCACGAGCCAAAAAAAAATTTGCCGACCTAAACTGGCGGGCCATATAAGTGTGAAGTAAAAAGTTACATTTAATGAACAATATTACAGTGTTACAAAAGCAAACGTGGAAAAAATAAGCCTCGTGCCAAAACTAAATTTAATCACAATCTCAACAATTTGATTGAGCTATTTTTAGCTAAAACATCAAAATTTGAGTTTAGGTTGGTTGTGGCAGCATCGAGCAGGCCAGATTGATTTACCCAACGGGTCGGATTTGGCCCGCGGGCCGTAGTTTGCCCATATCAGATCTAGAATGTTCGCTAGAATGTTTACCTGCTTAGTTTTATCCGATGCATTCGCACCAGAAGTCCTTGGTTTAGCACATGGCGTTGTCTCTTTGCTCTGGTTAGTCGCAGATTTTGCAGGGTGTTGAATTACTGCTTGGCTCGAGGGCGTAACATTTTGGCTTTTGTTGTAGACCTTTGGCTGAACGAATTTGCGCAAATATGAAGACTTGATGATTCGAAATATTAAAATTAAATAAAGTGAATAAAACTCGGCAAATTGGAAAGCAATTGTTTGGGGTGACATATTAAACTTCGCATTTTGTATCACGGTTGTGTTTTTTCGAGGTGGAATATATTTGTAAAAATGTTTTTTTTTGAGGATTAACTAAACCCTTTAGAATAAGATAAAAGATATTCAATATATAACATTCAATATATATGTCAATAAACAATATATATAAATTTTCTTGATTTGGCGATAACGCTAACTTGGAATTGATTCTGCTTGTATGCCATGTTTGATGTGTCATACCTAATAAGTTTCCAATAGCTTTCCCTTTTTATTAATTTGACTCACTAACCTCGTTTATCCGTTTATCTGCTCCGGTTTTCTCGTTTGTAGTTCCAGGTTTATACTCCGGAACTTGGCGATTTGTTCCTGATTCAATTTCTGTCGCTCCACCCTTTGTTTTTCCTTTTTTAATATCATAAACAATAGGTCCACTTTTATCAGGTAATGGTGTTTGTTTATCTGATATTAATTTGTTGTTTAAAATATTTTTATTATCAATATTATCAACTTTTATTTGATAATCTTTATCGGTCACTGATCGGTGAGCAGGAACTGGTTTATTAGGCGGCAACATTTGTGAATGTGGTACTACTTTCGTTTGACTTGGTCTGATCGTCGATTCTTTCGTGTTTTTCTCACTTTCTTTGTTTCGATTCTTAGCATGGAAAGCTGTTGAAGAACTATTGTGCTTGCTGCTATCATTATCTGGTTTAGAATGTGTTTTATCGTTCAACATTTTGAGATCGTTTGGTTCACGATTTGCAGTAACTTTACCACTTTTGACTGCAGATGCGTATTTCCATTCTTGTTCTTTGTTTTGATCCATTTCCCATTCATTTTCTTTTATTTTATTCTTTTCGTTATTCAGTTGGTTATTTGCTTTCTTCGAAGGACTTTTTCGTTCGGCGTTCCTCATTTTCTTTTTAACTTCTTCGTCTTCTGATAATTGTTTCACTAGAACTGATGATATACTTGGACGGGATGGAGATTTATTTTTCGGATACACTCGCACATTATCTTTTTGTGGAGATCGTTGTTTCCCACTAGTATCGGAAGAATCTGTTGAAACAGGCTCAGGCGAAAGTGCCGATTTCCGAACTGAGCTGGAACGGGAAGCTCCTATTGACGATCTAATGCCTGCAATGAATACTTCGTTTGGTCACATCCATACGTAAATATACATTAGAAATGGCTGCAATGATTTTACATATTATGCGACTCTCGACTATCCCTTATCGCTGATATCATCGCGACTGTGAAAAATTGATTATTGCCATGTACGTTATGTATTATAACAGTCATTAATTATACAGGAGTCTGTATATACACTTACCCAATATGGATCAGATTTACCAATATAATATATGGCTTTTAATGACTACGAACAGACGCCAAAAGATAATGGTAAAATAGATTCCACGTAACCCCCATTTAATTGATAGACATTTGAAGTAGTTTTGGTACCTGAGCTGCGAAAGAGTTCGTACTACATGCTTTCACCAAGTTAAAATTAATTCAATTATACACGGATAAAATGAAATTTGTGCCAGGCAATATTATATAGCAGAATGTATTTTGACAGATGTCCCTTCATATACAAGCTGAAAGTAAAAATTATAAAATATCAAAATTATTCTTACTTGAACTGCTTGAACTTAATGAACTGGCGGGTGAATGGTGAAAATTAAGAGTTGCATTTGCAGAACTTCTTCTGGATGAAAGAACCCAAGAACTTCTTCTAGTTTGGGCTCCAGCAACAGGACTTGATTTTGATTTTCCTTCTTCTGGCGTTTCTGAATCAAGTCAAATCCGTAAAGGTAACTCCGTGTATAATAAAGGAGGAAAAGTCAAGGCTTTACCTTCTAGTATCGTTTTTCTTCCTTGTTCTGGTCCACCAAAATTCCTCCTTCCGCTATCTGAATATGATCTTCGATGCCAAGGTAATTTATCCCACTTGGTGTTTTCCTTAGGCGACGGACTAGCTGTAGGATTCTTAATATTAAGACAAGATAGAATGAAGTCCATATCCACACTGGTGTATTGCCGAGGCGCTTTATTCACCTAAAAGAGCCTGCAAGGCGTATTCAGATCACTGGGAACAAAGCTTCTGTTTGGTAAAATCTGAACATTGTTTTTTACTAAAATTTGGTTACGCTATTTTTTTCTAAAACAAACATGCAATTTCTTTCGGAATTGTGTCAAATTATATCCGTAAAACAATTCAGACGGAAAAATCGATATTCGTCACAGCGTTGTGAATATGATAGATATTCATTTTCGCCCGAGTCTAGACTGCAGACTATCGCACTTATATTTTTACATTCAAATGATAATACTTGATTTTCTCTGTTTCGCGTTATTTTTTATATGGAGAAGATAATATTAGAATCCTTCACAGACATGAGTAAATAAATAACGTATATAGAACTAACAATGGATGTTTGTTGAGGACAGAGAGCATTAATAACTGGGTGGTAAATGCGTATGCAAAAGCACGCGTCCACAACACACTAAACTCGACTATAGAAAACCATGTGTAGTTTGTGGAACATTCGCACGTAAACTTCAACTTGATTTCAGGTTCCACTTAGACGTGGTTTGAAAATATTCTCTTTCAAAAATGGGCTTGTAATATCTTATACATGAATCCTTTCAAAATGTAACCGTATGGAAATTCATAAAATAGACACTGATGAAGATGACTGGACGAATATGTACGGCCTTTCGAAACTACTTCGCAAAATCTGATCATGCATGTAAAACAGCATGCATTATTCAATGTTATATCGATTTCAGATGTCGTACAGCAGTAATCCTTCTGAACGATCATTACTTGAGCTGTTAGAACTAATGAACAATGATATTACGAGGCTATGTCATTTGAGGTTAGCAATCGCCCCATGCACTGAAAAACAAACATACAGTAACGGCAAGATCTCGTTCAAATATATATATCACGTACGAGAAAACGATAAATGTCTAAAACAATACAATATTTAGTCTTTCATACCAATGATGTGTCCGCACTTTGACTTCTGTACAACTGACTCTTTCTCGCTGACTTCAACCACAGATTGGATCTGGCAACTAGTTCTCTTTGCTTAGCGCATAACGCACACAAAATACCGTTCTGGCGTAAAAAAAAACATACGAAATTACATTAAAATACAGCCTAGTAAACAAGTCTGTAAAGAAAAATGGATTTATGCTTGTCGTAAACATACCTCCTAAATAATTCAAACAATATTTAGAGAAACCACTAATTTAGAAGCATTCTCTATGTTTCCATAACTATATCGTTCGTACAGGCGCACTTCAGCAGAACACTAATCTGCGAAAACCGATAACAGAACTGACATTTCGTTCCCGGTTCCGCGTTGTTTAGAATTGGCAAGGATATAGCTGCACCGAAATCCCGTATCGATCACGCATTTAAAAAGCACTCCCATGTGGTTGCGAATTACCAAAAATCTCCGTTATAGCATGCATGGCTGCCTAAGGCCAGATAGTCGTTCCTCATAACTTCGACTATTATAACATTAAAACTGCCACAAAATTTTCGTCGAAAATATTCGAATTGCACAACCAGAAAACAAAGATAATGAAATCATTGACTTTGACCGCTTTTTGCGTTAAGGCTGCTTATGGCTAGCATTATTTTTGTTTTTGGACACGAAATGGACCTCCAGATCATTTTGTATCATGTGGTTGTTGTTAGAATTCTTTTTGTTGTTGTTATGAAAAAATCACTTTTCTCTTAATTACTAGACCAATTGCTTTGAAATCTTCAGTGGTTAACGATTGTTGCTGCGCCAGAATGCTATTACTTTTATTCATTTTCAAAAATTTCTGTGGGCTCTGTGGAATTAGTTATTGAAGACGTCATCAAAGTTAAAAATTGCGCAACTTATGACCTTTCAGCGTTCGCGATCGTTGCGATTTGGTGGTCAGTCGTAGTTGGGAAGACTATGGTACCGTATCGGTACCATGAAAGATTACCTAACCGTACTACTTTGTTTTGGTCTTCGTGTCCATATGTTTGAGCATTGCTTTTCTGTTCATTTTTATTATTAGAAAATTAGTCATGCTTTTGATCGTTTAATTGCGTAAATAAATATTTTTCATTTCATTTAAAATCATTCATATTTACATATAAAATGAAGATTATGCTTGTCTATCCGATAGCCTGTACGTACACTATAAACTAAATATTTGTTCAAAATTTATTTTTGGTGCGATAGGTTTTTAATATCGCATGTAATTGTTAGGATTGTACATAATTGGATTTCCTTAGTCTTTGTAGCATCCTGGGATTCATAGAATCAGCAGTTTTTTTTTGTTGGTCAGCAACACGTTAATGGCAAAATTACATAAAAATATGAAAACTGATCATACCACAATTTTCAAATTGAATATTAATATTATTAACAATACTAACCTTTGCCAAGAGTGTAGATTTTACAGAGCATTTGGCACACACCGTGTGACCACAGGATGAGCAGACTACCGGTAGCAGGCTTTCTACCTCTGTATCGGATTTCCCGCCCTTTGACAGACGACGCGCGTCTGTTGAGCCTCCACGTTTGGTCTTCGGTACATCTTGAGATGTCGCGTGCTGTAAGTCTTTTCGAATTGTTTTATCGCTGGTAGGCTGAGTAGAAGCAATTAGCACTGATGAACACAGATAGCACAGAATTTGTTTTTTGTGTGCGTATGGTTCATTAGCAGATCTAATAGTCGGTTTGTTGACTGACGCACCTGCAGGATGATAGAAAAAGGTGAAATACAGTTAAGAGTGGTCATTTATTGACATAATTCGTAAGCCAATTTAAAAGCATATTTCTGATAAAATCACCCTTTTTTTGGACGACTGTAGTAGCCTCTGTAATTCCTTCTATCTTGTGACTCTCGTTTTTTCTGATAATAGATTCTTTCACTGTACCTGAAATACATTTCATCATTACGAATCAATCATATGATTTTATTGAAGATTGATACCTAAACGGATACCACCTTTGGAAATTTTTTCAGTCTTTACTTGAACATCATTAATTTTGAGCGCTTCATTTGTTTCTTTCGTTTTTAGTGTTGACGTAATCTTCTTCTTCGGGGTAGGTGGAGATGGCTTGGCAACGTTATCTCTTGCGTTTTGAGAGTAATGAGCAAGTTGATCTTCGATAGTCCTGGAATCAAATCAGATCCTCTTTTACTTTTTTTTTCAAAATGGAAACCAATGATATTTGTAGTTATAAACGAGACAAGGACATAGGGTTTATATAATTAAACTCATAGTGCGTTGGAAATGGAGACTCTGGTCAAACCATAAATAGGAGACATCCTCAGTTATTCCATACACGGCGTCATGGCTCTAGTCTAGTGAGTCTCATTATGTATATATACCTATTTGGTGGACCCCATCTTATATTGAATAATAACATTCCGAGCACGTACATAGGCATCGGTCGAATTAGCAAATCGTTTATCTTATAAAACGTTATACATTCGTTATGTCTTTACGCTTATGATGTAATTTCAGATAATTATTCCAAGTATTATTCAAATAATTATTCTTTCATCGCATGCAAGATTCTTACTTAGACATTAAAAAATAAAGCTATTGTGTCATTATCAAATTTATATATGATTGCAAAACTCGTACGTTTTGTGATGATTTGTATAGCACAAAATAAATAAATAATTCAGGATGCTTGGAATACGTAAATGGGGTCATTTGGTCGATGTTCAGAAAATTACGTCAGATTACACTAAAGATAGTACATAAGTTCGGACTTGTAAAATAATCTTTGAAGGCTTTGACTAACAGGAAAAAACATGACAGTACCATTAATCAATCTTAAAGGGCTCAACGATTTGAGCTGATATATCAAGATCACCGTCCTGATCTGGCCTATAGTGCCCTTGCACCCAACTCAATTCTCTAGCATTTTTTTGGATTAGTAAATACAATTACTATTTATCATTTGATTTGCGGACTTCTGATCATTAAGCGTAATAAGCATTTAATTTGCGGATTTCTAATCATTATGCGTAATAAGTTTTAAACCGCATGACTGAAAATAACACTAAACTAACACTTAAATTTGCAAAGTATCTTAACAATGATTTGCAACAACTTAACATCCGAAAACATGACAAGGTATCCAACGCGCCTCTTTTTTGCTGAACTATGTGTCGTCGTTTACAGTCATTAAAAAGTGAAATTGGTCAGTCTTTTATTTCGTTCTAGTGTCTGGCAAATGAACTCCCGGTTTCATGGCAACACTCACCGCCCATGAAAAGTTTTGAAAGATGCTGTGTTGCACTTCGAATAATGGATCGCTAATTCATCATGAGAGTGGGGTAACTTCACCGCACCTGTAATGGATGCCGTACCAGCCCCGTTTGCAGTCACACATCAGCTTCCGACCACAATGTTTTAATGTCATTTTCTTAACAATATTTGATTAAGCAACCTGAGACTACTCAAAAGAGCAACTTCAAGCTAAACTCACCTAATCTTTTGTTGTTCAACTTGTTCAATCTGCTTTGCTCTTGCTGCAACTTGTAATATCACCATTCGTTCTTCTGCACTTAGATGACTAAGATCCAAACCAGATAACTCATCGAAGCCGGGTGGAGCGGGAAACAATTCTTTTCCTGAATCCTGAAATAATTAAAGTAACGTATATTTTATCTTGCATTCGGCTAAATATTGCTAGGTTGTTGTATCGCGAGGACAGAAGTATGACCGATACACAAATACAGGAGCAAGATAGGAATGGCGATGGATATTCGGTTACAGTTTCTCTGAGATTCATAGTTATATTTGGTTTATTGACGTCATCTTGAGAAGTAGAGATCATTGTCAATAAACATTCGAGAAGATAATTCAGCAATATAAAAATTTGATGAAATAACATCACAATCAGAGAATGTCCATCTATTTCGAGTCACCTTAGTCAAGTATACATCCAACAATATATCACATACCTGATTGGGTAGATCATGTAAAAAGCACAGTTATGTTCAAACATACCACATACAAACCACTATATCTTACCATTATGGCAGGTAGCTCTACAGGTATATATAGCAAATCTTATCCGAGCTGTTCTGCACCTTTAACGAACTATACTCCGATCATTATCATCACTAGCATCAGAATTTAACGCATGGACTATAGTACAATTTGTACGCAATTCTTACTGGAAACACATAATTATATTGATTAGGTTGGCTGTCTCAGGGAAGGTTGTTTTATGAAATATTCATATATACGCGGTGAAAAGAACAGATCTTAGATTTTACCGTTAGCAGTCGCATGGAAGAATACTGCTATCATCGATTTAACGACATATGTTTTACGAAGAGAACTTCTACTGTTATCCACCTCTTATTCCGCTATTTAAGCTGATTTTGAATTTCATATATATCTTATCTAACCATTTGCTCAATTAATATATTCCTACAAGCGTATTAAATTTATCTATAATTCTGTGGAATGAGGTTCACAAATACTATATATATATATATTATATAGATATATAAATTGCTTCTTGAAGCTGATTAAAATTGACTTTTTCTCATTCTTTACTAATTCAATTAAATAAATGAAGTCATCTTTTTCTGAAAAAACGAACTATCCTTGCCTTAGTTCTAGAAGCTTTACATCTACATAATATATACACCATATTTCATATTTAAAAATTGCGTCGCATCAGCCATCTCAACGTTCTCGTTGAATTCGAGCAGGCGATCTTTCATATTACAACCACACTGGGAACAAGCAAGTAAGCGAGATGAATACATTACACAAACTATTTTCCATCTCACATTGAAATAAATCTTAAGTTATTCAAGTCGTTTCCTTGCGTATTCCGCTGAGGTGCGCTTCAACAGAACCTCGGGTCCGTTAATAAAATCAATCGACGATTTACTTCACTCCAATGAAGCCATATGCGCCCACGGTGACCAATAATGCATTTAAACTTTTTAATCAAACAAATGGAGAAGTGAGGTCGGGAATACTTATTTTGCTATCCCATATGTGCTCTATAAATAGCTGCGTCAAAAGTCGATATAAAATGTGGGCTGTTGGAGCATGAGGTTAACATAATTTACTTATATTTAACTGATCCCAAAAAGTTGATCGTGACTTATAGTTAATTTTACATGTAGACTGTAGAGATTCCGATCATTTTTTTTTCTATAACATCTAAATAATGGTAATTTTTGTGGCGTGAATCTTGTGGAACTTGACGGAACGAAGGGAAATAATATTGATCGTAAATAGCGAAGATTGCACGCTGTTGATAAGCAATGTGAATAATAATCAATAACACCATTACTTATAAAGCAACGTTACTATTGTAACTTGATGTGACTTCACCAACATTCAGCGTTTCCTTTGCACTTGGCGTCGTTCTATCGCGGGTATAAGAGACTGACAGTTCAGCGGTGCACCAATTCCTATCGTCACACAATGACACAATGGTGCAATAAATATGGGGTAAGTTATGCCTAACCAGAAAAAAAACGGTTAATTTAAAGAGCAACGCTTATCATTGCCGCAGCCTAAAATTGAATCGTGTTGCACGTTATCAAAATAATGACTTTCTGCCATGTTGCCCACACTAAGACTCTCGATCATCTTCAAATATTAACTTCTTCTCCGCTTAATAACATCACAAATCAATCCTACGTTGCATTTTCAAGATGAAAAATTCATAAATAATAACTTCTACTGTGAATCTTAGAAAATCATATGTTTCCCAGCTATTTCATTGGCCATCTACACTTCTAACTTTCCTGAAATTTCAGGGTAGAAAGACGCAATCTAAACATGAACACTCATCAGTAAACATCAAACCTTAACCTGCAATGTACCATATGAAATAAATCGATTGTTCGATAGCATTGTACCGGTTTATCGATTTTAATGAACATATACCGTTAGAATACTCATATTATTCAAAATACATAACAGAGAATAGCAGCCATTGAAACGTTGCTTACATACTGCTTTTCGATTCAATTAATTTTATTCGATCCTTGACAAAATTGACCATTTGTCCGTATAGGTATAATCATTGGGATAAGGGCGCGTGGTTTATCGAATATAAACCGCATTAAATGGTGAATTACATTATAAATATGTATCACTATTCGATATCTGTTGACAGTGTTGCACACCTTACCTACGCAAGCAAGCATGAATGGAGCTATACTGTGTTTTTGATAGGACCAGAATTTTCGCCGTTTGGCATATATGCCGTCCAGTGTATTACACAGTGGCATCTTATGATTTATACGTGATATTTAAAAATGCGTTGTCACTATAGTTTGTTGTAGTTCCCTTTTAACAAATAATGGCTAACATAAATTATTTTTTTCAGTTTAAATGACTGCACCACCATACCAAATAAGCGATAAAATTACATTTCAACCTTTCAAATTAGAGTTCATGTGAGATGCGACTGGGTTGCCAAAAACCGCACATCGACCTCGCATGATTCATTGTTGTGATTTAAATCTGATATCAAAATCAGCTAATTAAGCTTAAAACGTGCAAGAAGGTCAAATTTAGTTACTCTCACGGGTCTAAAACAAAGATTTTAAACTCTTAAAAGTGATGAGGGCAAAATGTACCAAAATAAAGATTTTAAAATCTGAAAAATGATAAGAGAATAATTTACTGCATTCGGCTAAATATTGCGGGAATGTGTGACGGAGGATATTCGGGATTTCATTAAAATAATGCAAACCGCTGCGACTTAACACCTTCTGTCGTGTTTATGAAAATTTATGAATAATTTAGTTCAAGGTATAAAATGTAAAACGGGGTGCTTTGAAATTGTTATTTTAAGAAAATAGATCACTTTTTGTTTTTCATTTTTAGAATTGTGGTTTCTAATTTATCATCTCGCGAAAATATTGGAAGATCTTCAGTTACATGATAAAGTATTCATGTGAAAAAACTTGTATAGTCAAATCTACTTTTGCTACATAATCCGGATCTTGCTGGTTGGTTACATTTGTTTTGACATACTATGTATCTCTCCGGTTAATGGGCGCCATAGTTTGGTACTACTTTTACAATATCGAGTTATAAAAAGGGACTTTTATTTTTTTTATGTATTTTGTCGCGTTTTCGTGCGCGATTAATATTATTATTCATTGAATGATGTTGATGAACAAATGTTAATACCATTACTACTGAAGAAGGTGGCCTATTGGATAGCGTTGGACATAATCTTAACAAGTAAAATTGGTACTCCCGTAGTGTGTGTACTAGGTTAGGGCTAGGCCATGATTTTATTCCGCTTTTCCTTATTTTAGTTCTATCACGAGTTCGGGGACTGTCTGTGTTAGCCATATGAATATACCCCCTGCTAATAAGGATCAGTTCTTTCAGATAACCTGATGTAAATGTACTACGAAATTAGTTACCTACATATTGGTATACACACTTCTGGAGCGCCGAAAAATTATCACAGGGGTATCCATCATAAAATTCTTTAGGGTATGTCGAGCCAGAAAAATTTCGGTATTACAGAAGCGTAGCCCATCCTCTAATCATGAGTGACTGCTTTTCTGCAGTCTTGTTCACAGTTAATGTAACCCATACTAAATCCATACAAATATCAGGAATTAGACCACCGGTATTTGCAATATTCAACTCGTTTATGTTCTAATTTCTATAGACCTATCAGTAAAAATATTACCTTGGAATCATTCATGAAAGGATCTTCAAACTTTCTAGGTGGTGGTGTTGGCTTAGTCTTGGCGTTATGAGATTTTGCATCCAGTTTTGCGTCCATTGTAACAGAGTCATTATACTTATGTTGTTCTTTCTTAATTGGTGGACAATACCCGACGATATTATCGGTCGCTTTTGGTTTCGGGGTTTGGTGAGCGGTTTTGTTTGGGTCAGTTATGTCGATCCGTGATGTCATATTAGCTTTATTATCTAAATTATTTTTAGAGTCTCCAGTTCGAGTTGACATTGTGCCAAATCTATTAGTTTTTTCCGTGTTTATTTTTTCTTCAATAACTTTATCTTGATTCCGTTTTGCGGCCGAAGAAATACTTCGAAGCGTCGTTTCCTCAGCAGATTTACCATGTAATATAACAGGTTGATTGGGTGATTTGTTCCTAGCGTTTTGGCTCGTATTGGGTACATTAACCTTTGATTTCATGTTTGTGTTTATCGGTTTAACGCCTGGAAGCTGAATTGACGATACTGGGTTACTCCAAACAACTTCATCCATACGCAGACCATCAGTGCTTGTAGACGGAACAACCACTTTATTTGGAACAGCTGGTCGCTTTTGATTTTGACTTCTTGATTTCATATGTGATGAAGGAATGTTCGGGCTCGGTTTCTGTTGGAATGTAGAAAAGGTTTTCGGTTTGTCCATCATTCGACCCTCGACACCTTGGTTATAAGCCATATTGGAGTACAATCTTGGATCCGTTCTTTCGTGTCGGAAAGTTTCTTGTCTGTTCATTTCCGGCTCCTGACTGTATTCGTTGCCCATCCTGAACTATATGCACCACCTATTAAAATCTTTATGAAGATCACACAAATATAGCTATCTAATGCATGAGCTTCTTAGTCAAGGTTAGATCAATCCAACTAAAGTACGGAAACAATAATTTAAATTTCAAAATTTCATTAACTGCAATCATGTATTACGTAATCATCCTTTCTGCTTCATTTTATCGTCCTATATGTCTGCTCAGTCTCGAATTGATTTTGTTCTGGCGAATGCTTTTCTACATATAATGACTCCCTCTTTGTAAAAATGAGATGTCTCCTCTCGACTTTATTGAAATTCGAAATCTATCATTAGCCTAGGCTAAGTTGAGAGCAGATGTTTCGCCTGAGCATCGGACATTATGTTACATTAGAATGCAAAAATATGTTCCGTATCATGTGGAGAAAAAAAAAATGACAAATATTTCTTTCTCGTATGCAAAATATTGGGGGTAAAGATGAATGTGGGAGATAATTGCAGAAACAAGATTCCCCCTCGACGTGAACGTATAAATATTTTATTAACTTTGACCGCACAAAACCTCTTGAAACGCGAAAAACGAACTCGGAATTAACGCGTCGAGTGCTCGCGTATGGAAACCACGCTCGAAAATAAGACTGCAAATGGATTATTGTCGTTCCACTAAATTGATGAAAGCTTTAGGGGTTTAATATCGCTAATGCGATGTTTACGAAAAGATACCGCTACCGTTGGAATGAAAAAATTCGAATGAATATTTATTTTTTGAAATTGACACAATGAATTAACAAATTCTAACAATGCACCGATAATATCAAATTTCATTAACGTCTTAATTCGGAAAGTTCACCTCGAATGCAAAAGATAATAGACGACTATATGGTAGTAATGAAGTCATAAATTAAATTAGGCAAATAAAACTTTGATGTGCTTCGTGCAACTGGTACTAAAAAAATAAAAATGTATCGAATAAAGTAAGAAAACTTAAATAAACAATGATTAAAACAAACCTGGTTAAGATATATAGAGAACTAATTTCATAACGAAATAAAATTTTGACATAAACATGTATTTAAAATACCATGTATATATTGTTGCTGGTTAACACGAATTTATCGTGTAATAATCCAATTTTGCATGTATCTTCAATGCAGTTTCCGTGACTGAATTCAGCTAAGAATCGAACATTATGTATTATTCAAAGCCTTCGCCTTAGTCGCAAACAAGTATTCAGGTTAAACAAATAGTGATACTAAACGCGAAATATATAAATTTACCATGTTTCCCCTAATGGGGTGAGGTTAGGAAGAAAATTGATATTGTCTGGCTGGTTGGAGGTTGTCTGAACCCGAGGGTTAATTACCGTAATCGAATATGTAGATCAACCCTAATTGCACTGGTGTTATCAACGAAACGTTTTCTGTGTTGTATATCCCAGGATTACCTCTAGTGCAGGGGTGGACCGGTCAGAGACCAAGAGCCGCATTTCGAACTTTATTTCCGCGAAGAGCCACATTATAAACAAGAACACACATGAATATCAGATATACCTTTTTTCAGCTCTGCTGCAATGCTAGTTTATTGTAAATGTCAATAACCAACAGAAATTATAAAACATAAATTTATGACAGAAATTTACAAGCCATTTATTGTTATGCATGCTACATAGTGGGACTTTGAAATTTGGCCTGTATGTCGTTGTAGCTAATCGAAGCAATTCTTTCACATGGGTGTCAGAACAGATCTCTGCTTTGACTCATGTGTTTTAAGGTAGATATCACAGATAACACTGGTCAACAACAAATTTGCGGTCTGCGTTTTTTCAGTTGATTTAGGGTGAATTTAGCGTGCTGAATTCAGAAATCACATTAGCTTTGCGCAATCAAGTCAAGTTTTTCGGATATGGCCACATGTCGTTTTTTACGATTTTGTTCACATTACACATGTTAGAGCATTTTAGAAGAAATTGGTATGAAATGTTGTGTGAAAAACTTTTATTTTCTGCTCATGGACCGGGTTAACTTTTAAAAGTGTTTGATTTTTAGTCATTGCTTTATTTTTGTTTTTTCACAATTCTTTTCGTGTAAAATATAATCTTGCAATCTTGTTTGTTTTTTAATCATGGCAACGTGTTCGTTGACAGTTTTGCCTTCTTTGTTTATTCTATCTTCTGTGTAAGTTAATTGATGAATTACTTGTTACCTATTATTCTTTTGCGAGTGAATGAGATGGCTTCGTTTAGAAGACCTCCATTAGCGACGAAGATACCTCCAGTTTCAAAGGATATGAAGAAGGAGAAATGGATTTTGAAGATGAAGCTCCACATCAATTTTCCCAATGGGAATTGAATGATTTAGTTCGCGACCTCAGATTGCCAAAGGACTCTGCCAAACTGTTGGCTTCCAGATTGGAGGAAAAAATCTCTTTTCTGACAGTACTTACATCAGCGTCTTCTGCAACAAGCATAAAGAATCCATTCAAAAAAGACTCCATTTTTCCTCGGAAGTAAAGAATTTGGTTTACTGTGCCGATCCGATATTGTGCAGCTTTTGCTCAAGCAAGTGTCACATCACGGTGGGAGGAACTGGTGTATTGCAAAAAAGGAGCGTCAACAATAACCCTCTGGTCGAATACTCCTTTATGTATACGTTTTATCGTGGACGTATATCAAAACAAAAGCAATAAGGCATTTTTGCGTCGTTTTCAAGCATGATATATGCTTGTCCGAGCGTTTGTGAACCCGGCTGCGCTTCACTTTTCTTCAACCTAATTTAAATTTTACGAGTTTTATATCTGCAATTAATTGAAAGCTAAGAAATATACAATGAATCTGTTATTGCTTAAAGAAAGTAATTTGAGAGAGAGAGAGCTCACAATCGTTTTCGGCACGTAAACAAGCTTGTAATCATTACCCCCACAGAAAAAAAACATAGATTGCGTTCGCTCGAAACAGTTCGCGAAAACATTCGCCATTTGTATCCTGAATATTTACGTTGCGTTTCGCTCCAGACGGCCACTCTTATCTCGTTTAAAAGATGATATAATTCGCTTCTTCTGGATAATTAGATGTCTAGTCCATCTGGCTTGTATTTATTACTCCGATTTGTAATACAAAACTTTTTTCAATTTTTTTTTACATTTTCCATTACTTTTCTTTATCAATATCCACCATTCAGTTTGTATTAATCGATGTTCCATCTCGTAATCAACATATATTGTTGAACAAAGAATTTTTTTCTTCTTTTAGTATGTGTGCTGACAAAATGACGTCATAATGACTTAAAAATGTAATCGATTCTATCAGCACTTCAATTAAAGTGTAAACTGCGCGTTTGTCGTCCAACGTCATATTCGATATGATTACCACACTTGTAATGCAAAATCGCGTGTCACAAGTCGCATCAAAGATTTTGATTGTGACGCAATAACGGACGATTCAATTGTAAAGTGAACGGCGGCGTTCACGTATCTCGGACGTAAAAGAAGAAAGCACGACGAGTGACATGTTTAATCGAAACATGGTGAATCGTAGTTTAAAGATATTTTTTCTTTAAAATAACCAGGGCAAAAAGAGCCACGTGAAACCGTAGCAAGAGCCACATGCGGCTCGCGAGCCGCGGGTTGCCGCCTCCTCTAGACTAGAGTGTAATTTTTCATAAGTTTAATCTGGCAACTATGGGATACACTTGTCGGAAACAGCCTCGGCGTCTCGAAATACAAGCGCCTTTCGTTGGTTCAAGTAACCGCCAGTTGAGTTTCTTCTAACAACGAAATATCAGAATCGACGCACAAGCCAATTATTGCTTTGCCCAATTATCAACTTGACAAAAATCGTGGTCTGCCATATGATTATCATTTGAGTATCTTTACACGACATTACGCCTCTGCGCGGAACAAGTCTCCAGACACGCAACTAATCAACGTAGTTAATACAATTGATTGTACATGTAATTCTGGCACACAAAACTAACATGTATTTAATTGTTAATTGGCCCAAGTATCCAAGAACTACATCAATAGGACTGGGACTGGCAACCACACTATGGTCGTTGTCTATTAATCATGTAACCGAATTTCACATCCCAGAATAAACCTTAACCTCTTTTGAAACACATTGTGAAGTGAAGTGAAATATGTATTCAAGAATCTGAGAAAAATACGGAAGCAAACTAATATACGATTTCTATAAACTGACATTTAACAGGCAGGCGACAGACTGCAGGAACTTTTATGGTCTTTACTGGATTCAATAGTAAAACCTTTTCATTGAGCTCAAAAAATTGTCTCAGACTTAGTTGCAATGTGATATTTTACAGCTACATCGAACGCCATGGAACTTGTACTAATTCTACATGTTGCCGGAGTATTCAAGGCATCTAAATCTTTATTTGGCTCAGAAATGATTCCATGAAAAGGATATTCTAGCATCCAGCAGTGGTCAGTTGATGTCTATAGAAACAAAATATGAAAAACTAATTTACATGAAAGGACTCAATGATTAATTGTTTTTCTTTAGTAACAACATTTCCTATAGTTGTAAGAAGAATGAACCAGTGTTGACGAGAACTTTTTTAAAAAGTGAATGTGAATAATCTTTCTTTACCACACCGATTAGATTACAGTCGACTTGAAAAAAATTCAGTGAAATGCAATTATGATTTGTAAAATAAAACGAAAATGCACAACTTGTCACAGCAGTAACTCAATATAGCTGCGTTGCTTCCGAGGTAAATATTCTAAACACATGGCCAAATCTTAGTTCGTATTTCGAAATACTATTGGCATAAATGGAAGCAATATGGATGTTTCAGGGTCAATGAAACTCATAATTATCCATCTCACTTTTGTTTCACCTACTATAACTCTGGACTAGTCTTTAGTGTCAACTTAAAATGTGATGGCAATCGGACTGGACTCTAGATTCAAGACTCATATGACCGCTGACGAAACTTCACAAGTTCAAATTTACAATCAATGCCCCCCAACTCCCCCAGGCCAAAATAAGAAAAACAGAAAAAATCTGGTTCTTCCAAAAAGCAGTAGATTCGGCGAAAGGCATTAATAAAATTCCAATAAAAAAAAAATAACATAATGTGATTGATTCAATTATTTTCATACCTTCATAAAATCATCTTCACTTGACAATGTCATTCTCCAAACAGTTGGAAGTCTGTTTTCAATCAAACATTCGACTTCAGCATAATCAATAGAGAAAGTAAACGTTTTCCTAAAATCCAAATCTTCAGATTCATAGTCATGCAATGCCATCCTGTAAAAAAAATTTAATACATTGTGATGAAACAATCAAAACCATCCATAAGTAAGCAAAATTGAATACCGTACTTTCAATAAATTCTAAGATTTGGTTTTTATTCATAAATAAGACGCATCAGGCTATAAGAAGCAACAGTTTTTGAGAGTTAAAGACAGCAGTTTGTTTATGAAACAATACTACTACAACTGGTTTTGAGTGTAGACAATAAAGCACTACCTGATTCATACATCAGGACTCTATTTTTTGCAACAGCATCCTTGCATTATATGTGCAAGTGGCGGTGTCTCGGAAATATAGTGCCCCTCTTGCTCCACTTTGCCCGGGGACACACCTGATAAGTGGGACATGGCAGTTTTGAGACGACCCGCGGGCATGGAGGACAGATGAGTAATTAGTCTCACCTATAACCTATACTGTTGACTAGTGAGTTGTGTGGGGACAATAACAGAAAACATAGTTTTCTTACTTTGTTACCAGAGAAGTCCTTTCATCTGATAGATTAAAAAAACATTTGCATTGTACAATAAGCTCAACAATGTGATGGAGCTTCTTCAAATTAACGAATCGTTTCTTCAAGTTTTCTACTCTGCCCTCGTCCGATTTAGAATTGTTTTCAAGATAACTTTGTAACCGACTCATACTCGCAAGCCGACTTGTGATGAAAAAATTGCTGTAGTCCCGAGATAATTTATCCAATCCTAATTCAATGAGAAGTTGTATGCATTCAGAGCTGCCCATCTCAATTTTCGTGCTAACTTTCCCCTGAAACAGTACATACAAAATCACAAATGAAAATTAGGTGGAAAAACTGTGTCAGAAGCAATCATTAGAGTACAAATTCAAAGGCAGCATAGTTTATTTATTTTCTGTATCAGTTTCATTATATTATGCTCATTCACCCACTTTTTCTCCAAACAAGGCCCTGTTCAAGTAGCCTCTGATAACGATATGTCAGGGGCTACATTATTTGAAAAAACCGGAATCGGACCTCCTGAAGTATGCGCACCAAGATGGAGCACAACCTGAACTCAGGTTGTGTACCAGGTTAGGGTTCAGGTTATGCGACATCTTGCTGCGCATACTCCAGGAGTACCCCAGAATCTTTACAATTCAGCTTTGCCTACTCAATTTATTACACCCTGGGTGAGATGGGAGCATGGGATTTGAATCCAAGATGTGTAATCTACTATGCCAGCACAGTTAAGCCTAACGCTTTCACTGCTAGGCTAGGCCATCGCACTGGCCAAGTTTTCAAAAAAGGTGACTGAAGTCAAGGATAATGTCACCCACCACAAATTGATGCGCACAACTGTGAGTGACGTATAACATACTCTCTATCAGCATTTCACAACTTGGGGCCCATGGCGCCTCAGGGGGCCACAAAGCAGTTGGAAGGGGGGCCGCAATGTTAAACGCAGAACTGATTTTACTTTTCACTTTACAAACAAACTCCTGTTCTTCCTAGTTTCATTGCTTGCTTCACTTTTTTGTGCATGAATTGTTTAATCCTAATGGGAATCAGAATCTACCAAACAAAATACCACTATAAATACACCTGGAATGATAGACAGGGGGGCCATAGGTGCTAAAAGCCCCGGAATGGGGCCACGGGGCAAAAAGGTTGGGAACTACTGCTCTAAATTCATATGTTGACTCTATAGCTTGGTGGATGGGCTAAATAGGAAATATTCTTGAAGATATAAAAAGAGTGGCAGCAGTTCTACCTCATTGTATAATACGAGCCATCATTATTGTTTATAACAAAGCAAGATACATTTAAATAAATTCTAGATAGCAGAGATTCAGAAGTAATGACGATTAATAACAATGCTAAAACTTACAGTGTAAGACTCCTTGATGAGTTTAGCAAGGGTAGTAGAATTATTGTTGTGTAACCAGAATTGTGTTGCTCTGCATTCAGAAACTTCTTTCACAATGATTTGAAATGATTCAATCAGTTGTTGACACGAACCAACATACTAAAGATCAATAAAAAGATAATATCAACAATCAAAAATACAATAATTTAACCTATATGGAATCAGGGCTGAGCCTCGAAGTTTTATTGGAGCCAAGCTTACTATAATAGATCAAGCTGGAGTCGAATATACCACAAATTGCGGTGGCTTCGGCTTCTAAACATTTAATAATTTTTTCACATTTATTGATAATTTATCTATCACTTTATACAAATAACAAAAACTATCCTATTCTGTTTAATATTTTTTTAATTTAACATTTTTACTAAGATCCGAGGGCCATTATTATTTCAAACCAGCTCTCCAGCCCTGGATCATAGTGTTATTTCCAGAATTTTTTTTTGTTTTTTCCACATTAATTTATCCTTTACAATCAATCAAGTACCTGCAATACTTCCCAAACCCTTTCAGTGAAGTCTAACTCTTCTCTGGGAAATATCATTTGTTTAGTTGCCTGATCTTCATTTGTTGTGTCTATTATTGTGAAATAAACAAATATATGCAATGGAAAATGTAATATATATATATTTAAACAATTCTATATTTTCTTTTTATCAAATGACCTCCTACAAGGCTCTGCATAAACTGTCACTGATATGTAAAGAAGCCATTTTATTTTGGAATTATGAAATTATTCCGCTTTGGCATCGCCTACCCAATTTGTCATTATTATATATTACAGTGAAGTGGTGGGCATGGGATTTGAACCCAAGATATTTCTCAAAGGCTGCAATGCCATCATGGTTAAGTCTAATGCTAAACCACAATTTCTGGGTTATCATTCTATATCATTTCGTACAACATTTAAATAAGGGTCAAGGTAAAAAAATATCGAAATTCCAGAAATTTTGTTTCAATTTGAGAACAAGCTTTGAGTGCCAGCTATATCTAACATTAATTAACATTGTCATGGATTGTATCTTATCTGACTATATTGAATAAAGCCAATTTCGAATGTACTCAAAAATTAGTAATAAAATGGCGCAGTAAAACTCACAAATGGCTAGCAATTACAAATGGTACTTCATTACTCTGATTTCAATTTTTATTAATTTGGTATATCTTTTGCATAAGTGAATACATAATTTATCACTGACTTTCTTCGAAAAATAAAATTTAATTACAATAATTTCCACATATAGGTTATAGAACAAAAATGAATTTTCTTACCATTATTATTCGGTGCTTCGATCGCTTTTGCTTGTTTTCTTGCTCTGTTTAATAATATCCATTCTTGATTATATGAACCAATCACTTCTCTAATTTGTTCGACTATTGTCAATTTTTCTTTTTTGACAGATGATTCCTGAATCCAAAATAAATAAGGTAAATCAAGGATAACAAGAGTTCTCGAGATGTGCAAATAAATTATTTTCGAAATAAGGATGCTATGAATTGTGAGAATTTTGAGCAGCTGATGTTTTTCGGGAAGGGAAGTAAATTATTTACGTAAAACAAGGTTACTTGTTCATTTGTAGTTGGTAGATCATCCACACTAGTCCATTTAACTTCGCCAGCGTCTCCAAATGCACAGAAGAAACCTTAAAGGAAAAGAGAATGAGAAATGATAAGTTTAATTCATTTTTATGAAGTGGTCTATCGAGTGGCCACTGGCCAATGAGATTTGATATTGCAGATCCGTGGTTCCCAAACTTTTTTGCTATATTCCACCCTTTGCCAATTCTAAAACTCTCCCTCCCCGATTGGGAAACAATGTTAAAAATCTTTCAACAAGTTTACATTACAAATTATGAAATATCAGAAAAATTGAGTATAAATAGCATCAATGAATATTCTAACCTTCTAAGATTTGAACAGCTTTAAAAAGAGAAAAGGCTGAGCTTCTCATGTCGCCTGGAGCGGGTGTTATATTCATTTTGATCTCTTTTACATGCTGTTTATCAACTTGGAGAATCTTTTCCACCTGAATTAGAATACAAGAATATTAGCAGTGCAAGCACACACAAGTTTTGTATCTGGGATGAAAAGCTCAATGAATTTTCTTGAAGAAATAGCTTGCTTGAATCACTTCATAAGTGGACAGATTTGTTCGATAAACACCCCGAACAAGGCGGTGAAGAAGTCACTGACATGTACTTGAGCCATCATATAAATCAGTGGTCGGCAACGGACGGACCGGTAAAGCTTGATCAAACTTTTGGCGGACCACCTTTATACAAACGAACTAAGCCTATGCAATAAATTATACGCATTAAGAAATTTATGTTGACAATATACTAAAAACGACGGTGATGCTATTTAATGTGATGTCTGTATTTGTTTGATGGCCATTATCTGTTCCCATATTTGAGATATGGTCGACATTGACACACGTAACGTGTTTCTTACTTCCAACCTATTTCGTTTTTGTAGTTATCAATATTGAAAACCACAATGTCATGCCTCACATTAAGATTTCGGGAAAGTTAACAATGCCTGTATCCTTTTGTTGGGGAAATCTTAGTCAGACTGATGAGAGACATTCTTATACGAGCGTAGAGAAAACAATTGACCCAGCATTATTGCGACATACTGACATGGCAATTGTTTATGAAGTCAGACATGTTGCTCAATAGTGTTATGCAGTGGTCGGCAAACTTCATGTACTTGCGGGCCAATTATAAACATTTCCGGTAGCGCGCGGGCCGCAATATTTCCGCCTTCGAAAAATCGCTACCATAATTAAACTTCAAATTATGGCGCATTCGCATTGCTACCCTTCTATTGCTGTGTTAAAAGCCTGCCCCAATGAGATGTATATGTGGCGTTTCATTATTATCCAACAATACATTGTTTTTATGTACTTATTATCAATGTGAAAGATGATGTTATTATGGCAACTCGTCATCCAAATGATGATCTGACAAGCGAGTACGAAATTTAATCTGAGTGTAATGCATTTTAGATAAAGCTGCTCAAGGCCATAAGTTCTTCCGAACGTGCACATTACATGTTTTGCAATGTCGCACAGATGAGCTGTGGCGCAGTCCCGGGTCTCGTGGTCGAATTTTGAAACCCTTAACAACTGCGATGCTGACTAGGCATATCGAGCAAACCGGTTTTGGAATGCGTAAAAAAGAAAAATATTTTTCCGTTCAAGCACTATGGAATGCTCGACCCGTGTCCCTCCGTTTTCCAGACATTTTCAAATTTTAAAAATTAAAATAAACTCGAACGACATACAACTGACGCTACTTGTTACATAAGAAGCTCCGTACAGCAGCACTTGTCACCACATAAATCCGTGTAGAGACAATGATAAATTTGGGATTAATTTTTGTTTTATTTATTAAATGTCGGATCGTTCAAGAGCCGCAACAAATTAGTTCGCGGGCCGCATTTTTTCCGACTCCTGGTAATGTGTTTGTCTGGTTTACTGTTGGGTGCTGTTTTTTAGTTGTAGGGTTTGTGGTTATATTGTAGAGGTTTTATTACGGCATTGTCCATTTTTGTGTCACCTCTCTGCGGACCGGCAGTAACCTTTCCGCGGACAGGCGATGGGCCGCGGCCTGGTGGTTGCCGACCACTGATATAAATGGGAGGTCTGGAATTGATAACCCAATATACTATACCCTCAGAAGTGGGCATGAACCCAACCCTAGATTTTTAAAAATAACCTACAATGCCAACATGCCCACGATCGTTCAATTAAGGCCCACTTAGTGGAAGGCAAATTTGATGTTTTGATCTAGTAATTCTCCAGTCTTGATGTGCTTAAACAATTGTGAATTAAAATATTGAACAGATGTATTCATTCGGCTTCTTATCTGTATCGTTATTCGTTACAGTAAATAAAATGCATTATTTGATACAAATTCCATAGCATAAGACTCAAGTATCAAAAAATCAAACCTTGCCACAAGTTAAAGAGAGAGTGACATATGTAAGGGCCAGATCTTCATCTGGATATTCCATCAGATGTTTGTTGCTTTCTAACAATTCATATTCAGCATAAGATTTGACAGAAACTTTTCCACCAGCTTTTGAGCGACAACGAGCAAGATGTTGTTGTACTAGTGATTGGAGACACACAGAATGAAATTTGTTACAATTTGATTTCTTACAAGCTACATGACTTGGCGATAAATTTTCTGCTGAATCAGGTCTCCATATGTTACTTGGATATGGTCCACTGAGATTTACTTTTCGTTCTAACAAGTTTATGATTGTTTTATTTTCTCCCAATACTGGAGTAATAATGACAATTCCATTTGAATCGGAACATTTTTTTCTCCACTTGCAAAACAAAATCATAGGAAAAAGGTTTTCAAGTTTTTGAATGCAACAATCTTTATCATCGGAAGACAATAAAAGGCAAAAACGAGACATTATTTCACGATATTCTTTCTCAGAAATCAAGGAAGACTCATCAAAGATGGCAGATATTCTGGTAGCATAAGAAAATGACATTTCTCCCAGTTTGTCTTCTAATTCAAGAGGACAGCCATTGAAAACGCCATTATTTCCGTTTGAATTAGCTGCTTCGGCAAGTGAAGAGATTCTACTGTATACCTTCTTCATTACAAATGTTTTTAATTCAATGCCTCCTAGATGAAACACATCATGTAGTATTCGTGTCAAGTTTTTATGAAGGGTTCCAGAAGAAATTTGAGATTTTTTGGCAAAATCGTTCAGATTGTCAGTGAAAATACATTCCTTCCATTCAGCAATTCCATCATTGTGAAATAATTCCAAAGAGCGTAGAAATTTTGCTGGTGTATCGTTATTCATAATTGTATTAAATAAAGATTACGTCAACTGTTTTATAGTTTAAAGATACGGTAGGGCAGAGGATAAATACAATGTTTATCCAATAAAGTACAAATTTAAAGAATGCTATTCTAACTTCTAATTAATATAATACAATACAATTTATTTTCGATCTTTTGTCCACAACCCGACAACACAAAACACAAATAAAAAAAAATAAAAAATACAAACAATGGCGTCGAAACGTTCGGCAAAATGAGCAAAACCTAAATAAATGTTTATAACAAGTGATGAAACCAGCACTTGTGCCCATTCACCCAACTCACAAAAGTGATGGAAACACCTCACGACAATCTTCCTGAAGAGAAAGATCAGTCATTAAGCATACATAGCATGAGAAAATAAAATTCAGGGGCGAAGCTAATTTGATATTGGTAAGTCAGTGGTGATGAGTATACGGAAAACAATTAGAACGAGAATTCTGTGATGGTGCAAGTGCCGAAATGTGAATGCAAAATATAACATCTAAGTGCTTAAAGGATTAGCTGTTACAGTAATATGCAAATAATGCAATTATTCAACTATTTTCGATTCAATTCTTTTCTTACAGTCTTACAATTACAACACTGCAATATCTGTCTCTACAATATCTTTGCGTTACCGGTACTAAATAGAGAAATAAATAACACCTGGGTCTGTAGGTTCTATTTTCAGATTTCAGTCGTCACCAACCTGCCAACAATTCCTCCCTTTGCCTATTTTGCAATTTTTCTTCTTCTCTCCATACAGCCATACCGTAGGCATAAAAACTCCCGTTATTTTTTTATTTTTAAAGCCTCTTTCTGTCTATAGCAAGTTTTGCACTAAACTCGCAATCTGGCATTTGTATCATCAGATCATTGAAATAGTCTGAACCCTCTGAATGTGTGCACTATAAATATGTATTGCAATGTAGCCCATAGGCATAGATTTTTGTTAAACACTCAAATGTCAGAATATGTTAAATGTGACACAGTAGAATAATCATAGAAATAATGGGAAAAAAATTACAAACATATTATTATCCAAATTGTAATTCATAATATCCGACGTAGTTTCTATTTTTCAGTATCCCACAATAGGCATAGATTGTGCAATATTTTTCATCCAGACCAAAGTGACCATAGTCACTTAGCCTAGTTGATATTATATACCGGTACACGCTTTGATGATCCAGACTACCTAACCTAAGTTACTTCTAGTGATTTGTGATTCACAAATTTCGCGCCATTCGATCTTGTATCGTTACTGCCCCCAGTGGACCCAAAATAAATACCGGTAATGTATTTAGAAATATGTTGTTACCAGAGCCGTTATATAGTGGCTCTATTATAACAGAAAGAACAAAACTGATAAGAATTCTCATTTATACCGTATGCAGTGATAGTCTGGTAAAATTTATCAACCAGAACGCACCTAATTTCTGAAAATGTATTACATTTACAACACGTCCGCGTAAGCTTACAATATTTTTTGTCTGTCCTAAGATAGAGCCAAAGAACAGCATTAATATGATGAAAATATCATCTGAAATTAGGGTTAGGACCCCGAGAAATTCAGATCCCAAAATCCTGGGATTTGGACTGTTTTTTTTCAATCCCGATCCCGCAATTATTTCTTGAAAATCCCGGGATTTTAAGGCTTTGTTATCCGTAGTAGTACATATTTACGGCTATCCACATAGATATACTCACAAATGGCCGGTTATACCATTTTATTACGTATCGATTTTAATGGGTAAGTATGTTGATAGGTATTTGTCTGTTAGATGCACGCGATATCTCACGAAAGCGAGATTGAATCTGCTCCAGATGTGCATTCATCATATGTCGTACCAGGAGCCTATTGATTTTGGATGAATTATGTCGTATAATCAGCGAGTTATTAATTAATTAGTGATGGGACACAAGGTGTCACTATGGAGTAAGAGCGCTGTTTTGGGGGATCCCCTAACTTTCGATCGATAAGTCTTCGGTCTCTGACCGATATTCTCGTTTAATACTTATTTTAAAAAAAGCCATCCACGCTCACGGTTTGAACGTAAATATATACTACTAGGTTTGAGTCGTCAAACTAAGTGGAATCACTGTGTGAAATTCACTGAAGTTTTACCAAGGAATTAATATTTGACTAGTAGAATTGCCATTATTGCCGACTTATTTAATCATCATTTGAACTCAAAATAGCATTCAGGATTCACGCAATGACTTTGCAGGGTTTTTATTCACTATTTATTACGAAAAGAAGACAGCCACAAAGTAAAATCAAGAAGGTCGACTTTCAAAGCCGATCTAAAAGACAAAAATCGGAAAAAAAATCCCGAATTTAACCCGATATTCGACTCGACAATTTGTTAAAATTATTTGATTCGACGAAAATATACTATTTTGCCCCCCCTTGCGATCTGTAATCACGGCAGTAATCTGGCGAAACGCGTTGTAGTGCGAACACTGATGCAATTAAACTTAATGAAACCTTCATAAATTTAGTAAATTGCACTACTTCACGAAAGCGTGGTGGAATTGACGATTATTTCATGACTCGAACACAAAAACGGTTATCTTTTTCGGATAGTTTCTGCAGTCTGAAAAGTCGAATAAGCTTTTCGACATATTAAATGGTATGATCTTTGCCATCAAATTATGCTCGGGCCTTGCACGAAATTCATAACGTGAAAAGATACGTCCAGCGGTGAAAATTGTTTATAACAAATTTGAACCCACTTAGTGTTTATAGCGATAATAATAATTGTTGTAATGAAATACAGTTTATTTGCCACTTTTATTTTCCTCGCAAGTGCCGACAATAATACTATTGAATGATTTTGAAAAAGTGAGAATACGTTTGATAATATTAAGGGCGTAACGTGGAACAAGGAAGAGCGAGCAAAACCGAAGCGCGTGATCGGCAGTGCGTTTGACCACGTAGCCTATTACCCATGCGGCTGCGCAACTTTTAAAATATTGTGAGGTGCTCCAAAGACGCTCTCGTCTACATTAATGTAAGAAAACAGTTGTAATATCGGTAACTATTAACCATTTTATCGCGTTCGAATATCGCAGTCTTTACAAGTAGAAAATGTTCGTGTTTTGTGATAGATGTGACGCGAATATTTAGAGAGCTATAAATAATGTGTCGCGATATAGAAAAGGTTGGGTACCACTGCCCTATTTGCTTAATTATTTCTGCGTCCATATTACATGAAATAAATACGTGATTTTATTGTCATGCAAGTTGTTTCAATCTTTTACTTAATCCCGAAAAACCCCGGAATTATACGGCACATTCACGGGATATCCCGATACCGGGATTTCAAAAACCGGCTCCGAAATCCCAACCCTATCTAAAACATGTCTGTGTAGAATGACAAGCAATTATATTTATAGAAATTCAATACAAATGTTATTATTATGACAATAATAACTTGCAATGTCCTTATTAATATTTAAAATAAGCATGAGAAATATTTTAGTGGTATGGAAAACATTCATACACGTTACGGCTGTACTAATTATTTGTCTACTGCGATGTAAAAATAATTACGACGTAACAAAACGTACAGTAAATATATAACTAAGATTACCAGAGAAACTAAACTTTCCATGACATAATGTTATTGCAACAACAGGAACGCAAACGCAATAAATATTTAACCACCGTAACGGCGTTCCGGCTCCAGCTCACCAATGCTAATATGACAAAAATCTGCATTTATCAGTTCAAGTTTATTATTATATATATATATCAACTGTAATTTTTAGGCCAAAAGTATTTTCGAGAAGTTCAGTTCTGCAAAATTCTACTGCCGTTTTCCTAATCCTATTGACAAAATTTAACTTTCAAGTAGGATAATGCCAATCGCCATTCCTGAAATCCTTCGATTACTGTATGTTTTTTCCAGCATTATATCATATCCCGCATTCATGTGTAAACTTTTACTGAAGATGTTGATTGCCAAAAAATCAAAATATCCCAATACTCTTCAATATTAATTTTATTACGACAACAAATGTAAAAAAAACGACAAATATAAGGTCAGATCCTACATTGGGGGTGATTGATTCAAATAAACATAATTGATATAGTACAATTTGCCTATCTGAAGCCACCCCCATTGAAACAATATCACGCTAGATGGCAGAGTGGAGTGGATGGATCATGCGATAGTAACAGCATAGTTCGCCGGTCTTACAGAACAGGTATATTCATTCACACGATATGCTAGAGTTAAAACTGCTACATTATCTATTTATTCTATTGAATTGCTAACAGCAGATGATCAGGATTTAGATGAATGCCCAATCATTTTGAGGTCATTATTATATCTGAATGGCTGGTACCATTTTGTCAATTGGTGTCCTATGGATTCAGAAATATCATTCAATTCGGATGTGGGTCTTAGACATTCAAGTTATTCCTCATTGACTTTGTCAGATGTTCTGTATTCTAACATTCATTCATTGTACTTCTAAACCTTGCGCAACTTTATTAACAACTAAGAACCTAATTAAATAAAAATGCTTAATAAAATTAGCTGCCCTATTTAAAGAATGTTATATCTTCTATATTTCAAAGTAATCAAATCGAATTGCCCATATTATTTAATGAGTTGGAGTTTCTACTACATCCAATTAACGACAACGTGGAATTATTATATGCAGTCGTGTTTCGTCCCGTGATGCATTTATCTTATTGTCTGGTTGCTCCAACGTTGAAATAAAAATCGACTAATGGTCAATATGTTCTCTATTCAATTCTGAAGTGTAATTCTAGTTGATTACCTTTCTAGTTATACCGACAATTTTGTTTTCTGCCGTTATTTTTTTCATCACTTTGATCTTATGCTTCTGCGTGATAGCTTGTGACCTTGCTTTGAAGACAAAAAATTGATACGTTAATTCAGGTTATTGTGATATGTATTTCACTACATATAGAATGGTTTATCCAGCTGGATCAATATAAAGTTCTACATTAAATGGCTCTTCTTTTCATGAATGGAAAACTAATATCCAATCTCTTAGCAATGTGATCATTCTGAACAATGGCA